ACATCCTTGTTGTTATAAGCTTTACTGTACATTGACAATCGAGGAAAGAGCAAAAAATTGTTAGAAACTCTTACTTTAACTACCTATTTTTATTGTTTTCCTTGTGGCCATCCCGATGCATCATCCTCCTACACTGTGGAGCTTGGATATTTAAAAGAAACAAGAATCGCCTTTTGCAAAAACCTTGGAGATTATAAAATCTGATTTGGATAGATGTTATTCTGTTTTGGATTTTAGATTTGGAAAACTCTAGCAAAATTGAAGGCACTGCGTATTTTAATGCGTTATAAAGAGTTTTCATTAAACGGAGAGTAAAAAAATTACAAATACGTTTTAATTTTAACCAAGTGAAAAAAATTACATAAAGTTATAATCAGTTATCTATGTTTGTAATTTTTTACTATGTTTTAATTGTATCTTTCGTTGTATTTTATTATTAACGAAGATGATCCCACTATATCTTACGATGTTGTGTTAAATAAGAAGATTTTTTCCGAAAGAACAAAATATTTACGACTCTGTGACAGTATTGTGTTTGAAGGTCAGTGAAACTAATGTTCATTAGGGTCTAAATAACGATGTATTGTTTTGTTATTGAGAGTGGTTGCAACGCTATAGAGTGTTTTAATACAAAGGTAACAATGTAAACCAAACAAACCTTAGCAATTTCTACATTTTAAGTAGTTTTTCGTTAAATGGAATTTCACTATATAGTTTATACTGTATTTTTAAATTATAATTAACTAACACACCTACTTTGGGAAAGTCTGATGTTTTGACTGCAAATCGTGATGGTAACCACCCATATGAAACTTTTTTTTTTTTGAGAATTTTACAGTAAACCAGTATACTAGTGCTAGTGCTTTGCATCCGACGACCTTTAGTCGAACTGATTTACTTGGACACTAATATTTGATTCCTTTTAACGATTCGCAGATATTCTAGCTTGCAATGTGGCAGATTTATATTATTTTTCCGTCCCCGTACAAAAATCTTTGCTTACTATTGTGTGTCAAATATTAAGTACGTGACTACTCAGTGAATGTATTGGTATACATTGGTATGACACAAAGTAATATAACTCATTATATAATAAATTATGTGATCATAACGCGGTGGTGAAGTCCAGCTTATTACCATAATTTTGGTCTTATCATTTTTGTCACTATCAAAACATTCATGAGGCACAGACGCAAAAAAAAAATAGAAGTTTAATGCAAGTCATGCTTGGAATTCCGAAGCCTATATAATGTACGTCGTTTTTATTAAAATTTATTAAACGTAGAGAACTAATTTTATCTGTTATATGAACATGCATTATTTGAAATGCAGTTACTGAACTTACAATTTCATAAGTAGTTTTAAATTTTCGTATTATATATAATTTGGTAATTAAAAATTATATGAACGGTACAATTTAAGCAGTAAAAGCTTTGTTGCTTCTTCAATTTTAATGAAACTAGAGGAGAGAAGCAGAATAAGCTTGAATGATCTCTTGATGTATTTGCTTATTTAGAATTATTTTTTTATATTTGATTTTCGTGCATCAAAAAGGCTGTATTGCACTAGGCAGTTGGTATTCTTTCCATATAGTAGGTAGAGTCCGTAGAGTACGTTATATAACGAAAATTATTACTGTTTTATCGCATAATAGCGATATAATATGGCATGTTATTAAATTATTGCTAACGCTCTGGGAGGTGGAGGCTATCCGAAATTTCTGGAACGTCCATGCGTGCATATAACAAATTCATATAAGAAATTGAACAAAACAATTTTTTTTATCTTCTTCGTAAGACCGGATGTGAATATATAAATTGAATTATAATTTTCTTGCAATATTGTGCAGAACTGCTCGTGACCCGGGGACGCCCACATTAATTATTTGGCTTTATTCAAACTACGTTCATAATCCGGCTTTAAATGGAATGTTATTTCGTGGAATCCTCTTGACCGGTATTTATCTAATACACATGATAATGTAAATCTATACTGTCATTACCCGAAGTTGTTAATGAGAAAAACGCCTATAGTAGGCCGAAAATCTGAGTGATATACTCGTATGTGTGATAGTAGCAGATATTGCGTGGTAGTTTCAAAATGTAATGTTTTGTAGATGTTAACTAATACTTACCCTACATATTTCATGCCATTGATAATGATAATGGTAATAATGACTTATTTATAATCAATACCGAGAACGGATGTATCTACCAGTGGAGGCGTGACGTCACATCGCGCCACTTCATTATCATCGAGACGCCTATAATATCACAACGCTTGAACCTTGACATCAGATGACACAGTCTCCTTTATTGGTGATGTGTATTTCCATCAAATTCAGAGATTTTGATAATTAATCTGATAATGTTAATTGATCTATCCATTATCAAATAAAAATTCCAGATGAAGACCTTGTATCGAGATATGGATTTAAATGTATGCCACAACCGCATTAAGTTTTTGTGTCTAAAGTGCTTAATTGATTCTGGTCAAATTTCGGTTCGGAGTTTCTACATTATATTTAGGTCGATAAAGGTTTAGAAAATTGGAATTTTGTATTTACGTAAGACTTGATTGCGAGCTGATGATTGCTTTCAATAAATCACTTTAACTTCCTTAGTATCAAAGACTTTACATTGTGACATGTTTAGTTTTCATATGGGGTACTTAAATCGGTCTCTAGTCTCTATTTAGTACGTAGAACTTTAGTAAATTTAGTTTAAAAGAACAATTCAAGAACATTGTGTAATATTATTAGCGAATATAGTAATACATACGTTTGTTTCACTAGAACTTAATAAAAATGTAAACAAACGAATTATTCACCCGACAATAAAACAGTCTGATGATGTCCAGATATATAAAAAAAAATACACTAAGAATCGATTCAATAGTTGAATCGATTCTTTATGTTCGATTTGTTATTAATTTCATTTAGAGAGTGTTTCTGTCATAATTTCACCATAACTTATCTACCTTTTTATCAAGTTTTATTGAAACAGATTATAGATAAGCGCTTAGTACTTTCATACTAAACGGAAATTGGAGAAGTTGAGAAAAATCGAGGATTCAGTCGCTCGATCTCTAAATTCTAGACGCATGGTAATTTTTCAAATCCGATTCATAAATATTTAAATCTAAAATTTAAAACAACTGTTTTTATTGTAAAAAATAACAGAAGCTCAGGTATATAAAATATTTATAATGCTTACTTACGCCTGTCTGTCGTTTGTGACGTCGGTCAGTGCGTCACGTTCCACCTTATAAAGTAAATATGAATTTAAAAGATAAATATGAAGAAGTAATGGCCATGATTGTACTAACGATTATAAATGCAATAGTATTCATTGTTTTCTTATAATTGAAAGCCTTTTAAGAAGATGAAGACACAAATTAGAGACAAGACCATTCACAAACATGGATAATTAATGGGATTAACTAAATAGATGTAACTGCGTGTGCTCTATCTTACGCTCTTTTGACTTTGAATAGATTTCGATTTACAATTCCCCCATGAAATGTATGTCCTAGATATATAGGATTACAATAAAATAGATGGCGTTTTCGACAGGTTCGATGTGACAGGAAGTTAACTGTATGTTGTCTATTTAACATTAGAACCAGCGACACGCTTAGTTTTTTTGTGGCCAATATACAATATTATAACGTCTATTTCCAGTATGAAGGTCTGATTTTCATTATATTGGATCTATGTGGAAATACATGGTAGGAGTACACTGTAGAATTTGAGCGTTCATTTCACGAAATAACGTCACGTCGCGTTGGAATTTGGAAGATAATGTATACCACAATTAACCCAATTACAAAATTTCGTGTTATTCTTGTACATAACTACAGATGTAAATAAATAAACGTAATTTATGTTGCTGTGACGCATCCATGACTAGTCTTTTTCCTTTTTTTATTTTACACTTTTGTGATATGTAAATAAATATCTGTTTATTATGTATAGTATTTATTATGTTTAGATAAATAGTTGTAGTAATTTGTATCAAAAGTCTGAGCAAACTATTATCTATACAGTATATCCATTTTGTATAGATAATAATCTGCAAGATGTATTATATATAAATTTAAATGTCAAATAGTCTAACTCTTGTTTTCCTACAATTTGAACTGAATTTCTGAACAAATTACTTCTTATTTTACTACGTCTTATTATTTTTTGTTTTTTTTTTCATTCATATCTTTTTTTTTTTTACAATAGAACCTCTACTATGAGTGTTAAGCAGATATACTTACTGATTCAGAACACACAATATTCGTCATCGCGGAGAGCTCATTTCTGTACTGTACTCAATGCAATGTAAGAATAAAAATTACGTTGTCTTCCAGTGAATCATACTTTGATTTGTCGGACTTTGGGTCGGGTAGTAGATAGACATAACAATGGGAACACTTCGTCATCGGCATAAATATTTTAGTGACTTGTTACAAATTTTTGTATACTTACCTATTGTGTACGCCCTGTGTCTTATCTTCTTAACATAGTTATTTATAAAAAATGAGAATATAAAAGAATAAGATGACAGTGAAATTATTATCGTTGGTGATGCAGTCTGGTAATGATGCCTAATAGGTCTGGTTTCCCCCCTATTGTAATTGAGTTTTTATTGCAGGCATTTTTCGTCTTGATTTAATTGATTTATCCTTAATTAATATCGAATGTCCAAGAATTATCAATCAATACCGTTATCGTCTTATACAAACGCTTCTTGTTGTCTTGTGTTACTCATGTTTTTAACGCCAAGTAACTGCGCCTTGTCTGTTTTCTAGTTTGAAGGGTGGTAAATTGTGTTATTATTACATTACAGGCATAACATCTGAATCCCTAGGAGTGGCAAAACATGAAGCGTATCATGAGCTTCTCAAAATTTCAAAGTAATTAAGCACATTGGTGGTTTTATAATTTTTTTTTATTCCAATATTAATTTATATTAAAAAAGTACCTAATATCGTTTATTATATTGTTTCAGTCACTACAAACAGCGGCACCATTTAGTACAGATCCTATTGCAATAGCGGAACGCGAGCGATGTCATTACGGGCGCATACCTCGAGCGGCGGCCCTTGCGGGTACGGCGCCGCGCAGGGTGCGCGTCTACTCGGATGGCATCTACGACATGTTCCATCAGGGACACGCGCGGCAGCTCCAACAGGCCAAAACAGTGTTCCCAAACGTCTACCTCATTGTTGGAGGTGAGTTGATTATAACTAATTATTCCCAAATTGAACAATTGAATCTAAAATTCAAATATTTGTGAAACCAATTTGGACAATTATTTTTTTTCTGAAAGGACATACTACATACATATTGGTTCCATAGAAATTTTAACAAAATCGGTTCAGTTTTGTTACAATTGAAGTTTGTTTTGTTTTTGTGGGCTCAATCTTTATTATTTTAAGTAGTTACAGGATGATTTTGTAAAAAAAAATTCTGCATGAGTTTTTTGTTTCATTGTGATTTTTGCCGCCAACTAGCTGAATCTATTTTTTATTATTTATTATTGCGAATACTTTTTCAATGTTCATAAATAATAATCCCTACGCACATATTGGAAACTGTAGTGTTACCACTCCGGTTCCCTGTTTGTGTATTTGCATTGCAATAATCATATATGATCGATCACATAGATAACGTAGAAAGTAATAGAAAAATCAATAATGGATTATAGTAGGAATGAGTAATTTTATGTTCATAGTTTATTTATAAACATAAGATTAAAAATACTATCGTATAAATATGATCTACTTATTAATCTTTATCTGTTTACAACCGTGTGACAATCTGGTTGCATCGAACGATTATGTATGTACGTGTTTCTTTTGATATAGAGAATTATTTTTATTGGATAGAATTTTGTCGTACGACATATTGTCACATGATATAGCACGTGTGTTATATTGAAAAATTATTTGCTAAATTATTTTATCGCTGTATCGCACAGATTACGATAAATTGTCCTTCACAAGTTAAGATAGGTACATTAATTACATAATTGTACCTACTTATATTTAATCAAAGAAATTGTATAAGCCTTACAGTAACTAACTGAATATTATACTTACACTTACATTTTTAATATTATTTAATAAATTATAAGTGTACTGTAATAATTAATAAGTCATACAAATTACATGTTATAAATAGTCTTAAATATGAGCAACTAACTGAAGTACCTATATAAATATCATAGTTTAAAATGTTATGAAAAATTGCGGTTCACTTTGTTTATTTTCCTCGTACATTTTCCCTCTTGGAATAATAACACGAAAGTGAATTTATTCGTTATTTATTAACTTATTAGGTTAAAATATTGCAATGTAGTAGTTTTAGCTAGAGTAAGTCCTATATTTGAAGAATAAGCTATGAAGTCAGCATATATTAGGTAATTATATTACTTTTAAGAATATTTATTTTTAAGAAGATGTAGATAAAGTAAAAAATCTAGGGTGATAATAACACCATTTATATATTTTTTAATTGGTTCGTTACTTGAAGACAAATGAGACACAAATGGCATTATTTGTTTTCAGTATGCAGCGACAGTTTGACACACAGCCGCAAGGGGCGTACAGTAATGACTGAAGACGAGAGGTACGAAGCGGTCCGACATTGCAGATACGTGGATGAGGTAAGCGTGACACTTTTCTGACACAATCGGCATTCTGTCGCCTTAGTATGGATGATAATCTTGATGAATCACCACCTTCGCTTACATTATTGTTAAATATTAGTGTAGTATAGATAATGTTACCTAGTATTAACTTGAGAAAACACTTCTTATATGTATATATTTGTACATAGTCTTTAACATATGGTTTATGTAACTACATGTATATGAATAGTGCGTAAAAAAACATGCATAAATCGCGGAAAAAAATACTAACGCCTAAGTCGGCGGAGGATATAATTATATTTATTTGGTTGAGACCGAGACAGCGTAAGCAGTTAGTTAGCACTGAGAATGCTAAACCCACTTTGTAAAGATAAAATTTAAAGGTCACGCCGTTATCCATTGACGCCTTTTTAGAGCGGATTTCGCTTCCTACAATTCTGTATAATGAATAACACTATAATATTGTGCATATGAACGAACAGCAATTTTATGCATATATGCAATGTTAGTGAACAGCTGCAGTAGTTCCAAACATAATAAGCCTTCTTGAAATCCTGTTGCCTTTTACTGCACGTAATGTGAATACACAGCTTGAAATTCACCTTGACTATTTTTTTTTATTATTAAATTATTTATTTTCCATTCACTTCCATTTGTAGGTAATTATATATAGGTACTAATAATGGTCAGTAGTCGTTCATATACTTTATTCTTTATTCCTACTAGTAATTCATAAAATAAAAATTTTTTACCGACCCTTTGCAGTGTAACAACAATGTGAGATCGCTTTAAATTATTGAGATTAGCATCTAGTTATAGATATACTGCTTGACCATGATTCATTTACATAATTGACCTTGACTTTCCAACTGTATTTTTGTGTTCTAATATGTGCCTTTGTTTTCCATGGAAATATTGGCAGTTAGTACTTACTATGAGGAAGCAATGAATGAGGCACATTGATTTACATAATTATTCAATAACATATAATATCATAAAACTAAAGTTAAACCAACTAAAGCTAATGGTATGATGAAGGGATTTTTTTTTATATATTTTTATAACATTAAACAAATATAAATAGAAGATACTCAAATGGACATTCATTGATGTAGGTAATATGAATGTTAACGTCATAGATATTTTATATGTCCGGGCCGAGTATCTTGTGCCTCTATTGTTAATTGGTTAGTATATTTGCCGCCGACAAATTTGAGGTCAAGTAACCCACACATCTACATTGTAAATGATACCCAATGCCAACGCTGAAAAGGAACAGTAACGAATGAATCGTTCCGTATAATTACATTTTCATGTTCTAATCTTATGACGGCAGCCATGTCTTTTGTTTTCAAACGCACAATGTTGGTGACGCAAACGAGCCAAACAAAATCGTTATTTTTTATTTAACCCATAATGTAGTTGTAGAATGTATTTATTTTATTTTGTTACTGTCAATACTGTGTCGACCTAACCTGCCAGTATCTCTCTAATAAATATGAAAGTTTGCTTGTTTGGGATGTTTATTAGATGTTTACTTAGTCTTGCTTTAGAGCGTTCACAGCTAGTGAGATAATTTTAAAAACATATTAATAAAAAGGCAGCTATGGTTTTTTAAGTACCTAAATACTTTTTTCCCATCAAAATTTACAATTATATGTACTTATCACAAATGTATTACTCTCAAAGGTATTGTGTATTATGCGAGGTTGGAACTTGTCTCCGTCAGATGTTGAGGCAGTGTGTTTTTCGACTACACCACCAAGGTCAACTATAGATGGCGACTTTGTACCTTACCAAACTTTCCATATACTCTACTATAATTTAAATAAATTAAAAAATACGTTAATTATATAAAATTAAACTTTTAATGTACATTATAAACGGTCTGATGGTTTTTTATCAATTTACCACCGGTCAAACATACAGCAACATACATAATTCATCTAAGTGAAAATGAAACTCGCCAATATGTAGGCAATTCTTGACCTACTTACAGTGTCTCTTTATTTGTATTCGTCGCATAGTTCGTTACGTGGCTGGAGTTAATTTATACGTATAATTACTAATTAACTGCATACGTGTAGGTGTACCTTAGATCGTTGGTACGTATATCGCCTGCATTCGCATTAATTGCACTACATTACTTTTTCACATATGCAATTAATAGGTACCTAAATAGATATATAGTTTTATTTTTAATTATGTTTGAAATGAAATAAATAATATGAATATTTTTTTATAAATATTTCCAAATAATTGTCGGCAGGTAGTACGAGATGCGCCTTGGGAGTATGACGAGGAGTTTTTAGATAAGCACAAAATAGATTTTGTGGCGCACGATGATATCCCATACACGACGGAGGACTGCGAGGACACATACGCCATGATCAAGGCTAAGGATATGTTCGTCGCCACTGAGCGGACAGAGGGTGCGTCTCCTAATAATCTTTACATTGCAATAAAATTGGAATGAAGCCAATTTCGTATATTACATTTTTTAAAGAAGTTTCTCGATATACAGGGTCGTAAAACTGAGAATCTACCCATGCTATAAAATATCAATTTCAATTTATTTTTGTTCGCTACAATACTGTATTGTGTTGAATATTTCTACAAGTGACAAGAAGATATCAAAAAATATAATAAAACAAAAAAATATGAAGCAACAAAATAACCAATAATAATTGTCAAAAATAACATTACAATCAATTTGAATCGCATAAAATATTAAATTTAATCATCAATTGATAGACACCTTTCCAACAAAAGAGTATAAAGTTTTATTTTCGAAATTCTCCAATCTTTAATCGTTTTTAATGCAGTGGGTAATTTATTATACAATTTAACCACTTGAAATTTTGCGCCATGTTTCACTATATTTAGTCTTGGTTGGATATCATATGCAACAATACATTATAATACAAACAATTGATTAGAACAGCATCGTATTAGTAATCGTGGAGGTACAAAATTATTGTCACTTTACAACCCATGTTTCTTTAGTGAACATGTTTAGTTTCATTGATAGAACACTACCTTAACGGTTTCCTACCTACCTTAGGACGTTTACTTTACATAGTATATACAAAATGGAACTTAAAACTACGGTATCTGAAAAATTTCTCATATAAAAAAATGTAATTAAAAGTAGTATTTTTTCTACAATTATGCTATAATTTCAACCGTATTGTGTCCAGGCGTGTCGACATCAGATATCGTGGCGCGGATAGTGCGCGACTACGACATCTATGTGCGGCGGAACCTCGCTCGCGGCTACTCCGCCAAGGAGCTGAACGTTTCATTCCTCAACGAGAAGAAGTTTAGGCTACAAAATAAAATGGATGAACTTAAGGATAAGGGGAAAAAGGTGAGCGAATACTCCATATTAAATACCAATTCAGTAAAAAAAATTCTGTTAGGTAATTTTGTATTAATTTAAATAAATTAAAAATTTTATGTTTGCAATTAGTAAACATTTTTTTTTAATACAACTTAAATTTGGCAAACAAGCTGACAAGAAACAAGGTCCACCTGATGGAAAGTGATAACCGTCGCCTATAGACATGAGCAGTACCATGGACATAACCGAGTATACTGTTTCGCTCATGATACCCCCCATGCGTTGCCATTCCTGAGGACTCAGGTGTTATTCCTCTGTACCCAGTAAATTTACGCCATACCCACCCTTCAAACCGAAACACAGCCATGCAAACGCAACTGTTTCACGGTTGAAACACGAAATGGGATATAGGTGCCCAAGCAGACTTTTGTACAAAGTCTACCTCTGGTAAACATCAAATTAAATTACAAAGTTAATATATATTATAAAGTAGCATCATATACCGTCTAATTATATGGTACCTACTACAAGCATGCACACAAGAAAAACAGTTGCATCCGAAATTGATACTTATAGTAAAATTTTTAAAGGTCACTATCACTAGCACTCATGCTTATTTGTATGATTTTTCAATTCTTTTAATGTATTCTTTTTTACTTGTACTTTGCCCCCTCAAAAAGGCTCGACTTTTTTCTATAATGAATTATATTGATCACTTTCCATTGTAAACGCTCGAAAGGCATACCAAAATAGACTTTTGACATAAATTGATCATTTAACATTTGCGTGCTAAGACTGTAGGTATTACCAAAATGTATTGTTACATTGTGAGTTCTATAGTGCAAAGCACGAGTTAATTATGTTAAATAATACATAATTATAAATAGAAACCGGAAACTTGACTCATTCTAAATTGATTATAGTGTTTAATTAAAATAATTGTATTAAAATTTTACAAAAAAGTAACAAGAAAGATATTTTCAAGTAATTCCGGTAATGAAAAACTCAGGAATCCTAAAAAAAACAAATTACTTATTTTAAATGCTTATTAGATTCTCATCCAATAGTCAGCGATTACCATTATTGGCATTTGATGATATTCGGCATATTTTTTTATACTACTATGATGGCAAACAAGCATACAGCCCGTCTGATGGTAAACGGGGTTACCGCAGTCTATGAACGCCTGTAACATCAGGGATGACACGCGCGCCTTGCAGATATGATCATTTTCTGGAAATTGTTGTATTTAATAATAAAAATATCGTGTTATGATGTTTGTAAATGTTTATACAGACATTTTGTAAATGTTTGTTTTTTTTTTTTTTCAATTTAAGACAGTTGTTATCCGAATATGAACAAATGGACCAGTGGCGGTAGGGACTAAATATCCTTTCCTACCGATTAGCTAGTTGCCAATTAAAATTCACGTAATTACAATTAACATATAAATAAATAAACATGTTTGTTTTCAGGTCATGACAAACATAGGTGAGAAGCGAGTGGATATATTAACAAAATGGGAGGAGAAATCGCGCGAGCTGATCGATGCGTTCCTTCTACTGTTCGGCCCGGACGGGAGGCTGTCGAGCATCTGGAACGAGTCGAAGGGGCGGCTGATGCAGGCGCTGAGCCAGCCGCCGTCGCCGCGCTCCTCGCCGCCGCCCAGCGAGAACGGCGACTCGCATTCGCACTCGCCCACGCACAGGTATTAGCATTGGCTATCGAACATATACAGTCATAGCTAGAACAAAAATAGGCTGTAATAATATTTTTAAACGATTACAATCCTACTAATATTATAAAAGTATAAATTTTGTTACTCGGTCAAACTTCGACTGCTGATTTAAATGAAATTTGGTATAAAATGAATCTTATACAGATTAACATATAGGTTATTTTTTATCATAATTTACGCGGGCAAAGCCTCGAAAGAAGGTATCTCAATAGCTTAAAAAATATCTAATAATTTTACTATTTATACTTATTGTTTTAACATTTTCGCTTGTTTTTTGCACCTAAGACTAATATGTCAGTGCGTCATTGTAGCACATTAGCGTTTTACTGACAGGTATCGATTGTAGCAATATAATTACTGTTACGGATTGATAATGGGTGATTTTAATGTATAACTTGTTAATGCGAATAGGATAGGTACATTGGATTTATTTTAAATTGTTATGTTGTAAAAACTTATTACCTCGTAAAAATAATGTAATTCGCATAGACAATAAGTATTTATAAAAGAAATAGTCGATAGTTTAAGTAGAATATTCAACAAAGGCGGCCCATATCCAGTGCGACGTCCTTTATGTCTATATCTAATAGGGACTTATTATAGATACGAAAGTAAGCAAGTTTCTCACAACTTTAAACAGACTTGACCATTTCTATATGACAGAACGTCATAAAGAAATGGTCATTTTTGTTGCCCTATTGTAACTGATACCATGCTATCAATAAGTTACCTATTAGGCCCCCAGGGATTGAATATAATTTTAATAGACACTTCCATAAGACAGTAGGGTTTAATAGCAGCGACTGAATGAGCGAAATAACCCACCGTATACATTGTCACAAACATTGTCTGCAGCCTAATGCAGCCTAACGGTTCAGGGTAATTTATTCTGTATGAATAATGTACTGGGAACTTGAGACCGTTAAGTGTCTAGGATCGAGTTTTGTATAGGTTCTATACGTATAAATTTAGTCCTTCGAGCCGGATCGTCTTCAATCACGTTTACCACACTAACTACAACAACCCCTTTAGTTTTGAGTTCTTTATTTTAGTGATCTATGTACAAAAACATACAACTTCGCCATACATTTCATTCGAATTGTTCCTTGTCTACACAGATCATTACAATAACAAAAATAATAATGTGTTATTATTTCTGAATGTTACTTTTCTATAAGTTTAAAATGTGTTTAAATTCATTTACATATGTTCTTTGGCGACTAAGAAGGATTAGCAACAAAGAAACAGCTATACAGGCATACCATGGTTATGTCAGTTTTATTTTGAGATATGCTGTCCCATATATATATATATATATATATATATATATATATATATATATATATATATATATATATAAAATTATAACTTTGTATAGCAGAAACGCCTACTGCATGATAATAGGCATTTATATAAACTAACAGACGAAATGAAAACACTATCCATAAATAATTAAATATATTTATAAAGATACTTAAAAAGCGGCAAATAGAAAAATGTTTTTACTCATTTAATGAATTTTTAATCATTTTAAAGCTTAAATATAATGTGGCTCGATTATTTAACTATTATTTGTAACTTGTATAATGCATTATTAATAACTAAATATGTTGACATATATATGACGACATAAGTAAAATATGTGTTTTGTTTCTATGAACACACACATAGCACTTGTATGTCAGATTCTGGTGAAAAGTGTGAACAATATTTAACTTATTTAATGTATATTATGTACCAACCTTTTTACCATTTTTCAAATAAAATAAAGTTATTTATATTTGTAAATAAAAATCTTCCCAAAACTGTATTTATTGTCACTGACTTAATACCACTGACCTATTCTACCAAAAAGAGGCTTAGTATAAAAGTCGTTTGATCATAGACGAAACAGTATACATTATTATGACCATGGTATACTGCTCATGTCTATAGACGACGATTACCACTTTCCATCAGGTTATTTGCTATTCTAAGTTGCATAAAAAAATTCTCAGCAACAATAAAAATATACTAATACAAACGCAATAATAGATTACGATAATAATAATAGATACAACTTATTCAAACATGCTGTAAACTATAACAATGAGTGTTGATTGTTAGCATGAAGGTCACATACTATCTCTAGGTGTATTGTCGTTTGGCTGTGAGCTGTAACATGACGATTGCTATCGTTACACGCAATATATTGTTACTATAAATACAAAAAAAATTAAAGTACTCGAAAATTTGGGCTAAGTAACTCCAATGTATATGGATTATAATAGAATTTATATAACTCTGTGATGTAAATCCATTAGTTTGTTAATAATACGTCTTCAATTCAAGAAGCATATTATTAATATTATAAATTCGACGAGTGATATAAAAAAAAATCTATCATAATCATGATTAAATAATTAATTTGTATAAAAATGAAATATGTAAATTTAAATAATCGAAACAGTATAAATGAAAAAAATAACATAGCCACTTGACAGATTACAAATATTAAATAAATACAGTATATTGCAAATACGCAGCTTCACACTTGGAATTAACTAGATAGGCATAGAGTAAAGTGGTAAACGCCTCTCTTTACATACATGTATTATTTTATTTTTTTATACTCTCTTCATGTGAGCGTTCCAGTTGTGGTAGCTAATAGGTGATTTAGTATATTACATTTCAGAGGGTCAGCGTCCCCACCGCCGCCAAAGTCCCGGCGATACGAAACACTTTGGGAGGCGCAAGCAGGTAACTGGGTAATTATTCGCTGCTTGTTATTAGCTAGCACGCTCACACACGCACAAGCTAAAAAGACACAACTTTTGTAGTGGCGCCTTTGTTTAATTCACTAAAAATCCATAACGTATGTAATATAGTAGCGTAGTATTAACATGTTATATAATGTTCTTATTTTACACTTCGCACTAAATATAAACAATTTTGGCATTCTTTTTTTTTATCAAATAACAGTACATAAATTATTACCCTACATTTAAAAAAATACTGATTACATTATACCATGTCACATGCTAAGTTTACTAATTGTGCCAAATATCTATAAAATGTATGGAAGGCTTGTATGTGTTATATGAATAATAAAATTGAGTAGTAATGTTATGTATACAATGTTTTTGCTGCATGTATTCAGTAGATAGTTTTTTTTTTTTCTATTTTCCCAAAACGTATTTAGTTAATATTTAGATTAATAATCTAATTGCATTGTTAAATTTTTTAATATGTTCCTTTCTTTTTCTTCTAATACTAATAGTTAGGGAGTAAAATAATTAGCAAATTATTTTTAAAACCAGTACATATAAACATAGGTACTATTCACATTAGACATGAACTTTACAAATTATATATAGGCATCTTAGATACTACAATATTTAATCGTTTTAATATCGAATGTTTATAATACAAGAAAAAAATATTATAGAATAAAAAAAAACTTCATTAGTATTTATGGGAAGCTTTATTTTTTCTCGTGTTCGAGCCATGTTTCTTTGAAAAAAAAATCTATTTGACTGAAGAAATATTGCCATAAAATTACAATCGTTTTTACTTGTATAGCAACGATATCATGACATTAATACATATTAACATAATGTACAATTAATATATTAGATATTATAACAGATATTGGCACTAGTATACCCACACTAAAACCATTTTAGTAATGATTGAATCCCTACTACTATCTAATTTAACCTTTTATAGTTTAAGACTGTACAGCTGTTACTGATTTTTGCTAAAAAAATGTAATGTTCATCCGGCACTATACACAACTATAATCAAACTGTAGGTACTAAATAATAATTTGCGTTTGTTCAGATGTATCGTGCTCTGAACGTGTTGGGGAGTCGGAAGCGTCCGTACAGCGCCAGTTGACGGATGACGGCTCCGACAGCGACGACGATTATCAAGACACCAGTCCTTATCTTTAGGCATAAGAGAAACCGTCGTTGATAATAACAATGGTACTATATGCAAAGTATTTTTATACGATGTAAATTGTCCATTATTAACATCGAAGGAGACTCTGTACATAGCACATGCAAATGGGTTATTTTTCTCTTTCGTGTTTTCAAATGTTAAATTATTGTAGAGTAAGAGACATAAAAAAATTTATGTTATGCTGTCTGCGTACAATTGCGTGAATGGATTATCCTATTAGGTTTAGTTTATATTATTTATAATTCTTTTAGTACTTTCATTCATATAATTTTGCAGGGCACCTGCAATTTTGTTAGCACCGTAAATACCACTGTGTAAGATAAAAGGTGCATATAAATTGTTACATAGATATTATTTATATAATACTTTTTGACAGTCGATTAAAAAGGTGCTTATTATTTATAAGATTTTGTATTATTTATACCCAATCCAAATTAATCCCCTTCTTAAATCCAAACCAAAGAAGTTATGAAAATATATTTTTCCTTTTAATAAATAATTTATGTATTTGTGTGAAATCCCCTGAATATATTCAATATCTAAGAGGACATTGAAGATTAATTAAATTTTAGTTATTCATAAGACATAACTGGTATTATATAATATTTTGCATTAAGCATACAATTTCATTTAATATATATTTATATTGTTCTTTAGTTATCTTTACTTTAATCTTACTCATATAATTAATTATAAAGAGACGATGTTTGTACATGAGAGATATTTAAGAAAAAATAAGTATTTTGAGGGGCCTTAGTAAGAGCAATGGAAGCCAATACATTTTTTTTTCTGTCTGTATATTTATTGCGAAAACTTCTGCACTAAATTGCATGAGATTTTTAACAGTTGCACTCCTAAAGGTCTAACTTAAAATCTGGTATATGTTTTATTTTAATATGCCATCTAGGAGTGACGTATATTATGGCGGTATCCATAATATAGGACGGAGCTGCGGGTTATAGCTACATCAAAATAATTTTAGAACATATCTGACAATAAAAATACCTCAATTTAGATAAGCTATGAGCATGGTTTTGTGTGCAAATGCCCCATGGTTTGATTGATATTGAGCTTGGGACCATGGTTTCACTTTTGTTGTAATAGTTTACTACTTGTACTTATTGTCAGCTAATTGTCAAATTAGCTCTTTTTTAATTGTTGTTCTATATACTTACGCACATTGTGTACCTTGATCCAAAAATTATAAAACAAAATAAATATAGAAGTTATAGTTTTTCTCGAAGCATTTCTATGGAGATACTGTAATCTATGGTATATATATTATTATTGTTGTTGAGAATTTTTTTATACAAACTTAGAATGGTAAACAAGCTGATGGAAAGTGGTAACCGTCACCTACAGACATAAGCAGTACCATGGACCTTTATAACTTCTATTTTATCTTATAATTTCTGCAGCTTTTTAATAAGTAAACATTTTTTGCAGCAGTGTTATATACAATTGTTTGTATAGCTGTTTTGGTTAGAAGGGTGGGATATGGCAATGAATTTACAACATACAGTGATAACACCTGTTCTCAGGAATGACAACTATGGGAGGTATCATATGCGAAACAATATACTCTGTTATGTTCATGTCTATAGGTGATGGTAACCACTTTCTATCAGGTGGGTCATCAACTTGTTTACCATTTTAACTTGACAAAAAAAATTAAAATTAAGCGTCCATCATAAAAGTAAATATAATAAAAGAGGTGAATAGAAGTTCATTATAGTTTGGTTTAATTACCAAAATAGTAACAAAGCTAAACTCATATAGACTCCTTATATGCTCTATCATACAATAATAAATACTACTGTATTACTATACAGTCCCAAAATAAACAAAGCTTATACCTACTATAGGTAACTGATGAAAATACTTACCTTTATAAATACCTATATATTATACATAAAAAACATCCAGACCCATACAAGCAGACATAATTACGAATACAAACATTTGTACTGTGTGTGGATCAAATCCAATGAAAGAACAGAAAATGAAATAGTGTGTTAGACCTAGAGAGTCATGATTATGTTGTGTATCAGTATGTTAGATCCATATCGGATATCTATTGCATTAAATACATACAGAACTGATTTAACCGAAAATGTACTTTTCAGAGGATTTTATAAAAACTGCTAAATAATATTATATAAAAAATAAAAATACATAATTAGGTTAAAGTAATCCTGTATTATTATTATTCTATATACACTACATTAAAAACAAATATCCTTATCATATAAATATTGTAATAATGTCAAATACTTAATAATTTATTTAAAGTGGTTTAAGACAACAATCAAACTTAATTATTGTGTATATGATATTAGTATCATACAATGATGGTGTTATTATCCATACTGTCCACTGTTGAACATAGGCCTTCCTCTTGGGAGAGTTTTGTTCGATTCTTAAAATAGAATACAGCATATTTTCCTATATAAAAAAACTAAGTAGCATCTAGCAGCATAATTTAAAATACTAAACTTCACAGTTTTATAGTATGGCCCAACTGAAAGTTGCACCTCAAATATAATTAGTATGATTAAATGACCCAGAAGGAATATAGTATGATAATAGAATAATGACAAATTATAGCTAAGATACTATGTAGAGATCACTAAAAAATAACAGGTTATCTTATTGTATAGCACTGTACTTTTTTCATATACTTATAATTGTTTGTAATAACTTTATAAAATTAGGTGACATATTAAACTGACACTCCATATCAAAGTTCAGATCTGTCACCCTTCTCTCTGGTTTTCAGCTCTTCATATAGGCAAGAATCATCAGCACCTTGTAAAACATGTTTTGTACATAAATGGTGTTTCAACTCAGTCTCCCCTTGGTGGTTCCAATACCAGTCTTCAATAGCTCCTTCATGGTCTTCCAACAGAGTCTCACACTGTATTTTCATATGTGTTATCTCTGCCGATGGCTTATCCCACAACTCGAGTGGAATGCCAAGATCAACTTTAACTCCTTTGTCTACTAGGTTATGAAGAGTTCTGAAAGTTTCACTCATACCTTTAGCAAATCTGGTACTATCTTCTCGTTCTTTATGAATGTTATAATTTAGAATTTTATCACAAACCCCCTCTAACGATTCAATCAATCTAAGCTCAGATTTTTGGTATTTTGTCTTCTTTTTAGGCTGGACGTCATCGAGAGAATACCCTATTTCAATCACATCATGTACTTTACCGGTTTCTTCGAGACGTTCTTGCAATTCAGTGGCGAGAATTTTGCAGACTTCGCATGTATTTGCATATTTGACACCAACATCAGCTTCAGACTTAATTTCATTATCGTATGTATATATTATGTTAACGAATAATATTAATAAAAAGAAGGTGAGTAAATGCATTTTAAAAAACAATTTAATGTGATCGAGGAAATAGAAGTACTACTACTAAACAACTATTGAATGACTAAATTAATAGTATTTAAGGAATTATTATTGCAATAATAGATGTATATTCATAAAATACTAAAAATTCTACGGAAAGACCGGACATCATCTGTAATATGACATGTGTCAAGTTGACACATACCTTCCATCCAGAGTAACATGAATCTAAGAACAAGAATTACAGAAAGGAATGATAAAATCATGTGATTGCTCCTTTTTTTGTTATGCAAATGTACAGTAGGTGGCCAAATTATTATACTCATTTGAAAAAAAAAATTGTTTTTCGTGCTTGTTATGTGTTTTATCTATAATCATGTCTAGTTTAAACAATATTTATTGTCAATTATATTAGTTTATGGGTTAAATAATATAAATAAAAACTATAATGTGCGAAAAAGGCTATATATTTAATAATATGTTTTTTTTTATTTAATACTTTATGAAACCTCCTTTCTGGGCAATAACGTCTTGTAGGCGGCGCGGCATACTAGAAATGCAATTGGATGCAATTTCTTGCAGTGATGGTGTATTGTACCATGCTTTTATTATTTTTTCTATCAATTCTACTTTCGTAGTTATGACCTTTTCCTTAGAAATTTCTTTTTTAAGAGCAGCCCAGACATTTTCTATCGGGTTTAAATCTGGCGAATTTCCAGGCCAGTCCAAAATAGTTATTTTATTATCATTTAAAAATTTCATGACTTTTTTGGCCTTATGGCAAGGTGCTGAGTCCTGCATGAATATACAGTCGCCGTCCGGATACCATTCGGCCATCTGGGGAAAAAGACGAGTTTCTAAAACTCGTAGGTATTGGTCTTGACGCATAGTTCCCTCAACTAAATATAGTCGACCATTCCCTTTTGAACTAATCACGCTCCATATCATGACGGACAAAGGATGTTTAATTCGTTCCACAACACAACTTTCATCATATTTTTCATTTGGCCTGCGACGAACAAACTGGGAATTGTCCTGGAGAATTTGAATTGACGATTCATCGGAAAAGCAGACCTGTAAATTCAATAGATTCATGTTAGGATCACTTATTTCATATCAAAATTGAAAAAAATACAATTAATATGACTTGATTACCTTCTCCCAGTCTTTCACAGTCCAGTTTATACATTTTAGCAAATGCCAATCGTTTAGCACGCATCGTCTTAGTCAACTTAGGCTTTTTCAAAGGGCGGCAACAATTGAAATTCAGCTCCTTAAGTCTTCGCCTTAACGTTCTGTCAGACAATGTTACGCCAGCGTCATCTAACAAAGCTTTAATAACTTTTCGGGGCTTTCTGCGATTCTCTATAGTAACACGCCTTATTTCCCTCTCTGTACGAGGCGTCGTAAGGCGTTTTCTTCCACATTTGCCAGCACGTTTTGGTGATAAAGATTTGTTTTCGTCTGTCACTCTCTTTATATTTCTAACTGTGGACTGTGAAACGCCTGCTAATTCAGCAATTTTTCGTTGTGAGTGATTTGTATGATACAAAAGCGTCTTTATTTCCGATCTTTTCTTGGGTAAAATGTCGGAACACTTTCCCATGGCTAAAATAATCGATATTTGATGTTAGAATGACAAAACAACATAAAAAACCAAGTAACAATACAAAAAAAAAATTGATATCCACTATTTATAATTAATAATAATAGAAATATGACATATTACCTTGAATCAAAAGATTTCACAGCAAAAAAAATTTTAAAACACCCTTTTCTAACTTTGTGTTACACGCGCCAAACGCCGGAAAGAAATGGCCGACGTGATGTCCGAGATTTATGGTGTTGCCATGTCAAAATTTTTAATGAATACAAATGTTATTATATCACAAAATATAGAAGTAAGTCCGTAGTAACAGAAAATAACCGAAAGAAGAAAAATAAAGACCAGTGAATTACCGAAAATGTGGAATACTTCGAATGAACATCAAAAAATCATGATGAATATAATAATTTGGCCACCTACTGTAATTAAAAAAAGGAGCTGCCATCAAAAGTGACGCCACGCAGTGAGACGGAGATGCGTCATTTACACGCGTGCGAATGAAACAGATACAGTTGCCATACCAAGCAAAGGTTACGCTACCAGTCTGACACCAATTAATATTTTTATTTACCAATTTATATATTAAACACCAATTTATATATTTATGTTTCGCTTATTCGTCTACTGCACGCTTTTCCGTATTCGCTTGTGTTGATTTAGTACTGGCAACTTTGGTTTCTCTTTTTGGACTTGGATTTTTGTGAATTGGACCGGAATTTGAAACGGCAAAATTGTCGGGATGAATTACCTACATTTTTTACGAGAAAATTTATCAACTTTGTTAGAGGACGTACCCCTAACATTTCGTCGCCGGGAGGGGGGGGGGGGGATCGTTAGGAATGGAATTTGGCAGCCCGATTGCTAGCAGATCGACCTCTGATCTTTGATATGCCCTATCAGGTGAACAATTCTTGATGAATTCGTCACGATGGGCTAACTGATCTGTTTCATCCTCATCTATCATCCTTCACTGGTGCCCCGCCACAGTTTTTCTTAAATGCCCATAATTTTCAAACTGCATGGGATAGATTTCTGATTTTTCTCATGATTATTACAATCAATCCTATCACCCCGTTTCGGCTTGACGTTGAGTTCTGGGACAACTGTATAATATACTATTTTTATTTGTGGAACACAGTATCTTATCAGTATAGCCATGTTAAATCTTAGTGAAATATTGAGCATTTTAGAAATTAAATAATGTTAAATCATTATTTTTATTAAGAGTAATTCTCTATAGTATATTTACATTTATTTTCTAGCCAAACAATCCACTCCTTCGTAACTTCTTTCTGCAAAGTTACTTCTTGAAATATTTCACTTTTTGATTTCTCACTAAAACCTAACTTTTTAAACATTTGTATACTTATAATATTACTTAATGATATTTTTGCTTCATACATTTTAAGATTGATATATTTAATACCATAAATCAACATTAAAATTACAGCTTCCCAACCAAGTTTCTTTCCTCTTGCAGACTCTTCTGCTATCATTATTTCTATTTCTCCAATATAATTTTCTTTGTCTGTTACAAATATATTTGTATCACCTATCATTGAATCTGAAAATATAAGCAAAAATAATATGATGACTTGTTTTAAGAACTGAAATGTAATTATTTGCGCTATTAATACATACTCGTGAGCCATCAATTAGAAATGATAGGTGAGGGTAAATGTTAATAACAAATTTATTGGAATAATGATAACATGGAGATCGGCCAAAAACGATCAAATGGTATCGTTAAACTCTATCCCTAACAATCCTCTCCGCCAAACTAAAAAGCTTTTAGAGACTGGTTTGTTCTTCTGTCAGCAGCTGCATGTAAATAGCTCCTATAACAGCAATAGAGTTGGCCCTCAACATAACACCCCTAGATCTGCACATACAGCAGGAAGAGGCCTTAGCCGCTATCCGACTAATACATCTGGATTTATGGGGTAAAAATCACAACAGTCCCCACACTTCTATTCTAAACCAGGCAATCGAATATGAATCTTTGATTACGGCTCCATGTGACAGCCTCATAATCATTATATAATTTAACAACAAATACAAAATACAAATAAAAGAAGAGGAAAAGGACCAATCTGGAGTACATGAATTACGCATATACACCGATGGCTCCAAAACTGAGAACGATTCAGGTGTCGGAGTTATTTCCTTAGACCTTAATATAAACATACACATACCGCTTGGCATACACAGCTCAATATTCCAATACGAATGTGTAGCAATTACTGAGGCTGCTGCAGCTGTACATAAGCTAGGAATAAATGGTATTGGCATTAGAATCTTATCTGACAGCGCAGCAATACTAAAAGCACTACGAAACAACAAGACAAACAACAAATTAATAAATGAATGCCACTATTCATTGGACAAGATATCTTCCAATAACCGAGTTATCCTCCAATGGATAAGAGGGCACAGTGGATCTTATAGTAACGATTCCGCAGACGAACTAGCAAGATGAGGTTCAGGAACGAGAGTGGTAGGCCCGTATCCACCTCTTCCATTGTCGCAATTTCGAATATGGATTCGTCAAAGATCCGCTGACATACAAAACCAAATATGGATACAGGCTACTGATTGCAGACAATAAAAATTGGCCGTGCCTACGTTGATTCAACGATTATCAAAACGTTTATTACATCTAGATAGGAAAAACCTCAAAATAATGATAGAAACAATAAAGGGCCATTGTCCATTAAACAAATATCTATACACAATAGGAGCTACAGACAGCCCTCTATGTCGAGGCTGTTTCGACGCCGAAGAAACGGCTGCTCACGTAATCCTGGAATGTGAAGCTGTGGCCCATCAACGTTTAGAAATTCTCGGAATGGTGAGGTCACTCCGTGAGGCCTGTGAAGATCCCAAGAAGCTTCTGTGCTTCTGGGCGGAGCTAGGTTGGCTGTATTAGCCACGACTCATACGCACAACGGCCCAAATGAGAGGCTAAGCGCGGAAAAATGAGTCCAATTTACATTACAACAATCCTCTCCTTCCCAAATAATATGAATACCTAATTGCCAAGGCGAGCACGGCCTTACCATCCTTTATTCGATGCGATTCACAACATTTTTTACCCTGGCCCTCTCTCCTTAACTCTCTTTCTCACCCATATAGACACTCATCTCCAAAGAAATTATGCTTTTTTTTACATCCTTTTCATGTCTGATAGCTCTCTGATTTATAAATATTTAGTTTCTCTTAATTTCAACATTAAAATGTAACTCCTTGATCAATAATACTGAAATTTCATCTGTTCCTTTTTAATATCCCATCCCGATTTCCACTTGTTAGTGAGCACCTTAGTAAAATTAAAAAATAAAAATAAATACAATATCTAACTATACCTAATTAGAGCAGAGTAAGGGATGAAAGGATTGTTAGTAATGGAGTTTAACAACCTCAAAATACCCTATCAGGTCAGTTTCCACATGGTTCCCCCTGAAAACGGTCATGTTTAATTCTTATGTAATTCATCACCATGGGCTTATTGACCTGCTTCCATCTTCATATATCATCTCTTAAATGTACTCCACCAGTGTATACAGGTGGGGTTACCATTCCATTCTCACATTTAAAAAAAAATAGAGCAGGTGCAATAAGTACAACATGAAATATAATAAATTATTTTTTTATATGTGTATATATAGGATATGTTATTTTATGCAGCTGCAAAAAAAAGTAGTTAAGTATCTATACCCGAAACAAGTATTAAGTTTTTGTTTCATTTTAACTTTCATCATGTCTAATTTTATAGCTGTTCATGTCTATAAGTTATGGTTTTTACCATTCCCAGTTACATAGAGAATCTTTGTGGATATTAATTAAAAAATATTTGTTATAACACAAACAAACCTATTTCATTTGTTTCTGTATTCTTCTGCAATATTATAAACGTACATTCTGAAAAAAAAAAAAGACATTTGGTTAATGCAGATAATATAGAAAAGAAAACAAATTATTCCAAACAATTAAAAAGAAATTACTAGCAAGTTTTTATAAATAAATATGAAACTTAGAAACATATGTGACCATCTAAGGCATAGGTAGTGTTAAATCTAACCATAGGACAAACTATAGTATAATTATAATCCTATACATCAACATAATGAGAACGAGGTGTTTTTGTGCAGATTGGTAAGATATTCTAGACTGAGTCGTTTTACGCAACTTGTATGAAATACATTATCTTATCCCTTTGTTATATACTCTTTGCTCTTTGTACTTTATGTATTTGTTATTGCTTATTATATATTTTATGATATAATTTATATCTTAAAAAAAAAACTTACTGTCTTCATCGTCTTGCCAAGATTTTTGCATTTCATACTCTTGTTCTAAGGACAGAGGTTCTGATGCAGTGAGTCTTTGTAGTTCCTCTGATTTCATCCACATATGATATCTGTAAATAATTAAAATAATCAAAGCAGCTATATAATATGTATGTATATAAAACATGAAGTAATGATTTTGATGGTCAATAGTATATAAGGGGGAGCCAGTGGGCCATGGCCACCTCAAAATTGTCTTGTGTTTACTCCAACATGCAAGTGAAGCTTCTCAAAGATCAAAATGTCTGAGAGTACATATGCATTTTCTTTAAGGGGCCAGGCCTTTTTGGAAGATACTCTTAAATACCCTAATGATTTCATGTCTATTTTCTTTAACAGCATTACAGTCTGCAACATTGCCTGATATAGTTACTGCTCAGGGAAAGGAACATTTGGTTTATATTGAAAATAAGAATTTAGGTATAAGTGACATGTATTAAATATTATAATAATTACTTTTAGCTGTTGTGTCAGGGCTAGCAATCAAAAGATAATGCAATGAGAGTGTGCGTGCTTCTCACTTGTCCACTCACACATATGTTGCATGAGTTGCTTATATTGTAAAATTATTTGTTAAATGTAAATAAATTTATAACCACCTTTTCTAGTGTTTAAGGGAACTTCGGGGAAAGGAGTATTTTATTGGAATTATTGCATTCATAGATTAATAACTGCTACACATGGAAAAGTTCATTATAGTATATAATAATACAATTATATATTATTATTAAATTGTATTTCAGTGAAATACACTGACTACTTACTTTGGTACATGATGTTTTCTGTAAGGCACTAACGTAATATTTGGTCCATTAATTTGTGTGTTAATATTAAGTTTCATAGTTTCAAAAAAATCAGTGTATTTTGTTGTCTTAATAAAGAAAAAAAATATAGAAATTCTGTAAACATAATAATATGATAGGTATGTATATTAAGAATTTAATTCAAGTCTGTTTACTTCATATACACGATAAATTGCTACTAGTAATTAAATATATAGATAATCTATTCTGAAAAATTATGCTATGCAACCATTTGAATTCATCCATAGAATAAAAATGAATAGAGATTCGTTTTTTTTAATGAATGATGATGGAATGATAACCCTGCCTGCGCTATCGATATACAATATATATGTACACAGACGGGGCTATAGTGAGGTATGATTCGTGAGGATGAAAAGGTAGATCGGTTAGCTCATCGTGACAAATATAAAGATAAATTAGTAACGATGGTTTCCAGGGGGAACCGCATGGAAGTCGACCTGATAAGGTATATTGATAGCAATCGAGACTAACTTCCTCATTATTAACAATCCCTTTCCCCCAATTCGATTCATTAGGGAAATACTACTTGTTCCTTTGTTTACTCAGTGTTACTCAGTTAGTGGTGTCGATCACAGACAGAGTACACTACAGTGTGCCTTAAGTAAGCACTGAAGGCAATACAAAAATGTCATTTGAGAGCTATTATTGTGCAATTTTCACTTATCGTAAATTCTTCCAACCATAAATAATAAATATATATATATATATATCGATAAAAGGATATTATTATGTAGTTTTATATTTGAGAGAAACTTTCTACAAAAGTTCTTTAGTAATTATATGGCTGTGTTTAGATTTGTACAGAGGCATAATACCTTATTCCTAAAGAATGGCAATGCATGAAAATATCATGAACAACACAGTATACTTTGTTATATTTATGTTACTATTATTATGTGTAGGCGACGGTTACCACTTATCATTAGGTAGACCGTTAACTTGTTTATTATTCTAAGTTGCATAAAAAGTTTCACAATATTGCAAATATTCTTTTATTTTATTATATATTGATAATTTTAGGTAACACAGAATTACTTCCTATTATATTAATATAAGGCAGTGCCGACACTTAAATAACCCTTGACGTCCTGAATTAGTGATTAGATTACAACTTGTCAAATTAAATTTGGAATTTGGAAGTTAAAAAGCGCGGGAAACGTTTAAAAAAGCGGGAGTGTTTTTTGATCTTCTTTAAATTAATTTTATTTTTATTTATATAAGGATTAGTCTTTTTTATATATTGTGTATTAGATTGTATATTTAATTGTATATTTTGTAGTAATAGTGTTTGTTGCTGTAAATATTGGTAAGTAAATTACCTATATTAACATTATGGATCCACCTATAGACCCTGGGGGGACAACCCCCCAGGTGTCTGCAAATATAACTATTCCATTCAATAATAGTTTTGATATATTAGGTGAATCTAGTATGGACACAGATGGTTCTAGCGTTGCAAGTTCTAAACGTAAGCGAGTACGTGGTGAACGTCGCATTTGCAAACATTGCAATAAAAAACGAAGGAGGCACACCAAGGGTCTTGAATCTAAAATTAAAGATAGTGATTGTCAATGTATTGAAGATGAGAATCAAACTCAAGAATCAATACCAGTTGTAAACAATACCGAGTCTGTTAAACCTGCTTCTCCACCCAGTACTTTAAGCAGAACTTTGTACAATGCCGAGGATATAGCACCTTATGTCGTTCATGTACAAAAAAATGAAACACATCCTAATGATAACACTACATTACATCCTATTGCATTTGGTCGCTTTTTACACACTAATAAGATAAATAATATAGTGAATGGTAGCCTCAAAAGAATAGGAAGAAACCGTTTATCGCTTTCTTTCTCAAATTTTGAAAATGCAAATGCATTTTTAAATAATAGTAACTTAGTGACACATAATTTTAAGGCATTTATACCTTCTTTCCATGTAACCCGTATGGGAATTGTGAGGGGTATTCCTAAAGATTGGACAGAAGAGGAAGTAATCCAAAATATATCAGTACCGATAGGTTGTGGGAAAATTCTAAAAACCAGAAGAATAAAGAAAAAGACAATTAATGAAGGACAACCAAGTTTTATTAATACTGAAACCATTGTTATTACTTTTGATGGACAAATATTGCCAAAAAGAGTATTTATGTTTTACACATCATTAACTGTAGATTTGTACATTTACCCTACTATCCAATGCTATAACTGCTGTAGGTTCGGACATGTCAAGATGCAGTGTCGTTCAAATCCTCGGTGTTATAAATGCAGGCAAAATCATACAGGTGATAAATGTGAAGTAGATGAGGAAAATGTTTCTTGTATCTTGTGTAATGGTTCTCATTCAGCAATTAGTAAAAAATGTCCTGAATATGCACGTCAGAAAGCCATTAAAGAAACAATGGCCCATAGTTGTGTTTCTTATGCTGAAGCATCAAAATTTCATCCTCCAACTTCTAAACTATATTCAGATGTATTAACATCATCATCTCCTTCCAATAAATCTCATTTTCAATCTTCTTTCCTTAAAGAGAAATCATCATTACCACATATACAATCATCATATAAAAAAACAGTTACACTTAAACCACGCTCTCCTCAAAAATACAACAAGGATATGATCGTTCTGCCCATGAAGCCATAGTTAAGGAATATAATATTCCTGCTCCCTCTAATGGTTGTGCATTATCATCAAATAATATTGACAATAATCAATCCATCATTGATATTATTCTCATGCTTATTAAAGTGTTATCGCAATCAAAAATGATACAAACAACTTTACCACCGTCCAACGATGCCATGTACAATGTATTGTCTCAATTGTTAACTTCTCGCAATGGATTACAAAGTCCAAATAATTCAGTGGAACTGTCGTAGCATAACAAATAAGAAATCAGACTTATTTTATTTGATTAATAAATATAATCCTTTTATAATAGCTCTACAAGAGACTTGGTTAAAGCCAGGATATCCTTTTAGGATTTCAGGCTTTACAAGTCTCCGTGATGATAGAGCTGACGGATATGGCGGTGTTGCCATATTGGTCAAAAACTCCCTTCTTTTTCTTCTTTTTCGCTTCCTGTATATAGCGGCATTAATGCAGCTGCTATAATTATAAATGGTATCTGTTTTGTTACTTTATATATTCCTGATCCTACATGCCAAATATATTCACAACTAGAACAATTATTTTCAATTTTACCTAAACCTTTTCTCGTAATGGGCGATTTTAATGCTCAGCACCAATCGTGGGGCAGTTCTACTTCTAATTTTTATGGTGGAAAACTCCTGACGATAATTGACACTTACAACTTATGTATTGTTAACTCAGATGTACCGACACGTAGAACTGCACCGAATGAAGGGTTTAGTGCTCCTGATATTTCAATATGTTCTTCTGATTTAGCTTCTTCACTGTCGTGGTATCCTCATTCCTCTACCTTCGGAAGCGATCACTTTCCCCTCATTCTTTCTTTTCCAATTTCCATTCCCTCAAGTCGAAAGAGTAGTCCTCGACTTAAATATAATTTATCAAATGTAGACTGGAATATTTACAAACAATATTTAGATAATAAAATATCGGAGTTACCTATTGTTTATCATGGAAATGAACATCAATGTTGTAATGACTTGATAATTAATATGAAGGAGGTTGCTGATTTATTATTTCCTGTTAAAAATAGTGCTTCAGGGAAAATTCCCTCCCCACCTTGGTGGGACAAAGATTGTACGGAAGCAATTAAAAATCGTAAAGAGGCTGAAAAAAATTATAATAATTACATGACATCAGAAAATTTTGAAATTTACACCGCAGTTTCACGTTCTACTCGAAAACTACTGAAAAAAAAGAAATTGGAAGGTTGGAGAAGATTTTGTTCTTCTATCTGTCCAGAAGTTAATTCATCAGTCGTTTGGAATAATATTAAAAGATTCAGATCTGCCTTTAGTGATCATACATCACGTTCTGCACTCGATTTAACTTTAGCGAATAAATTTTTAGATCGCCTTGCTCCTAGTTATGTGCCGGAATGCCTTTACAATATTTCTCTATCCGTCTCTGACGAATTATCCGAACTTGAGTCTCCTTTTACTCTTGTAGAACTTAAAGGTGTTCTAGCTTGTATTAAAGACTCTGCACCGGGAGAAGACGGTATACCGTATTCCTTTTTTAAAAATGCTAGCGATGCGACATTAATTTACTTTTTAAATATAATTAATTCCATAATTATTTCGGGAAATATACCTACTTCATGGAAGTCTCAGATTATTATACCATTTCTAAAGCCTCATAAACCACCTTCTGAACCATCTTCATACCGTCCTGTTGCACTTTCCTCTGTCTTACTAAAGCTAGCTGAACATTTAGTGAAGAACCGTCTAGAATGGTTTTTAGAAAGTAATAACTTACTATCCCCGAACCAGTTTGGTTTTAGGAAAGGTAAGAGCACCTTAGATAATGTGAGTGTTCTTATTTCAGATATTCATATAGCTTTCTCACAAAATTTGTCAATCCTCTCAGCCTTTTTAGATATAAATTCTGCCTATGATAATGTAATAATTTCTATTTTAAAAACTAAATTACAAGCTTTAAATGTACCGGTAATGCTTTCTAATTTCATTATTAATATTTTATCAGAAAGAACAATACATATGGATCTAGATGAAGATACCAAATTATCTAGAACAGTATGGAAAGGCCTTCCACAAGGATCTGTTCTCAGTCCAATTTTATTCAACATATACACATACGATCTAGAATCATTCCTTGATAAATCCGTCAAAATTTTACAATATGCTGATGATCTCTTATTATATTTTATTGCGAAGTCCATAGAATCTGCTTCTGCCAAATTATCTGATTCATTAGATTTGTTAAAAACGTGGTTAGATGCAAATGGTCTTAATCTTTCTGTAACCAAGAGTAGTGTAGTTTTGTTTTCAAGAATGAGATCACCGCAACAAATTAAGGTTCTTTATGATAACTCATACATTCCTATAAAGACTGAAATTAAATTTTTAGGTATCGTGCTAGATAATAAATTAACAGGTCTGTCCCACTGTAATTATATTTCCACGAAATGTGAGCGTAACCTCAACATTCTTAGGTGCCTTGCTGGAGTTTGGTGGGGAGCACATCCCGTTTCACTAAAACTTGCTTATAATGGTCTTATAAGGAGTGTCATTGATTATGGAACTTTTTTGTTAGCTCCAGGAAGTTCATTTGCTTTTAAGAAATTGGATTTAATTCAATCAAAGGCCTTGAGGATTATCTCTGGAGCAATGAAATCAAGTCCAATCAATGCTTTACAGCTCGAAGTCGGTGATCCACCTTTGGTTTTAAGAAGGCAATATTTATCTGATCGCTTCTTTTTTCGTTGTTTACAATTATCTGATCATCCGCTTATTCAAAAGTTATCTCAACTATATATCTTTATTTCGTCTTCATCTTATTGGAAACATAAAAAACCTCCATGTTTAATACAAAGTTATGAAAAATATAAATCCATAGAATCTCCCACTTTTACATCGTCCTGTTTTCCCATTTATAAATGCTCATATCAATCTTTAGTTTTATCTCCTAATATTAAATATGATTTTGGGTTATCAAAAAATGATTCAGAATTGAATGCCAAATTTATGTTTATAACTGACATTGAATGGAATGAATGGCACTACATCTTTACAGATGCATCAAAACCAGACAATAGCGGTTGTGTAGGTGTGGGTGTGTTTCATTCACAATTTAATATCGTTCAAAAAATTAAACTTCCATCGGAATCTTCAGTTTTTACCGGGGAATGTTATGGTATTTTAAAAGCTGTAGAATATATACTTTTAATGAAATTACATAAGGCAATAGTTTTCACTGACTCTATGAGCTCTTTGCAAGCTCTAGCCAAATATCCGTTTAAATCAAAACCAGTTTATCCCATTATTTGTGACATAAGACAAAGTCTTTATCTTTGCATGTTGAGAGGGTATTCCGTTTCTTTTGCCTGGTTACCAGGACACAGTGGTATTAGCGGCAATGACAAAGCTGACCTTATGGCAAGAGAGGCTGTAACTTGTGGTGATATGTATCCGTATCATAATTACTGTAGTGACCTAGCTTGTCTCCCAAAAATATATTTAAGGTATGCCTGGAAGGAATATTGGGAAAAAACAAGTACAATAAAAGGAAGATTTTATCGCCTTATACAACCCGATATTCCTTTCAAACCATGGTTTTGTAAATTAAAGCTTGGAAAGACCGCAACAACTATTATAACTCGTATGCGTCTAGGTCACGTATGCACACCTTCTCATTTATACAAGCTTGGTATTGTACAAAGTTCGTCGTGTAATTGCGGTGCTGAAGTGGCGGACTTGAATCATATATTCTTCTCATGTTCTAAATTTGACCACACCTCCCTTTTTAATCATCTCCGATCCATCCGTGTTCCATTCCCAACTTCTATTCTTACTCTACTTTCTTCCAATGATCCTATTATCTATAAAATACTATCTTCATATATATATGATAACAATATTAAGATTTAGTTATATTACATGAATACATTTATAGTTGCATCAATTGCTTTTCCTATATATTTATAAGTATATTCTCATATGTACAAGTATATCCTTCATATCCTATAAATATCCTAGACCTAATCCTTATCCTTTCTAAATTCGTTTGTGTTAGGTATTTTTATTACTATTATCGTTTCCCCGTTTTGTTCTTGGCAAAATACCCTAATATCGGGGTGAACGCCACATAAGAAGAAAAAAAAAAAAAAAAAAAAAAAAAATTTGGAAGTCAAACACTATTCATTTGACTATAACGAACCGAACTAAATTGTTTTCTCTGAATTGAAATACATTTTTTCTTAAGATTTTTTTTTCTTTTTAGGTCTCTCTGACATAAATAATTGATTAAAATAGTTGTAACGATTGTTTGATACGATATGTTAAATTGTTGATGTTGATCTAGATTTGTTTTTAGTTGATTTGTATTATCAGGATATCGAGCTTGCTTATCGTTTTAGTATCAATGCTGTTAACTCTATTTTAGACTACATAAATGTTAATTTAATTTTTGTAAATTATTTATATGCAACCAAATTCGTGAAATTATTAGTGTCATAATGAATGTCTATCTATTTCTGTATTTTCACATATCTTGGTCACTATCATAAGACCAATAACAATAGCAGAGTGACAAAGTATTTCGTACCAATATTTATGCGACATAAGTTTTTATATGAATCATCATGAATCAGTACCAAACAGAACGAAGACTTTGTTGGTGTTACGCTCTACTCGCCACCTTTCTTGCTGTTTCGGTGGTTTGCATAGCAATACCATATAATCACTGGCGGGCGACACTCGACGTTTGTCCAGGAAGTTGGCTCGAAAATACCAATTGTGGGTGCATATTCTTTGGTGTCAGCACATTTCAGTACTTCAATGGAGGCCATAATTCATATTGTTTGTATGCAATATTTGCACCATTACCTATTCTGGCCTATGCACTTATTATGGCGCTGTTTCATATGTATAGAGTGTGCATCAATAATGTGGGACAGTATGAAGATGAGAAATCTACGGCAATGGAAGAAATGTAAGCAAATAATTTTACCAAATATTTACATGATTAGTATGTATATAATATGTGTAGTTAATCTAATTGCTAGCTTTTACCGGTGACTTATTTCAATGTGACTGAGATATGCCCACAGATAAGGAGAAAAAGTAGTGTATAGTATAGTATATATATGTATAGTGTAAGTCTTCAGGATTTCATCTATTTCTATACTGAAATTCATCATAATTCAGCAGTAAACTGCTGTCTGAACACATGAAAGTGTATCATACAAACCAACAAACTCACTTTTGAATTTATATTAATTATTATTAAGAATAACTGGGAGAAAAAATTGCTCATGTCCTTCTCCATCCCAAATAATATGTGTTTACTAAATTTTATGAAATGAAATGAGTTTATTTAAATTAAACAGTCTTAAAATTATTAACAAAAACCACATAGTACTATTTTGGCACCTGTTTTATTGCCTAAATCCATGTAGGCATGTAAATATTTACATTTTATAAAATAAGCAAAAAAGTAAATTATAATTCCATTATATTATCATTACATATTAATTTTTATGCCTATTTGTTAAGTAGTAAATGTATGTGGATATTAAAGGAAGCATACAGTTACAGTAACATAATGAGTAAATAAAATAATAAGTTAAATACAAGCTCCCAATACACACCTTGTATAGGGGGAAAGGGATTGTTAGTAATAGAGACTGAGAATCCTATTGCTAGCAATATACCCAACCAGGTTGACCTCCTCGCGGCTCCCCCTGGAAACTATCATGGTTAATTCCTGATGAATTCATCATGATGGGCTAACTAGCCTGTTTTCATTCTCATCTATCATCCTTCACTGGTGCTCCGCCAGTGTATCTCGTTAGTGCAGGTGGGGTTACCATACCATTTTCATCCATCAAAAAAATACACACCGAGTTAATGAAATTATTATAATCTAGATTTTCATGTAGAGACAAAATGTTTTTCTTCTATATGATTATATTCATTTGTATGACTGTTACTACTGATGAAAATATTAATGTAATTTTCCCTAAAGAAATAGATGAACTATTGTTAAGTATATTTCAATAATACAAATATTTTTGCTTTGACAATTATTTATCAAAATAACTAAATATTATATTGCAGAAGTCTATATCACAGATTATTTGATTACAATTATTTTGTTTAATTCTACTACCATTAGTATGTGTATGACTGCCAATACTCAAACACCACTATTACTATTAGAAGTTCCCCAATCTTCCAGATTAGCCATCAATCTCCAACTGCTATGCACTCAAACTGCGAAATTAATTTAATTCTTTACCAATTCAATTAATAGATTGATATTGAGGAGCTATTTCTCCAAACCTATCTCTAAAATGTATATTTTGGTTTGATATTACAGTAAAATCTTTATTCTAATGGCCAATATGAAGTAAATTTCTAATAAAGTAAATTGATCATAAATTTAGTTTATAAATAAAATTTTTATAAAACGATAACTTTGCAAAAATATTAAATTGAAATATTAAGACTTAAAGTATATAGATTACTAATATAAAAGAGGGAAACATAATAACATACTATAGTTAGAGTAAGATAGGCATGTAGTACAGTCACCTACACAGTATAAGCTTGAAGCTGATTTGGCAGGAGCTTGAACTAAAAAAATTCTTATTATTTTTAGTTTTTGAAGTGGAATTAGTTTTAAGTGAATGTAGTTAGAATTAAGTGGGATGTATCTTAATGTAAAATAAATTATGCAACGAACACAAATATAAAACATATCTAATTTGACCCTAAATAAAGTTCTAAATGTTCACAAATTGAAATTAAAATTATAACAAATACATGAGATTTTGTTATTTTTGCAACTTCAGCTGTATATAAATTTAGAACTGTCATGTACACACACTTGCAAAAGACATATTAGTGTAATAATTTTGTAGTTTTTTTTTTGTGATTAGATTGCCAGTGTATCAGTGTATAGTATGTTAAACTATATATACATATATTCTTTATTGCACCAAAACATACAGTAACAACAATAATTTTTTTTTATACAACTTAGTATGGCAAACAAGCTGATGGCCCACTTGATGGAAAGTGGTAACAGTCACCTATAAACATGAGCAGTACCATGGACATAACAGAGTATACTGTTTCGCCCATGATACTCCCCATGCATTGCTAGCAAAGGCAAACTTATCTCTAAAAGAGATTTCTTCCAGTCAACCTGTCTATGGGTAAGAGAGATTTAGAGATATGGTACCTCAAAATTGACTCAATTGCCTTATTTTCTCAACTACTGTGCATATTTATTTTTCTATGCTACTTTTTAGTTTTTATGATTATTTATTTGTGTTTCTAGAGTTTGAAACTTTCCACAGAAATTTTTTTTTTTTTATGAACATGTTTTAAAAATCTCTTTTTAATAGCAACTATACTAAATATATATCACAGTCACATTATTTTTTTAGTGAAGGAGAAGCCATTGTAGTGACAACAAGGACAAGAGTAAGCCAAAAAAATGATGCAGTAATATATTGTTGGATACCAACAGCTTCTATTGCTGCGATCTTTTGCCTGTATAATCTGGTACATGCTGCTATTATAACCAACGGCTTTCTGAAGACTTGTTCACAGTACAGAGGATACCTTGCTAGGGTAATAATTTAATCTTCATAATCAAATAGTTCTTAACTTTCTAATATTCCCGTCATTACTAAATAAATAGTGAATTGTATGTTGTTTTGAGCATACTAATTATAAGTTTTATTGATATTTCAATTTTTTATATTTAGGGAAAAATTTTTAGGAAGAATTTTCTCATACTGGATGTAAAGGCATTATGCCTCTCTCCCAAAAGAACGCCATATGCTCCGATTCAAACAGACCTTCGTATTCATCAATTTCTTCGTACACGCTTACCGGTTACTGGTACTTTTAATTTAGTCATTCCTTAGCACGTCGCCTATTTGGTTAACATACGTTCGTCTAGGCAGCCCCTACAGATTAACTATAAAAAATAAATGATATGGAAAAAGAAGTTTATTTTGCAAGAACTAATATACAATATTTGTTCTTACAGGAAATCCACGCATCTGGCGATCACGTCTCCGTTATTCATTTCCGTCTCACTTGTCAAGCTATTTTCGACTTTATGGACTACTTGCAGAAGAATGCACCAAACAGTCGCCGTGGAGAATTCATAAACACAGGTGTGGCATTGCAAATCGCACTTATTACCTCGTGGGTGGCTGTAGCTTTGTGGATAGGGGTTGTCATCCTTACTTCAATCAGGGCATACAAGGAGAGGAATGTACTGACATGCTGCGGTAATTAAATTTCAGCTATTTAACCCAGAGATCAATAAAATAAAACTATAGTACTGAAAAATCAAATAATAATAAAAACTATATTAAAATAAAATGAGCTAAAGCTCATCAGTTTTTACATAATTTTGATGAGTTACTTTATGAAAATCAAATTTGTTTATATTTGAATTATTTATATTAAAATGTTACACAAGCCCAGGCGTGTTCTTATGATTGGTCCACATTATACTATAGTTATTTTAAATTCTGTCAAGCTCCGGTCGCCGACGATTGTATGCGATCAGTTGCTGCCGTGTAGTCTGCTATTACGCCCCGGCCCAGTGAATAATCAAATCCAGCTACTGGATTCTATTCCAGTCAGTGCCTATTACATTATTCCAACTATAATCCAGTGTTGGATTTGATCGCAAAATCGGAAAAATAATGATTAATATAACATGTATGTGTAATATATTGTGTTCATTTACTTTTTAAGCAATCAGACAAGTAGGTAATAAGTAATAATGACATAATTCAATAATAAAGTCTACCAATGTAGTTTTTGACTGAAGTGTTTATTGATAGTATTTTTGAGATGATTTTATTTTATTTTTTTAATTACAACGAAATATCTATCTAATGTAAAGATTAGTCCATTATAAAAATGCTAATTTCTAACCAAGTGACCAATTTTTTTATTGATAGTTACCTCCAGTTAAAGACAAGTACTGTAAAGACTGAAATAGTAACTGTGCCTAGACATCTATCTATTATAAGATAATAGGTAATCACAATAACAATAAATGTTCTTTATGTATTTTATCTAACTACATAAAATAGCTATTTTTTTAAAACACGTTTTATTCCACCTACTAATGATTTACTTATATTTAAGTGTTTTATGACATTAAGGTACATACATATTTTGTGTGTTGTATTAACAATTTGTGCCGTTTATTTTAAATATATTTATATAGATAGTTAATTGCATACTTGTATTTTACTTAATTTTTAATATAGTAAACTATTTATACAATTCGTCAATGTTAACTTGTGCCGTCCATTTTTAGTTAAGTAACGTAATTTTTATGGTAAACATGTATCTTCAACCGACTTCAAAAAGAAGGAAGTTCTTAATTCGATTGCATTTTTTTTTTTATTTTTTACGTCGTTACTCCGATTTGGAAATTATTTTTTTACATACTTAAAGGTTGGTCTTATAGATAGAACTTTACAAAATTTGTTCAAGAGTTTAGTTTTTATGTAAAAATAACTGGTTTTGTCACAATTGAAGTCGGTTCTTTGTCGTAAAACACAATCTTAATAATTATATAATAATGTACATTATTTACATACTTATACAATCGTACAAAATAAATGTTTGTTATTCATATTAATTGGGTGTTTACTGATTTTTTTAATACTTAATGCAAATATCCTAATTTTTCTTTATTAGTGAAAGATGTACCTATGGTACTTGACAACCTAAAAACTTGTTGTGAAAATATAGATTTCTTTTATGCAACTAGAATGGCAAACAAGCTGACGGCCCACTTGAAGGAAAGTGGTAACCGTCGCCTACAGATATGAGCAGTACAAGAGCAGCCAAACTGCTATCCGTTTCATCTCTAATTTGAATTACAAGTAATTCAAATATTACTTAGCCTTGACTATCTTGTGGGTAGAAGGTAGTGGGCGACTGACTGAATGTAAATTGAACAAGACTTTTTAAATAAAACTACATTTGTCCACATAAAATATATTAACCATAAAAAATCAACATCATTCTCTGACTGGCAAGTGTCCGCAGCTTGGCTTACGCTGTTTTCTAACATCTAGGTACAGGATTTATTTTGATTTTGGTAGGTATATTGAGATGTATTCTTTGGATCTATTGACACTGCACGTTGAGAACTTTTGTTCAGTCAAGTTCTATGTTTGCGTTATTCAATATACATTTCACGTTTTATTATGTATAGTTTTAATGGAGAAAAGTTCACCACCAATTCTTTGACTACATGAGTCTTAGTTTATACAGAATAGTTTGTATAAAATATGTGCAATCATTGATAAAATGATAACAAATTCAAATTATCCGGCTCGAAGGACTATGAAGAAAATTAAGCTGATATAGTTATAATGTCCATGGTAGGTACCATCTATCTAAGAAAAAAAATTTAGGCAATTCCAATTACAAAAGAGTATAATATTTACAAAGCCGATATTCGTCCGAGTTCTACGAGTATATTAAAATTTGATGGCTAATGAAAGAAAGGTAAAAAATAATGTCCTACGTAAAGGAGGTTTTACAACTATTTATTTCAGTTTCGGCTTGTGAAACTTTTTATTACATTTATGATTTATATTGACACTATTTTTCTTAGTTCCATTTAGATAAGGTGAGATTTTAATCTCACACAATAAGAGTTAAGTGCGGTATTTGTAGTCAAGGTTAACCTAATTTGACACTTTCTTACAGTCAAAACATTCTTGCGCAAACCGTAGGTTAGGCTTTGGCATCTATTTTTTACAAGGATGTTACAAACTCCTTTGTAATTTGTTTCTAATATTTTATTCTTTTAATTGTTCATTTTTTTTTTATAAATTGTCAGTACAACTTTTCAACACGAACCGGCGTTTTGTTTTCTACAATTTCAGTTCACAATAAAGGGTTTTCGTGATCATTCACTAACAACTTGCATAACATCAGTATATTGCTACTTATGAATACTTTCACATAACTGTAGCCACAGTACACATATGTTTAATTAATGGTCAAAATGTTTACATTTATTAGGTATTATTAAAATTCTCGACTAAACTTCGATATTTTATCTAATACATGTATGTTTATAGTAAATAAGTAATAATAACTAATTACAGTATAACGGCATATAAATTCTTCTTTATATTATATTACACAACAAAATTTTTGGTGTTTCTTCCTAAAAATAAAATATCGCAACTTTATGGTTATGTCGCCTTTTTGTTGAACGTGCAAGAAACACCAAAATATTATATAAAAGTTAAAACAGTACTTAATGGAATGCTTACTTAATATTATCACACTGAATTGTAACAGATCATATTTTACGTATATTCATTACGAAAACTAGTTTACAATTATTTACTAGAAAATTATTCAAGATAGGCGGAGTATATGTTGCAGCTGAGGATTAGAGGATATAATAGTAGTAGATGCCAGTATAGAAAGCCGCTGTCTATACGCAGTATGCCGAAGCAATCTGATTATGTGTTTACTGTCGACAGCTGACTGAATATACATTCGATATAAACGCAGTATCAATATTAATTCAAATCCAATATAATCAATTTCCCCTTGTATATTATACAGTATGTGAGCACTGAGTAACTATTTGATTTATATTTAAACGAAAAATAGTATTAAAACTGTTACAGGCCTTATAAAATTTACATATATATACCTATTTAAAATGTGTAAAAACATAATTAAATGACAATAGTATATAAAATGCAATACAATAAAGTTATTGGCAGGTCATAAAAAATTACGTAGGTAATCAAAACGTAGTTGGTACTAATTAACAATTGTATAACTACTACAATATAATCACTAACTAAAGTTATAATAAATGTTTATAATTATTTTAACATCAATAAAATTATGGTGAAGTAATCTGGTGAAGAACAGAGACAGTAGTTTCTTATGTTTCAAATTTTTTTAATATAATTAAATAATTCTTATAGATTTAGTTACGAGTTAAAAAACGTAAGTCAGTTTGGTAGTCTTGCCATTTAACTTTTTTGCCAACTACTTAAAAATACATATTATTCTAATACAAACCTAGCATTCTTTATTCAAATTATAACACATCGTATATATTTAGGTGGAGTGATGAGTGTTTAAAAACATCTCAAAAAACGATAATAAAATACTAACTAAAAACAACAATATACAGGGTGAAAAGGACAGGTTAGTCAAAATAAAAATAGCTGTTTCAGATGAATGGTCTGAATTAGACAACAGATTATTTTACCATCGGGAATGCACCAGTCATGTAATTAGCAATTCTTAGTTTTAACGCCGCGCAATGCATTTGAAATTTTATGATCCACACGACGTGAGATAGCTACAGCACGTACAATATGTTACTACTGGTTAATGGCGCTTCTTCGTAGGTATTTTTCGTACGCTTTTTACATAGATGATTCCATGCACTGCGATAAGATTTTAATACAAATAAATACATTGCTGTTTTTTTGGTATTTCATAGTATTTCACTATAAAATATTATTATTTCTTTATGACATAATATCACAAATTACATGATTTCTAAAAAAAAACAAAATATTTTGAAAAATTCTGGCAAGAATTTAGACTTGTTTTCAGTTCAGAATAATGGTCTAAATTCACGGTTTCAGTTTTTGCCGACGTGTCCTTACACCCTGTACAACACGCTATTTTTCAGTTTTACAAGTAATCTGAATTTCCTAGATCAGGTGCATTTTGTAAATATGAATTGATTTATTTTTTTAGATCATTATAAATATTATAATATACCTATAAGTTATATATGAATCATCATGACCCTTATCCCAATCATTTACGTAATATGATTTTATCCATATCAAAACGACCGGCCACCTGCCTGACGTCAACGCATACAAATGAATATACATATGTTTATTAAAACGGGGGCCACTTTCAATAATTCTAACCATGAATACATACTCTTACAGTCTTATTCATAAAAACGTCAAACCAATTGAACTGTTTTGTCTCTTTCTAAATTTCCAACTTGAAAGAAAGTGACAAAACAGTGTAATTGTTTAAAGTACATTTGTAGAATATTTTAGTTTTTATGAATAAGGGGCTATGTATGTACTTAAGTACATCTTTGGAATATGGAAGTGAGAGTATTGTATTTTATTTTTATTTTACAACATTACAATATTGACATTCTAATATATCACTATTCATACATATAAGAGTAAAAAAGTTAGGCAGATTTTGGCAAACTGTTTGCAGTAAGACACTATTTAGACGTCATTAATGTAAGGTTTAAACGTCATTTTGACACTCTGCTTCCCAGTCGGTTGGTATTAGTTTTTCAAGATGGTGTTTAAACTCCGTGTATGGGCATGGATCACTACAGAAGGTTAATTTCAACTCCATAGGGACCTCAATTTTTGTATTGTTACGGTAAAACGCCTGAAAATTGTAGTTACATTTTGATAATAAAACCAGTATCAACATTGTAAATATTTCTGACAAATAAATAGTAACATCTAAAATGCGCAATGCGTTAGCGATATCTTTGGAATTGCAAAACGTTCATAGGTTGTGCTACTGTGATAGCCGCTTACCATCAGGCGGACTGTATATTTAATAGTGTAACTGCATAAAAAAATATAACATTTCTTACAGGTATTTCTGCCATAAAAACTTATCTTTCAATAATATAATATGGTATTATATATTGTATTATTATAGTAATAAAGATTAGATTTTGTGTTTCTAATGGATAAACTCAAAATTTATTAAACCGATTTTAAAAATTCTTTTAATTCTTTTTTACTTATATAAAAAAAAAATTGAACGTCTGTGTGAGTTTCTAGTAGTTTATATTCATAAATGATATAACTGACAAATACCTTTACAAAGAAATTATCTTGTTCCACTTCTTCATGAAGTTCCAGAGCTATGCTGGCGCCGTATTCTGGCTCAAGCAGCTCCTGGAAACCGAGTGCGCGCCACAACGAGACAACATTCACATCATGCCCAGAGTATAAGTATAAAGATCGATCAATGTTCTCGTGGCTCACAGATTTGTCAAAGTTTTGCTTAATTTCATTGAGGAGGGGGCCTGTAAGTACAATATAGATATTTAATATTTTATATTTTAAGAAGACACAAAGAAAAGGAACATGTTTTACTTGCATCAAACATAGGGTTTAGACAAAATTAAGTTTTTTTTTTTATACAACTTAGAATGGCAAACAAGCTGACGGCCCACCTGATGGAAAGTGGTAACTGTCACCTATAGTACATAAGCATTACCATGGTTTTTTTAACTGTTTCGCCCATGATACCACCCATGCATTGCCATTGCTGAGGACTCAGGTGTTAATCCTCTGTACCCTTTAAATTCATGCCATATCCCACCCTTCAAACCGAAACACAGACATGTAAAACAACTGCTTTACAGTAGAAACACGAATGGGACAGAGATGCCCAAGTAATCGACTTTTAAGTTTCATATATACAAACAATTGATATAAGTATAACAACACAAAACAATCCTTTACGGCAACCTTTGTGTAACATAGTGGATTATGAAAGATATTGAAGAAGCTTTTCAAAATTAATAATTATATAGTATAAGTTCAATATGTATAGGGGGATTTTTATTTTGATTACATAATGTTCCCCTTACATATTTTTTTTAAATGTATTACTTCTTACCTACTTGCAGCCTCTGTAATGTCTCATTATAAGACAGCAATGCCAAACTCAACATAAAGGGTAGACGCATTTTGTTAGGGAACACATTTTTGGTCCATTCAGGCAGTTTAAGACCTGTTTCTCGTTGTATTAATAGTGAGCTATATAGGAAATCCACATTGAGAACACTCCGCATGCTCTGGTTTGTATGTTTTGTGAGGTAGTCAAAGAGTTCACTAAACTTTGGCTGTGCATCAACTTCTGCTTTTACTTCATTGTACATAGCAGACCACAGTTTACATGATTTTGTGGCTGCCACTACCTAGACAAGGAATAGATAATAAATAAACATGATTAAAAATTGTAATTATTAATAATATTTAAATTTGTACGGCAACCCTTACATTTGGACCACATGACCTGCTTACTACTAGGTGTGTGTATGTGGTAACATTAAGTTTTGATAAAATGTCCATGATGAGTTCATGTATCAATAGTTTTCATAGTTTCAGTTGAGATATCATCTTATATGCCACTTGTAAAAAAAAAATGTTTTTATGATACAAATATAAAAACAAAACAATCATTCTGAAGATATAAAGGAGTCCTGATACAGTTTATTCTTACTTCATCAGTACTAAATTAGAAATTAGTTACATGTGGTTACTATTTACAATTTAATGAACCATATCTTTTTTGTTACAGAAATAAAAAAATTATATATACATGTCTAGTCTCGAATTGGCCCAATAGAGTCAAATATTTTTTTATAACACTGGAGGCAAACGAGCGTGCGGTTCACCTGATGGTAATCATCATCACTTAAGTAAATAAAAATAAAAAATGAAATTTTACGTTGTCTAGCTGCCTTGGTAATGAGTGTACAGGAATAGGTTGCCATGACATCTCTGGGTGCCACATTTGCCGTTCAGTAGGTGGGTAGAGACCAGCTAGAAAGGTGTATGCACTCATCAAACATCGCGACGCATCACTACTGCGTATATACACATCTTTCTCATAGTATTCCTCAGGTATGAAATTTGCATAATAACTGCGGTACTTCTTTCCCAATTCATATAACTGAAGTTTGCCAGTCTAAAAAGTAGGTAAAAATTTGTGTATTAGTAGTATTATTTAAAATGGTTTTTTTTTTATATTTTAATAGATCTCAAAGATAAATAAAAATAAAATTATTTAAGACAAGTTTATAAGATATTTATCTAAAAAACACAAATAAGTGTGATTTTCATGCAATTTACACTACTTGTGTATTCTCAACTCTAATTGTACAAAACAAACCCAATATCTGGAGTGTACTTTGTATTTTTGCAGTCAATAGATATAATTTCTTAACTAACTCTAACTTTGCATCAGTTATATCCATCAATCAAGTGATGGTAATTACAGAAGACAACTTATATTTTATTGAATTGATATATAGTATAAAAAGTAAAAAAAGTATTCTATATATTGATCCAGGACATTGCATATCCATGAATTTAAACTTATTTATTATATATTATATATTTAAGCTATTTCATCATGACTAAGTAACAAATATTTTAACATTTTTACTAATATTTACATTTATAAAATAAGCTAGATGAACTTAAATAATAATATGCATACATTGGTGAGGCTTCCGAGTCCATCAGGCCATTGATAATTTTTGTATGGATCACTTTTATATGTGTGTGTTGGAGTACGAGCACCATGTCGGAAAAGCTGAAAATACAGAAAAGCATTTGTCATTTCTTACCTTATTGTCAATAGTAAGGCAGACTTTCATATAATGAAATATACAAAGATTGTGATGATAGAAGGGGATGAAATTAGATTAATTAGCTCATCATGGTAAATTGATCAAAAAGATTAGGTAACACTATTAATATAAACATAAATATATAAGGAGACTTTTTGGTTTATTTTGTCTACCAGATAAAAGATTTGGCGTGAAAATAGATAGATATATTAGCCACTAAACAAACGTCGATCATTCAAAAACTATAACAGTTTTTTACATTCGTATATTTTAATGATGAAACGCGGAATTTATTTAAAAAATTTTAAACCAGTAACATAAGTATATGAAAATAACTTACAATAATGACAAGACGCAAAGTTTTGGATTCATAGGGCAGGCTTTCACTGAGCACACAATATCCAAGAAGGCAGCTAAGAACGGCCAAGCCTAATACTATCACTGCGACTGTCGTAGAACGTTTCGGAATAGGATGACATTTGGAATTATCCATCTTGGGTGTAGACGGCCTCCGCCAAGTATTTTCATCGTTATCGTACTCCATACTGATCTTATTTTTATTTAAGTAAATAAGTATTAGATACAATCCTTTCAAATGTTAAAACAAATATGCTATAATTGAATAAATTGATAAGTGTTACATATTATAAGTTTATGGAAATGCTATAAAATAATATTATAAATTACAACGACGATTAGAACCAATGAGGACAAAATTATTAATTGGATTGAAGTAAAGCAACAAATTCGAATTTCTATAAAGTCACCAATTATCATCAAATTTAAATATTGACTTTTAATAAAAATGACAGACAATTGACATTATATGTCATAATAGTAGTAATAGTCTAAGAACTATTTGGAAATTTTTGGTAGTAGCAGTAGTAGTAGTTTTTATGAATATTTATAGTTTGGTTGCAGTGTTTTAGGTCATCATCAATCATTATAATTAATTTATCCACTATCAGAAAAGGAAAAAAGTCAAATTATATGTACAGGGACGAGAAATATTTTTTTCATTTTAAGCGGCTATCGTAACCCCTGCAACACTAGAGAACATCGATTATTGTTTATCGATAGCATCGAAGTAGTGATATTAGAAACCAAATTAATAATATTTTGGTGTGAATATGAGTATTAATTTTAAACTTTCGAGAAGAAAACATTCAGAGACACGTCGGCAATAAAGAAGCAGGTATGTAGGTACTATTTATATATAAAGGCGTTAAGTCCCGCTTGTGTAAATGGTTTTTGATAATTCTTTATCGTGACTTTTTGGATTGTAGATAGGATTATATGTTTTGTATGATATTTTTTAAAAATTTTGGTGTTATTTTTGGACAGTTTTGGTATTTATAAAGTGTATAACGGTATATAAATGCAATAAAAAATATATGAAAAAAGATAACAAAATTAAGGATAGGATAAAATAAGGAGAAGGTAAGATGAGGTAAAAGTACGAATCGAAGTTATTGTCCTTTACTTTATATATGGCAAAACGAAGTGAATAACGATACAACTTTATAATTGGATAAAAATCTAGAAATCGCATTTATTTAAATAAAATATATTTTACATTAGGGTAAAAATAAAAAATTACATCTGGCAACACTGTTTGTGCTGTCACTAACCATAAAATAAACAAGTAGAAAAAAACCATAAATTAATCGGCTCACGCGCATATAGTTCGTATTAATTTTTGTTCTTTTAGAAACTTGAAAGTTTCTTGTGGTCTCTGTAATTTGTACTAATTTACATAAACGCAGTAAGTAAATATTGTAATGATATTTCTTCTGGATAACAAACACTTATTATTTACAGGTGTAATGATGCAAATATCTTCTTATTTGGTGTCACAATCGCGTTTTTGTAGCGGTCATTTACCCAATTAATTTAAATATTGATTTCTTCGAGTAAATCCAACTATTAAATACCAAAACAGCTAATTATCATTTTCAAAGAAGATGTTTCATAATGGGCTCACTTATGATTTAACGATCTAACTTTATTATGTTCTTTTTTTTTTTTTTGTATTATAAAATAACAAACATAAACTTTAAAAAGAAGAAAGTTCTATTTAGATTAATTGAGAACCTCCTTCTTTTTAAAGTTGGTTGAAATGAGTTTTAGTGAAATATCAATCTAAAAAAGACAACATTTTACTATTTAATCAAGGAAAAAATATTCCATTATATTAAATATGTTTCCATCTTCTAAGTGCAGAGATTATAAGTAAAATAGTATCACCTACCAGAAGTATATAAACCTAAACAAATTTATTTGGCGATATTAATACTAGGTTTTGCTTATTATTAATGATAATATACTAATATCCTGTGAAAGGAATCAAATGTCTTTAATAATATTAGTATTTTAACATTTATATAAGTATTTCAATAAATATTTATTTATTGTATTAAAATAGGTGAATTTAAACCTGTGTAAGTAATTATAAATTATTGGTACCATGTTTATAAAATACAATAATTATTTTAAGTGCCTTTTAGCACTAATAATTGTTACTTGAATGTTGTTTGCGAAATTTTTGCACAGTCCTCTGGTATGGAAATCATATCTAAATCATAATATTTACTTTGAATATTATGATGTGCAATAGAATGTAAAGGGTGTAAATTTCATTTTGGAACAAAGCTAAATGAGTGATGGCCATTTCATTCAGTGTCAACTCTGTGTGTAAGAAGAGTCATATATCTAAGTTACTTTGACATTCTTTTGGTAAATTGTTTTTCATTGTTCAAAGTGATTAAATTACATTTTTTTTTTATAGAATAATTATGTAATATGAACATTAACATTTTTTATTATAATATTAAAAAAAAGAGGATTTAATATTATGGATATGTAAATAACAGTCCCCTGTGTGTACTGATGGTATGATTTTAAGCTATTGTATGGTACAGGATTATTCTGCTTGCAAAGGCCTGTTTGATTTAATGTTTATTTTTTACTTTCTGAGAGTGAGAAAGGTATCTTTCTTGTAGATATTAATTTCATGATGCTCCCAAAAAGAAAACAAACAAAAGAAGAAATTAAGAAAAATAAATGAATTTCAAAACAATTGAGAAAGCAATGGCTTAAAAATTATACTGTGAAAGAATAGTTGAAAGGAAAATAATGTCAGAACTAAAGGTATAGGAAAAAATTATATGAAAGTTTTTAATGATGAAACTATTCATAAAATGAGAATGAAATGTATACACATTTGCATATACTAAAATGGGATTGATTGCAAAAGGAATTGTCAAAATTGGTGCTTAAAGTTGAGATAATGCATAAAATAATCATAAAAAAAAATTGAGACCCTTTTTTGAAAAGTTATTTAAAAAGTTTACCTATTCCTATATCCTATCCTACCTTAGAATATATAGATATATTCTCTATATATTCTAAGGTAAAATCTGTAGAAAGTAAAACAAAGAGTTTAAATGATTACAAATGAGTTAAATTTAAATTTCATTTCAAATATATATGATTTGAAAAATCTTTAATGGTAAAATTATTAATGGTACAGAAATTATGTCCTATTTTGTGATTAGCATTATCATTATATTGAGTTTAATGTCATTTAAAATTAAATTTTAAATACTTAACTATGAAATATTTTTATGGTTTTATTAGCTTAGATGAAGTAATAATACTAAATGTAATGTAATGTAAGAAAGACTCTGTTTTCCGTACTTAGCCTCTCATTTGGGCCGTTGTGCGTGTGAGTCGTGGCTAGTACAGCCAACCTAGCTCCGCCCAGAAGCGCAGAAGCTTCCTGGGTTCTTCACAGGCTTCACGGAGCAACCTCACCGTTCCATAGGATTTCTAAACGTTGATGGGCCACAGCCTCACATTCCAGGATTACGTGAGCAGCCGTTTCTTCAGCGTCGAAACAGCCTCGACATAGAGGGCTGTCTGTGGCTCCTATTGTGTATAAATGTTTGTTCAATGGACAATGACCCGTTATTGTCCCTATCATTATTTTGAGGTTTTTTCTATCTAGATGTAATAAACGTTTTGATAGTTATTGATTCAACGTAGGTACGGCCAATTTTGATTGTCTGCAATCAGTAGCTTGTATCCATCTTTGGTTTTGTATGTCAGCGGATCTTTAAATGAAATTGCGAGAACGGAAGAGGAAGATGGATACGGGCCTACCACCCTCGTTCCTGAGCCTCTTCTAGCCAGTTCGTCTGCGGCATCGTTACCATAAAATATATATAACTCGGTTATTGGAAAAATCTATCCAGTGAATGGTGGCATTCAATTATCAATTTGTTGTTTGTCTTGTTTATTAACTGCTGCGCTGTCAGATAAGAATCTAATGCTAAAACCATTTATTGTGATTAGCATTGCAACACATTCGCATTGGAATATTGAGCTGTGTACGCCAAATGTGCACGTTATATTCAGGTTAAGGAAAAGACTCCGGCTCCTGAACCGTTCTCGGTTTTGGAAATTAAATTCATTTAACCGGATCCTTTTCCTCTTCTTAACTATTTGGTATTTTTTGTTAAATATATTTTTATGAGTTTTATTCATATTCGAGCCTGGTTCAGAATGAAGTAATAATACTAATGTATATACCTATGTCGATCTATCTGTCTACTATTCCTAGGGTCAGTTACAAATGTAGATCAATAATAACGTAGATAATTAAACTGTAATTACCTAATCTATCTTAGCTGAGGGATTATTAGTAATGGGGGTCAATGACTTGGGCAAAGTTACTATTCTATTATCATTCATTAAAAAACATTAAAAATAATTTGTGTTAATGTTGTTAGATATATATTTGTTTAATAATAAGAAATCAAGTAAAAACAAAAATTTGTAAATATGTTGATTCTAAAGTAATTTAGTTCATATAATATAAATCCACATTCATTATGTAGATAGATATGAATCGTATCTATCAAATATCCATGTACCTAAAATGATATGTTTAGTTTTTTTATAAAGTAAAAAACATTGAGTTTATTTGTTAATTCTCATTAAATATTTTTCCACATATTATATCATTTGTGATATATGATTACAATCCTGAGCATATTTGCGTCTCACCTATGCGATTACATTTAAAAAAGAACAATTGCTCTTTTTTAGATGTAATTACGAATTAGGATTATTAAAAATTAAGATTCTTCATATAATAGTTTCGTAAATATGCTCCATATATAGAAACATCATCTACATACAATTTTTTTTATATTAAATTGTTACCCAAGTAATGGCGAGACTATATTCCTCTCTATTTTCAGGTACCAGTTTGTTAAGATGCCGTTGTTCAGTGGCCGTTGTTTGAGTACTGTCAAATTAGTGGGCAAGACTGCCGTTATAACGGGATGCAATACGGGAATCGGCAAAGAGACCGCCTTGGATTTCTACAAGAGAGGTAACGAACGTTTTTTCTTCTTATTTGACTTAATAATGCAATCAGTCGTAACGAAAGTTATATATTAGGAATATCGTTTTCATTTATTTACTGGTACAATAAAATGACGTGAATTATATTATACGGAACACCACTTTACCTCAAATTCAAAGTTTTACCCATTTAACAGTAGAATAATTTAATTCTATTCGGTTGACTTATAAATAAAAATATTACTCAATTAGCTTTTTTATGCCGTTGTTTCTTAAAATAACCATAGTAGTCATCTACTATAATGTACTCCTTAGATAAAAAATAATTTGTGATGTTAAGGTTAAAAAAATTTTCGTAATTTCCTGTTAGATGCGACATTATTGAATTGTGATCATAATCGACTTTGAATAAAACAATAATTTAATAAGTAGGTACTGATATATCTTTAACTCCATTTGACTTTTTTTTTAATGGATGATAATGGAATGGTAACCCCACCCGCGCTATCGGTATACACCGGCGGGGCACCAATGAAGGATGATAGGTGAGGATGAAACAGGTCAGTTAGCCCATCGTGACGAATTCAACAAGAATTGTTCACGATGGTTTCCAGGGGGAACCACGTGGAGGTCGACCTAATAGGGCATATTGCTGGCAATGAGGCTGTCAAACTCCATTGCCAAAAATCCCTTCCCCCTCATTTGACTAATAGGTATATTATATAATTTTATTCATGCAACAAATCTCAAATGTGATCATACAATCCGCCATATGGTAAATAGTTTCGTGACATAATATTTTTATATTTGTTTTTTAAATAGGATATGCGCGCAATTAGTTGGTAACAGATTACCAGAATCAGACAAAACCTATTCACTCATTACATGAGAAGATTATAAAATAAGTTTTCGGAAAGGAGGCGATTTTTAATCGCTCTTACACAGTTTTCGTGTGACATCATTATGAAAAGATTCCAGTATAAAGTTTATAAAGATGTCTACGTAGCTGGGCTATTTAAATTTCTAATATTTATTAAACTGTGTGAAAAGTATTTTTTTTTATCTAAATTAGAAACCAATGGCCAAATGAAATATAATTTGGGTTTACGCAGTCTAACATTATCTGACCGAACTTTTGATTTTGACTATAATCGGCTTAAATTTATAGTTTCAATAGAAATTTTTTTGAAACTGCGAGCAAAACCACGTTCGAGAACTTATTTTTCATGTCACGTCGACAATAATGGTAGAATTGGTTTCTAAACCGAATAGTTTCCCATTTTTTTGTTCTCAGATATAGTTAAGTTTGACTAAAAATGTTTCTTCGCACGGGTGCAATGCTGATACTAAACAGCGCCGACTGGCCGGCACGTTAGAAACCTCTAAAATTATCAATGTTTCTCTACTATATTAGCAATATACATATAAACCTTCCTCTTGAATAACTCTATCTATTTAAAAAACCGCATCAAAATTCGTTAAGTAGTTTTAAAGATCTGAGCATACATAGAGACAGACAGACGGGAAGCGAATTTGTTTTATATTATACTATGTGATTATAAGGTACACTACAACGCACACACACGTGTTGGACAAACACATGATTTCACAAACGTATTTTTTGCGTGAACAAAATATTCATCATCTGTATAGACTTTTAGGTTAGCAACCTACAAATTGTATTCGTATTGCAGGTGCTAAGGTTATAATGGCATGTAGGAGTATAGAAAAGGCTGAACAAGCAAAGAGTGACATAGAAACAAAATGCAAAGATTTATCTAACACTGGCAATCTAGTCGTTGTGAAGTGTGATCTTACATCATTGAAATCTGTGAGGGAATGCGCACAGGAAATCCTAGATACCGAGCCACAGATAAATATATTGGTAAATAATGCCGGGGTGATGATGTGTCCCAAGGGCAAGACTGAGGATGGTTTTGAAATCCAATTTGGGACCAATCACTTGTCTCATTTTCTATTGACCATGCTGTTATTGCCGCGCATTATAAACAGCAAGCCTGCCAGGATTGTGACAGTTTCGTCAAGGGGACATACAAGTACGTATTAAATATAAAATAATTTCACGCATCAACACATTTAAATTTTTAAGCGACCCCTGAAAGGAATAGGTTATCAAATAGTTTTATTTTTTTGTATGTTACGTGGCTTGATAAGATTTTTGCAATAGACACGGTTTATTCTAATGTTTAATTCATTCCATTCCATCGTCCTTGCATTTTTTTTTTCTCTATATATATATACCGAATTTTATTTTTATGATACTTAGAATGGCAAACAGGCTCACGGCTGAATGGGAAGAAGTAATTGTCGCTTAACATAAATAGCATCATAATTATTATAAAATTCGTTAGGATGTTTATTGTAATTAGCAAAATGTATATGTTTTATTTGCCATGTAGCATAAAATGGGTCACCCCTTCCTTTCCCGTGCGTGTCGAAAGAGGTGACTAAGGGAACCTAATAGTCGAGGGACGGGCAGCAGCGTCCCTCTTAAAACATCAACAAAGCTTTACTGCGGTTCCTAATCCGTCTACCAAGCGTGGCAACTACTGACAACCTCCCCCCTCCCCTCCCCCTTTATGGGGGACAGTAGACTGTTAACGGCTGATATAATGATAATTAATATTAAGTTATATATCTAGAAATGAATATTACAAATACATTTTATTTCAGGAAGCGGCATTAATTTCGAGGATCCAAATTATGAAACCCGACCGTATAAATCTATAGAGGCGTATGCACAGAGCAAACTTGCTAACATATTATTTACAAAGGAATTAGCATTGAAATTAAAGGTAATATACGACTATTTCACGTCTATTTGGGTGTCAGTTATTATCGAGATTTGCTTTACTCTTGACTATTAACCGGTTATATAAAACTGGTTCTCGTTGCCATTATTTAGTTTAAACTAAAACCACCGCAGGTTTTAGTTTATTAAAATGACCGTATTCGCTTAATTTCAATTTGTCAGTTGTCAAGTTGAGATCGAACTATTTCTTAACTTCAACGATATTTAAAAATGAGAATAAGTAATTATTTTTACAATTTAAAAAAAAAAACAACTTTTAAACGCGACTTCGTCCACGTGACCGGCATATTTTTATTGACCAGGGTAAAAAGTAAACTATGTCCATCTCCATCCCGTATATTGTATAATTAAAATAAACAAATTTCAAAGTTATTGGTTAAACCGTTAAGGCACTTAGAGGTTACAAACAAACGAACTGATTTTCACATTTCTCATACTAAATGTTAATTTTGTCAATGAAGTGGTGAAGAATTAACAAATGAAAAGAAAGGTTCTTGAGTAACGACCCTGTAAACCGCAAACGTCTAGGATGACCCCTCTCTTGATGGAGTGACAACCTCAAATGCATTTTACATTGACGAACTCTTCAAATTGCCCCAATACAGGAACATGACATAGAAGGCGTGAACACGTACAGCCTTCACCCAGGAGTTATAAAGACGGAACTAGGCCGCCATCTTGACAATACATTGTTCCCTGGCGCGCGGACCATCATCGGCCTGTTGTTCACACCATTCACGAAGTCAATCGAACTCGGCGCTCAGACCACCATCTATTGCGCCGTCGATGAGAAATGTGCTGACGAGACCGGCCTGTATTACAGGTAATTCTAATTCCCACTATTGGTCTTATTCAATCTATATTAGCTGAAAACAAATCACATCTTTTTTAACTAATCTGTTTAATTTTAAAATTATTGATACCCATTAATTCCTCTCTTTCTGTGACTAGCGAAAGTAAATAAAACTTTATCTGTGAAGTCGATTCAGGGTACGATAGATCTGATATACTTGAAGAAAGTAAAAGTCCTTAAAATTATATAATAGTGCCTACTATATATATAGGTAGTATTTTTTTTAATGAATGATAATGGAATGGTAACCCCGCCTGCACTAACGGTATACGCTGGCGGGGCACCAGTGAGATGTGACAGATGAGGATAAAAAGGCAGGTCAGTTAGCCCATCGCGATGAATACACTTGGAATTCAGCACGATGGTTTCCAGGGGGACCACGGGGAGGTCGACCTGTAAGGGTATATTGTCAGCAATGGGACTGATAATCCGCATTACTAACAATCCCTTCCCCCCATATAGGTAGTATTAGAGGATTGGTAATAATGGGGTCCAACATGGTTCCTCTTCGAAACCATCGTGATTAACTTTTGAAGAACTCGTCACGATGGTTAAATTAACCTGCTGTCATCCTCATCTATCATCCCTCATTGAAGCCTCATCCACAAACAAAAAATGGCAATAGACAGAATTAATTCATAACAGTGATTCCAGTTATTACGCCACTCTGTAGACGCAGCATCAAGTGAGCGTCAGTGAGCGATGATAAGCGAGTATAAAGTCAGGGTTTGTCAAATCATGTCGAATTTACCAGGAATTAACCGCGATACTTTCTAGAGGGATTGTATGGAATCTTCGTATAGAATTCTTATACTGGAATTCTGTATACGATTAATTTAATATATTATATATTTAATAATAATGTGTCTACGTAACATTAGTCGTCCATCAGTGTTTGTTTTTAACTCTGTGGACAATGGGTTAGAAGGACAATGGATCTTCTGTCCTAATATTGTTATGTTTTTTCGTTTAACAGTGACTGCGTACCAGTAAAACCTTCACAAGACGCGTTAAACACTGAATATGCGAAGAAATTATGGGATTTGTCGGTGAATTTAGTCGGTCTCGGGGACTATAATCCCTTCACCGCAGTGGACGATAAATCGAACAAGTAGTAACTGAATCAAATTTAATTTCATATATCTCTATGTATAACTGAAAGACAGATGTTGCATTTTTTTTTATAGTATTATGTACCTACACTTGCTAGTATTAAGACATTTTTATTCAATTGACAACTCGAAAGACTCATGACGTTTCGATTATATTCCATTTGAGAATGATAATTACAATTATAGAGCATAACCATGTCATGTCTGTGTAAAGAGGTCTTTAAAACGTATTTACTATAGAGAGTGTATATAAGTATCGCTGAAAAATTATAACAGCATATACCTCAGGCAAGAGCCATAATAGAAGAGGTGATCTAATGTATGGGGCGTGATATATTTGACGATGATATTGGTATTTTATTTTATATTTACTGTTGAGTTGTTCATATTTATATTATGTTACCTATCCGGTAGGCTTACTGCCAGTTTGTTTAGCATTCCCAATAAATATTCATGCGGGGTATGAATGAGGCCTTAATTAGACGATACTTTATATTTTGTTATACATAAATGTTTAACTTAATAATGAATCCTTGACTTATAATTATGTAAATCATTTATAAAATGGTTTGTATATATTTAATAATTATGATTCTTTTGAAATATCATTTTTTGGAAATAATTTTTAATTATATGCGTTCAATGACAGGAGAATTTTGTGTTTTGGTATTGCGAAAATATGATTTATGCCAGAAATAAAAAAAAAAAAAAAACTACCAATTATTCTCGTCACAGTGCTTAGAACCATATCAATTTTAACTGATCTTATTATCTGACAATCAATTAATGGATCAGACGTTTTGATATTTTCATACATTTTTGTATAGATTATTTGCTCACATTTAATAGATTCATAGGTCATAATTATTTGATTGCTACTAATTAAGTTTAGGGGGTACTGTATTTCTTATATGTTACTCATTTTGTAATGTAAGATTTATATTTAGTTATATAACTTAATAATAAATATCTATCTTATAAAAAAAAAATATAAAGCTAATGTCACAAATAAAATATGTTTAAAGTAACAATAGTAATAGAATGTAAATTGTACTTTGTACTGAATTCACTTTTTTAATCTGTTTTAATTGTTGTTATTATTAATTTATTATGCATGTTTTATTAAGATTATATAAATGTTACAGGAAACCAAGTATATTCATACGTTTACAAAACAAAGTTTAAGTAAACAAAATAAAAACATATTGATTAGATGTTTCGTTTTTATTTTTCCAGAATATTATAATCTTGATTAAAAAATCATGTCCCATTTTGCAATTTAAGACAAGAAGAGAGTGTGTCACATAAATATATTTGATGTTCATTCATATATGTATATATATGTATAATCTTTGTAATGTAATGTAAATTGGACTTTATTTTCCCCACTAAGCCTCTAATTTGGACCATTGTGCGTATGAGTTATGGCTAGTATAGCCAGCCTAGCTCCGCCCAGAAGCACAAAAGCTTCTAGGATCTTTACAGGCTTCACGGAGCGACCTCATTGTTCCGACGTTTTCTAAGTGTTGAGGGGCTACAGCTTCACATTCCAAGATTACGTAAGCAGCCATTTCTTCGGTTTCAAAACAGCCTCGACAAAGGGGTTTTGGACACTCTAGAGGCACTAAAGGGCTCTATTGTGTATAAATGTTTGTTTAATGGGCACGGACCCATTATTGTCCCTATCATTGTTTTAATATTTTTTCCTGTCTAAATGTAATAAACGTTTTGATAGTCGTTTATTCAACGTTCGCACGGCCAATTTTGTTTGTCTGCAATCGGTATCCTGTATCCAACTTTAGTTTTGTATGTCAGAGGATCTTTTACGTATTCATTTTCGAAACTGCGAGAACAGAAGTGGATACAGATCTGCCACTTTCGTACCTGAACCCCTTCTTTTTATCATCATTGTATCCCTTAGGCCAAAATAATTTATGTATTTTATAACTAAGTACTTTCAACTAGTCTCTATGTAAAAAATAATATTTTTCAACTATCTATCAATCATTAACTAGGAACTGATAAATTTTAATTTTAGTGACCAGTTTCCGTCAATTATCTTTATCTTGTCTATACAATCAAAACTACAATTCATGGTGACTGTCAGTTATCACAAACAAGGAATATTCTAGGTAGGTAATTGGGTACCTAGACGTATCACATGATTGTGTTAAAATATAGGTAGATCAAAACATTGTTAAATATATTAGTCATCATAATAACATAAGCATTATGAAAAGGTCACAGCCAAGGACAAAAAGCGTAGACGCTTTACGACATAATTGTTTTGTGGAAATCAATACATAGAGTTTTAAAGTTATATTACTATAACTTTTAGTTACTTGCTATAAAAAAGCTTGTTATTATATACTTAAATATAGGTACTTACGTGAGTACTACTCCGTCTATGATTCTAACTTATATAAGCAATCCCATTGTCATCAATATACCCTCATAGGTTGATCTCCACGCGGTCATTCTAGAAACCGTCGTAGATTTTTTTATGGGTGAAAATGGAATGGTATGGCCTGCATTATCGGTATACGCTGGCGGTGCACCAGTGGAAGGTGACAAGTAAAGATGAAAGTAGGCTCGTTGATCCAACTGACTCTGCAATGCATTTGCGGTCGTCACTTCATCTAGTGGGAAGTCGTCCTTGCGTTTGCTCGTATGAGGTCGCCACTCAAGAACGTTTCTTCCCCATCGATTGTTGGCTCGATCTACGTAACTAGTCAATTGCCACTTAAATTACGTGTACTACGGTAACAACAGACAAAATGCCTGTAATTACCCTACTTGGAATTACGAGTACCTACTTACATTCGTGGGAACAAAATTGCACATAAAAGTAAGTAAAAAGTTCAAGCAAGTTGAAGAGCGAAGTGGGAGACTATAATCCATAATGTATTTAATTTTGTGCAGTAAATATATAAATATTCAAGTATAAGTTATGAGCCCTTACAACAATATAAAGTTTCACCGACCTAGATAATGTTGTGCGTCAGTTCACGGCATACGTCGGTTAGTTCAAGTCGTGATTACTTTATAGGTACTCCAATAATAAAGATTATTGGAAGAGAGTGAAATTGATAATATTTTAACAGGCGTCAAAAGTATCATCAGACATCAGGTATACTTTATTTGAATTATAACTTAATACATTTTATTATTATGATGAAATACGTGTCCTGTTGCTATTTTTTCTCACTGTCTACATATTAAATTATATAGATAAAGTAATACTACATGTTAAAAAGATTATCATTCGATAAGGAGTTAAACCCATGAACAAAATATTCTTTGTTTTTGCAAGCCTTTAATTGATATTGACGAGTGAATTTTGGTCTCTATTTATATAGATATAAGAAAGTTTTTATTTATGGGTGATAATGAAGATTGACCAATTTTTTTTATACCACTGAGGTGGCAAATAAGCATACAGCCCATCTAATGGCAAACGGTTACCGTAGTCTACGAACGTCTGCAATATCAGGGGCATTACGCGCGCGTTGTCGAATTTGAAAGCACCCCTTAATCCCTTAATTTTGAAGAATCCCATGCTGTAGTCTCTTAGAATAACTTCGATAAGGAACTTACTGCATAACCTGCATAGCGTTCGTGGTAGAAAAAGCCAATCGGTCCATCATGACGAATTCACCAAGACTAGACAACACTATTATTTCCACGTAGAGGTTAGTCTGATTGGGTATACTGCTAGCAATGGGACTCTTGTCTCCATTACTAATAATCCCTAGCCCCACCTATAAGTAGTGGAGATTGGGATTATTAGTAATGGAGACATTAGTGATATTGATATAAGTATTAAACTCATACAGGTACGTTTATGATTTAAGCTATTCGGACAAAATGAGTTTATGAGTGAAAAAAAGTATATACTCACGACTATAATACCCAATGGTGTAGTTAGTGACATTTGTCGATTATTGCCATTTACGAGAGACCTAGATATTCTAATATGTTCTTCGAAATGTTGGCGTATCGAGTATTACATCCACCATGACGATAGCAGTCGATTAATGCCTCTGGCTACTTCACTGGGGATTATAGTCGTGAGCATATTGTATAATATTTTGAAATATTACTTCACGTGGTTGGAAATACTCTTCTACTATTTTATTATGGAAATAAAATATTTAAATATTTTTTTTTATACAACTTAGAATGGCAAACAAGGTGACGGCCTACCTGATGCAAAGTGGTAACCGTCGCCTATAGACATGAGCAGTACCATGGACATAACAGAGTATACTGTTTCGCCCATGATACTTCTCATGCGTTGCCATTTCTGAGGACTAAGGTGTTATTCCTCTGTACCCTGTAAATTCACGCCATATCCCACCCTTCAAACCGAAACACAGCCATGCAAACACAACTGCTTTACGGTTGAAACACGAATGGGACAGACGTACCCAAGCAAACGACTTTTGTACAAAGTCTCCTTCTGGTATTTGCGTTTACTAAAAACATTATCTAGTATTCTATACTAATAAATGTTGTATTAATTTAAAACTCGAACCGGTTATCTCGATGAATTATTTTCAGACTTCTAGTTTCAAATACAGTAGGTACTATTTTTTAAGGACCTAAAACATTTGTATTTTTTTTTTAGGTTTGTTTAACAATAATCATAGCAAAGAAGTTGTTTGGTTAACAATAATCATAGCAAAGAACATTATATGTACCTAACATATAATGTTCTTTGCTATGATTATTGTTACATCCGTTTACTAAATTCGTACCTCTTTTCTTATTACTTATTTCTGATTATTACTTTCTGATTTACTTTAAAAATTATCTCCCAAAGAGCTTAATTATATTGTTTTCAAAGCTCTCTATAACAGTTCATCATCATCTTCCTACCCTTATCCCAATTATTATTTGGGTCGGTGTATTATGTTTTTATACATATTACAAAAAGATTTGGTTTTTAGTTTTACGACCGGCCGCCTGCCTGACGTCAACCCTCTTTGGGAATCTAATCTTTTGGGCTCTCTATAACAGTTGACGTAATAAAATAAATGTGAATGGTTATAAAATTATTTTTTATGGAAATTATTTATTTATTTATTTACACTTTATTGTACCAAGTAAAAAGAAAAATAACATATACAGTAAATATTAATGAGAAGTGATACGGCGGATAAAAGGCGGCCTTATCGCTAAGCGATCTCTTCCAGACAACCTTTGGGTAGAGGACATTGAGAAAAAGACAAAGGGTAGGTCACCACCTACCTACCCACCTACCCACCGGTAGGTTATTTTACATACTTCTCCATTTAAACGAAGACGTGGTCACAACTTATAAAAAATATTAGGTACTTTCATACAAGGACTCTGTAGACGAATATTTCGACATTATTTTACTTCGCTGTCAAAACGAGTTACACTAGAGCTAAGGTCAACTGGTACGCACGGACCATTCTTAATAAAAAAATGTTTCCACATACGCATATATGCGTTTTTTTATTATTAATTCACTAATAACAACAAAAACTAATTATAACGCGTTTTTCACACAGAAAAGTGTGAATTAATGTAGGTGTTGCTTTACTGTTTTATTCCGAATGCATCTATCCTAAAAGAAGTCAAATTTGAAGTACCTCCCCGAAACTGACAAGATTATAAATAAATGGCTTAAATATATAAATAGTTTTGTATGAACACTGACAGACTATAAACGGAACACCGCTTGAATTGTATAAAGTTTAAGTCCAGCCACCTTACTTATTAAACGACCTTTGCTTTTATAAGATGACAAAATCCCTTTCCCCTAATATGTATGTAGTAGAAAATAATTCAAAATTTGTTTTTTTTTTTTGATGGGTGAAAATGGTATGGTAACCCCGCCTGCGCTAACAGGATACGCTGGCAGAACACCAGTGAAGGGTGATAGGTGAGAATGAAAACAGGCCAGTTAGCCCATCATGATGAATTCATCAGGAATTAACCATGATAGTTTCCAGGGGGAACCGCGAGGAGGTCGACCTGGTTGGGTATATTGCTAGCAATGGGATTCTCAGTCTCCATTACTAACAATCCCTTTCCCCCTATTCAAAATTTGTTTATATTATGTACTCGCACTAGCTATCCAGCCCGGCTTAGCACAGGTAGATATCAATTTAGAAAATAAAAATATAATATTAGGCTATAGTAGCGTATGTTATTTGCTGATAATGTAGCTTACTATAAGTGAAAGAATTTTTAAAATCGGTTGAGTAGTTTTTGAGTTTATCCATTATTAACCAACAAACAATCAAATTGTTAGTTTATAACATTAATATAGATGTAATATCTGAATATCCCTTTATATTGGCGGCAATAGTGAAGAGTCCTTGATAGTCATACGTATACTAAATTTCATTTTATATGTTAGTATACAATCAACGTTGGTCAGTGGAAGTCGTGACGTTGTAAATAACATCGACATTGCATACCGCGCACTTGTTTGAATTCGTCAATCGATAGCTGGTGTTCGTGATCCGAATTTCAGGTGGGTGTAAATGGTTTTACTTCGTATTGATTATAGATAAACAGTACATTACATAGATGATCCAAATTATATACTTATCGTCTTTAGTATCTAAGTAAAATAAATTAATTTTGGTATATAAGCTTATACGTATACTAGTTGTTTCATTGTGAATTTCACTACATTCTTCTAATTACAAATATAACAGAGTCTACATATAAATTTACAATCCCTATTTTACTCTCTTAGGAGATAGATTTACAAAAACGCTACAAAAATACGTAATTGTTTATTTCTAACTAGAAGTTTGTATATATTAAATTCAAACATTAAAATAAAACAATTTCAAAGTTAGAAACATGCTAACTTTGAAATTGACGGGTTTCCGTACAACCGTTCATCCCTTATCTTCTCTCTTTAAGGGTAGATTTTCCAAAAATCCTTCTTTAGTGGGAAGTTTACATTATAAAATGTATCAACTGCCAAAATTTCAAGCTTTTAGCCCTTGTGGATTATGCGTTGATCAATCGGTCAGGATAAACGATTTTATATGTATAGATAAAATTAAATGTTAGTATGGCACGTTAGCTAACTTTACTATCTGGGGGCCTACCATGAAATGAACTTCCGAAGTTTCGGATTCAAAATCGTGTTTTCGTTCATACCTAAATCGGCCTAGTAAGCTTAACATTTCATTCGTCAGAAATCCTACCATAAACGTCCAAAGGAATAATATTTAATATTTTTAATGTTTTTAAATGGTAAGTATTATGTAATTTTAACATCAAATTTGTGTTTAACGAAACATTTCATAGTAGGCCCTCTGGTATTATCCCACCAGGTGTGGTACATATTTACGCTATGGTAGAATAATATATGTTCTTAATCTTATGCGATTACGTTAGTGGGGTACCTACCAGTGAGGGTGAAGTCATCAAGTCACCTACAATAACAACAGAGCGTCTTCATAATTATCGTTATAAATTTTCTGTTACAATGTAGCAAACGTGCATGAAATACTGATATTATGTATGTGTACGGAAATTTAAAAGCATCTCTATACAACTGTATAAATATATATTTTGCTCTTCGACTACCTAAGTGCCCTGCTACGTTAAATGAAAAAATATACTTATGATTTCAGTCTCTAACGGGGTAATCAGAGGCATTTGCTAATTGAGCATGTTGAATGCATATACTCTGATAATCTTGACATAAGGATCTTGTCCAGACTGCTTTGATAAACGCATATTTCCAAAGGAAATTAAGGTGTTTTCTGATGGATTATAGATGTCTTTTTATGTCGGTGGAGTGGAACTTCTCTCATCAATCACTTGGTGCTACTTTCTGAGATTTTTGTATTTATCTAGTTTTCTACTTCACCACATTTGTTAGGTAGTATTCTGACCTATATCTAACGTCCATGTCACGCCTATAGCGGTTATGATTGAAAACACTAAGCTCGAAGTTATCGACGATTATGTATACGTGGAACAACTTGTCCGACTAGGTAAATGCAATTTCGACCAAAAGGTCAACCAAAAAAATTTTACTTGGCTGGGCAGCGTTCTAATTTATGTCACGTCTTCTTGTTCAAAATGTGAAGACGAAGGTCTTTAACCAGTGCATGTTGCATTGGTTATACATTTTGCACACGGTTGTTCGTATACAATAGCTTCAAATTAGGTACTCAGCAGGCTCTGGAGTGGGCTATGCTCGGAGTTTCTTTGCGTGATAGAATTCGAAACGAGGATATACAAAAGAACCAAAGTAACCGACATAGCCCGAAAGATAAGCAAGCTAAAGTAACAATGCGCTGGTCACATAGCTTGAAGAACTGATAACCGATGGGAAAGAAAGGTACTTGTGGCGACCCCATATAGGAAAACGTAGCTCAGGACAATTCCTCAAATTCATTGCAGGGAGTCAGTGGATGTAGATGACTCAGGACCATTCCTTATGGCAGTCTATAGGGGAGGCCTATGTTCAGCAGTCGACTGATAATGGCTGATATGATAATGATTCTGACTCATACAATATGACTGAGCTATTAGTTTGTTTTTTTTTTTTATCTTTGAAGGCGATTGCTATAATCCCAACAAAAATTTATAATGGTAGTGTTTCTAATTGTTCATGGATAATGCTGCTATGCTGTGTAGCAGAATGAAGTGCCTTATGGTATTCTACATACTAATTGGGGGTTTTTTCTGTTTCTGTTTTGGGTTTAGGCAGTACATATACATTTCTAGGCTAACCTTGTTTCCGCAATTCACTAAACCTAGTGTATTCTCCCTGATTCTATACAGATATATGTACTTTAGTATTTTATATTATTAAGTATTAAGTCATCATTGCTTATTTAGATAATTAGTAAACCTATACCCACATATATAATTAACTGAATGACGCTATTTTCCCACAATTCAATGATGCAACTATTTTATTACCGCCATCACAGCGTTACGCTGTGCTTCTATATTATTTAGTTGCTCAGATAGGTAGGCAAGTTATAAAACAAAAATAAAGTCTGATTGACTGGCAAAGATTCGTCTAGGAATGTATTTCTATTTATATTTTTATCAATTTTTTCTGTATTTACAGTTTTCTAAAATAAACAAAATTATAGAAATTGTATGTAATTAATATAGTGACAACAAACATTATTATTTATAAACTAAATATACGGAATGTGTTAAGTATTTTGATGGTGTCTGTAATTTGGTCTGTTAGGTTTTAGACATCTTTTTACATAAGACTGTACAATACAAACATTTGTATTTCTAAGTTTTCTATCCTTTCTAATTATAATTGTGAAAGTGAGTTTGCTTCTTTATTACCTACCTATGTTGGCACACACGTAGTTATCAAAGGTGAAGGAAATAGGTTTGAAATAGGGTACTATTAACTGCGGTCAATTGACTAAGTCGCTAGTAAAAACTATAGTAAGTATATAATATCCTTCTTATCCAATAAAAACGGCAAACCTCTCATAAACTTTACTGGGTACAGACTCTGTACCCTGTAGACTCTGTACTACAGAGGAATAACATCCGAGTCCTCAGGAATGGCAACGCATGGGGGGTATCGTGGGCAAAACAGTATACTCTGTTATGTCCATGGTACTGCTCATGTCTATAGGCGACGGTTACCACTTTCCATCAGGTGGGCCGTCAGCTTGTTTGTCATTCTAAGTTGTATAAATAAAAAAAAACCTATTTTAGCTATTGAACTTTTATGTCTATCTCTTTTATGCTAAATGCTTAATTTGAAATCAAGTGACAAAACAGCATAATAATTAAAATAGGTTTGTGGAAATTGTTGGTTTTTATGAATTAAGCGGTATATATTTACTTAAGTATTTTTAGCTAATATGTAATAAAAATAATCTGTCTAATAGTAAATATTCATACATTAAAATTGACAATGCTATTTCTTTTATTTTTTTTATTCATATATTATTATTCACTCAATTATAATTGTATATGTCAATTTGTAGAATTACGTAAAAATGGATTGCATAAGCGGTTGGTGTAGAAGCAAGCGGCGTCTACTCGGCTCTACGGCCATCGTCACGGGCTGCAATACCGGCATTGGCAAGGAGACTGCGGCTGACCTGTACGCCAGAGGTCTGATTCATTTCAATGAATTATTTATAGTATTTAATTATATCTGTTTATGTATAATATTACCAATAAGATTTATGAAAAGTTATTTATAGTTATAATAACAATATTATGCTATTATGTTTCTCTATCTATCTATTGTGTATTCTATTAAATCTAGGATTTTCTTTATAAAATCAGTAGACAGACGCTATAGTATTTCAACTGCGATCATTATACTTTGGTATTATACTAGTACACCCGTAGTTTTTTTTTCTAATGGTAAAGTTTCTTTAATGGATGACAATGTAATGGTAACCCCGGCCGCGCTATCGGTATACACTGACAGGGCACCAGTGAGAGATGATAAGTGAGGATGAAACGGCAGGTCAGTTAGCCCCTCGAACGAATTCAACGATAAATTAGTCATGATAGTTTCCAGGGGGAACCGCGTGGAGGTCGATCTGATGAGGTATATTGATAGCAATGGGGAATAACCTCTCCATTACTAACAATCCCTTCCCCCTTAACGGTAAGGTTATGATAATGGAATAACCTCGCCTTCGCTAACGGTATACGTTGACGGCAAGGGATAAGATGTGAAAATAAAAGGTCAGTAGGTCAGTTTGACCATCGTGATGAATACAACTGGCATTCAGTGTGAAAGTTTCCTAGAGGGACCAAGCGGACTTGTTAAGTCGACTTGATAGGGTATATTGCTTAGCATGGGACTTTACACCCTGGAGTTCAGATATCAACAGATAAATTTTATATTCCAGGAGCGCGCGTCATAATGGCATGCCGAGACACTAATAAGGCGGAAGCGGCTAAAACCGACATAGAAAACGAAATTGATAAAACCGAAATCAGAGGAGTTTTGGTAGTGGAAAAACTAGACGTATCTAGTCTGAAATCAGTTCGTGAATTTGTATCCAAAATGTTGGAGACTGAGTCCCAGATACATATATTAATAAACAACGCGGGTGTCATGATGTGCCCTGAATCTAAAACTGAGGATGGCTTCGAGACTCACATCGGCACCAATCACTTTGGACACGCCCTACTGACGCTGTTACTGCTACCAAGGATGATCAAATCAGCTCCTTCGAGGGTAGTATTTGTATCATCTAAGCTACATCAATGTAAGTTGTAGTATTTTTTGTTTTTAAGTGGATGATAATGGAATGGTAACCTGCACTAACGGTATACGCTGGCGAGGCACTAGTGAGGGATGATAGGTGAGAATGAAAAAGCAGAACAGTTAGCCTATCGCGATAAATATATCTGGAATTCTGCACGCTGGTTTCCGGGGGGAACCACGTGGAGGTCAACCTGACAGGGTGTATTGGACAGGTAATCCGCATTACTAAATATCCCTTTTCTCCAAGTTGTAGTATTAATAGAGTAAGAATATGAGTACAATGTGTCACCAACTCCTTTTATCCTCGAAATATCGTAACAAAGTATAATTCATTCTTTTAATTTTACTTTTTCTTTTATTTTACATACAATAGAAGAAAAAGTCGAAATAAAAGTCGGTATAAAATTATTAGGGCAGTAACGCTATAAATAGAGTTATGATTTGAAAATTATTATGTTAACTATTAAAAAAAATAATTAAAATATTATCGTATGGTAATTTTATGAGATCTTTTATTTTTAAGTTTTTGTCTATAATATATGAGTAATTAATATTATCTTATGTTAAAAATTTGAATAAATAATTTTGTTTTTACACACACTTTTTACATTGTTTTTTCACAGCCCACAAACTGGACTTGGATGATCTTAATTTTGAAAAATCTGAGTATAACGCTAATGTAGCATATTGTAGAAGTAAGGCTGCGAATGTGCTCTTTGCCAAAGCACTGGATATGAAATTGAAGGTAAATTATATTATACAAATACTAATGTACACAATGGGTAATACAATTTCAACAATGGGCTGGTCCTTATATCTAATCTACGAGACATAAAATAGCCTGACTAGAATTGAACAGTTTGTTTTAGCCCAAGAACCCAAGCTATCACCATGTAATTCTAAAACGTATTTTTTTTTTATATAATTTTAGAGTCATGTTCTTAAAGTGACTATTGCTATCTTATCTGAGAGATTATGTTATTAATATCTATTCCATTTTTAATTCCTTTTTTTTTTATATAAATTATTTTAAAGCCTAACATAATAAGCACATATGTACAAAAAGTTTTCACAATGATATTCCAAGCATATAGTACGTGTATGTTAAGATGAAAAATCTGCAAAGACATAAGTGGTTATATTTGCAGGAACAAAACATAAAATATGTAACAACCTACAGTCTACACCCAGGAGTAATAAAGACTGACATCAGCAGACACTTTGACAAAACCGTAGCGCGTGGCGCTACATGGGCGTTCAACAACGCTGGACTGTTCTTGAAGTCGCCGAAATGTGGCGCACAGACTTCGATATACTGCGCTGTTGATGAAGCTTGTTCTGTAGAAAGTGGCCTCTATTATAGGTAAGTTACATATACAAGTTAAAATAAAAATCGTACATTCTTTCGGGAAAGTATGCTACCAGTGGAACAGAAAAAAAATCAACGAAATATAAAGTCGAATAACAAACTAAAAATTTTGAGCCATACCATTCTTAATTTTTTTTTACAACAGTTATTAGGTCAAGCTTTTTTACACCTAATGTAGAAGCCCTATTTGTTAGGTATCGCAACTGTATTGTACTTGCTATCTCCTGTATGTGCAATTTAAAGGAGGAGATTTCTTAATTTATTTATCTACAATTTTTTTATTATTGTAGATAAATAAATTAAGTTACCAGTTTGTTTTACAAACTAGACAAATTTTTGAAGTCGCTAAAATTTTGAGAAAGATTTTACTTTTATTGAGTTTCATCTTTTATAGGTAGACTTATCAAGATATTTCTAATTTGTAAATATCTACTTGAGCAGTTATGTATTCACTTTTGTTTGTTACAGTGATTGTGAGGTGAAACGTCCATCAAAACAATGTCAAGATGAAGAATTTGCAATTAAATTCTGGGACAAGACTATCGAATCTCTGAACTTAAAGAACTATAATGCTTTCGGAGATTCTGATCCGCCAAAAGATTTGCTCGCTTAATTTATATTATTGAATTTACATCTATTTATGTCTATTTATAATTGAATCCTCAAAGTGAATAAGCACAGTGTGATGCAAATAATCAGTTATATTTTGATTTTTTGTATGTTTAAGTAGAGACTATATATAGTATTAAAAATAATGAATGTTAAAGATAAATAGTAGGATTTGTTGTCTTTTGTCATTTATTTACAAGTAATGACAAGTATACAACTCACAAAACCGTATACATAAAATATATTACTTAGGCATACCCTATCTACTCGGGTGAAGATTAACGCAACTGGTGGATAGAGTAGAAAGGCTATTTTTTCTCAATACTGTAAATGTAAAATATACCCTCATTGATCGGATATTTTTATTTTATTATTATTATAAATATGAAAGTGAGTTTATTTATTAGCTTTCAGTACATTTATGGCTTCAACTTTAATTTGGCTTACACGTAATATTTTAGGTGGAGAAGGGTATAGGCTATTTTCCCAGTCATTAAACTAGAAACTAATTCATTATTTGGTTGATGGAATAGTAAACACGCAGATTAAATCCTAACTGAAAATATAGGATATTTTATATATAGATACTGATAAAGGCTCGGGTAAAGTCGCAGGAAACAGCTAGTAAAATATATAATTATGTTGAGAGTGTAGAAACATTTTAGCACGAGTTGATCACAACGTGTCAATATAGTTATCACTGTTTAAATGTTGCTTTTATACAAAATTTTATGTGTTAATATATAATATAGGTGGTATGTACCCAAGCGTTGCCTATTATTTATAATAAAAATATGCACTTACAGCTAGTTTATTATTGAATAGAAGTTTAGAGTATCACATATGGTAGAAGTACGGGTATCGTAAGTATAAATCGATTATTTTTTTACCGTTATCTTTTATGTAAAATCAGCAGAATTCGTATATAATTTAATGCATCAATTTATTCCTATTTTTATTTGGACCTAGTTACGAAAAAATAGTCAAATTACATTGAATGCCCATTAAAGATGGCTGCTTTCAGCTCTAGCTCCAATTATTATCGTTTTTTTTTACCTGAAAGTAGGATCCTCAAATGTACTCGCATTATTATAATATTCTAGTTGCTGCTGCTGTGTTTTATGGTTTGGATCATTCTCTCTCAAGTTAGTAATTATAGTTGTATTAGCGGACTTTTGGCAGAAAAACATAGCGGGTATTGAAAAATCCAGCTAGCCGCTCCGCCTGATGCCTCCGCAGCGAGTTTCGCTCTCGTTTGATTAACTACATTTATTATCCCTATTATCCCAGTCTGAGAAACCAGTGTTTTCAATCCTAAAAAAAGCAAGAAGTAATTTCTGATTTTATCTTGCAAAAAAGAAACTTTATGCGTGACAAAATTAATATGGAAAATAGACTAATGAAAATTCTATCGATTGCGAAAAAACCAAGCCGTAATTGAAAATTCTATTTTTTTAAAGGTCTTTAATAAGTAAATTACGCCTTCATTCATTCTAGAGGAAGTCATATTTTTTTAAATAATACAAAGAGGTTTTTTTTTGATGGGTGAAAATGGTATGGTAATCCCGCCTGCGCTAACGGGATACGCTGGCGGAGCACCAGTGAAAGGTAATAGATCAGAATGAAAACAGGCCAGTTGCCCATCAGTAGGCCATCATGATGAATTCATCAGTAATTAACCATGATAGTTTCCAGGGAGAACCGCGAAGAGGTCGACCTGGTTGGGTATATTGCTAGCAATGGGATTCTCAGTCTCCATTACTAACAATCCCTTCCCCCCCCCCTATATAAAAAGGTTAATTATGGACATATATTTTTCTTGATAAATAATATAAGTTATAAACATTTTTGTTGCATTTTGTTTTTTAATTATTATAATTTTAAAGTGCCTTTGTGGTATACGCAGTCAATTTGGTTGATGAACGCTAATCTGGCTCGAAGGACCATGAGGATGTAGTATTGGTTCCTATATTTTTTCTTTATAAATGAAAAGTCACTGTTGAATTACTTTTTGTTTGTTACAATTAGATATTCAAATTCAAATTCAAATTCAAAAATCATTTATTCATGTAGGACATTTTAGCCGCTTATGAACGTCAAATTTTTACATTATAATTTTATATTTACCCTACCGTCCAGTTCGGTATATAGATCCAATTGAGAAGAACTGGCAAGAAACTCAATTGAATTCCTTTTTTTTTTTTTTTTTTTTTTTTTTTTTTTTTTTTTTTTTTTTTTATTTTATTTATTAATATTGCTATATGGTATGCACGTTGCGCAGTCAACATCCTTGACAAGCGCGGAAATTAATTAAAATTAAATTATAATAACGATCGTAATCGACTAACCTATGCATGCCAAATAGTAAAGGTCGTTGGTTATACAAATATGTTTAATGTCACTAAAATGTTGTATATACCACTTTTTATAGGGCTTTTCTTGAATACTCTTTTATTGTAAATATTACATAAGCGAGGAATGTATCTATTTTTTAACGCGCCACCTACCTATTTATGTTTTAATTCTTTCTACCCAAAGGTTGTCTGGAACAGATTGCTTAGCAATAAGACCTCTTTTTGTACTACACTACACTTATTGAAAATTCTTCAACAAGTCCTGTAATAAAAAGTTGCTGCAGTAAAGCAGCTGCAGTAAAATGTTAAATAAATATATAAGTAATTAATATATAAGTGATGTCTATCATCGTAAAATAAAAACCAATAGGTAGAATAGAATATATATATATATATATATATATATATATATATATATACACATATATATATATACACATATATACATATACATTTCGCTCTGAGATTTGTGTGAAGAGATCGCTGATGTACTCCACTTTAGAACACTTTAGAACTATTTGCAGAGTAACCAAATGGCCACCAGCTAAAACGCATGTAGCAAATGCATCGTACCACGTTTGAGGCTCTATGTGGCTTATATATCATGTATTCTTAAGACCAAGATTTAATTCTACAATAGAGTCGAAACTGTTTCACAAAAATGACCAGGCGTATCCCACAAGAAAGATTTTATAATAAAAAGTTTAATTTACAATAAATACATTTGTTATTAAAAATTTAATGAAGATAAACACGTTAATGGGCCACCTGATGAAAAGTAGTATCGTTTAACATAAAGTACGTACAATATAGAATACAATGAACATACTAGAAGATTTTTTTATACAACTTAGAATGGCAAACAAGCTGACGGCCCACCTGATGGAAAGTGGTAACCGTCGCCTATGGACATAACAAAGTATACTGTTTCGCCCATGATACCGCCCATGCGTTGCCATTCCTGAGGATTCAGGTGTTATTCCTCTGATAGGTAACATTACAGCCTGTGTCAACATAATCGTTAACAACTGACACCCGATGCGGAAGAAATGTTTTCAAGTGGAGCTTCTGTGTAGCTAACCGCAGTGTGGAACAACATCAAGAATGGTCACGCACAGTGTGGTTTCGGAGACGCTTCCTCCAGCGAACACTTAGGTTGTGAAATGATGTTCCTGTCGAGGCTCTCTCTAGAGAGCATGGGGTTTTGCAAAAAGGGCGTATTAATGTTTCTTAAGAATTGGCAACGCGCGCGTATGGACGTCTGTAACACCAAGGTGTTCTTGGTGTTACAGACGTCCATAGGCCTATCTGACGGTAACTCCGTTTACCATCAGACGGGCCGTATGCTTGTTTGCTACCATAGTAGTATAAAATTCAGGTAAATGAAACCACGACCTGAAACATGTTGCGGTGTAAGCGAGATGCAGGTGCTTGTTGTTGGGTAGCCTTTGTTTATCAATGAAATGTCTAAAAGATGATGATGATACTAACCGTTAATAGAAACACAGGTTCTTTCTGAATACAAGTCATGCACTCCAATGTATACACCCGGGAATTTGTTTAGTATTGACGTAATAAGTATCGGTATAGTGTCAGCTTCGTCTAAATGTTTAGGAACAAATAGGCCCCTTTGCCTTCGCAGCGTATCCTCGCAGTTGACCACGGTGCTGCGGCATGGTGCACTTTATAGAAAGCATTTTTTTTTAATAAGTGATAATGGAATGGCAACCCCACCTGCGCTATCGGTGTACACTTGCGGGGTACCAGTGAAGGATGATAGGTGGGAATGACATAGGTTTCTTAGCCCATCGTGACAAAATCATTAATGAATCAATTACAATGGTTCCCAGGGGGAACCGCGAGGAGGTCGACCTGATAGAGCATATTGCTAGTAATAGGGTTACTAATTCCTATTTCTAACAATCTCTTTCTTTATAGAAAGCATTAAATTCCTTTTCGTAGCGATAGTCTTCACGAGATGTAGTACGCTGTGATTCTGAATGAATACAAACTCTCTATTATATTAGATCAAAAGGAGACTCACGCTTTGAACCTACCTACTTAAATACAATAGGCAAATCATTGCGGAAAAATTATTGATTCAATTATTGTAAGTACTCATAAAATATATTTCTTTCAATTATACGTTTACGTATGGTTGGTAGGTACGTAGCATAAACTGACTGACATGACATACCTGGTATTTTTTTTAAATGGATAATTTTACTCGCCTTTCTCATACGAAACGATTTTATAGATAGATTCGTTTGGCACCTGTCTTAAGGCCGGTACTACGAACGCTTGCCGCGTGATATAACCTCAAATAGAGAACGTCAGTGTTAACTTTAAGGCTTTCTGGAATTCTGGTAGTAGATATGATCATAGGTAGGTAATTGGTTCATTTTTCTTCTTCTATACGTCTATAAAGTATGTAAGTATTTAATAGTATTTACATTTTCGATCGATTTAGTATCTAAAGGTAAGGATTCAATATGTACACATTTCAATTAAATGACTAAACTGATTTGGGACGAAGATTAGCAAAACATTGCGGATTTTCAAAATAAAAATACAATTTATGAGATTAGTATTAGTCTGTATTAGGTATATGTAACACATCATGTAATGCACCGATACATTTAAGTATTGCTCTATGAAAATACAGCAATTTAGGTAAAACAAACACTGCCTGGGAGGTTAAAATAGCTACTTTTCGCAAATCACAATTAAATTAATTTTGTATACTAAGGATCTCGTGGTGCACCATAATAACACCAATATCGTTTCATCAGTTAAGTTATACGAAATGAATAATTTTATGAATCCGGCAATGTGGCCTTTATAGCCTGCTCCTAAGAGACCACAAATAAGTGATATATAAAGGGGTATGAGTAAATTCGATGTCTTTTTCGACTGACGACTGAGCTTAAATGGACACTCAAGAAAATGTAATATTTGAATTTTATGATTGGAACCATGTAGATAAAGAATATCGGAGGCATTTGAATTAGAATATTACATATCTATGTACAGGTATATACAATTTTAAACTCAATCATCTCAGCTCCGATATTATATACGGTAAAAGTTATTAATCATAAATATTTCTTAAAGTAGTAATTATAAACTAACAATAAAATTGTCAGCCGCCATTACAAGAAATAAAACGCTATCTCTGGTTTATGCATTCACCCATACCCTTTTATAATTTACAAAATACACTGTTCGAAGTATTACATATAAGCGTCTACTACGTTATTCATAATACAGATTGCAGAATGAGTTTCTCATGAGATATTTTGATTTATAGATCATGTTTATATAATATTCACATTGATAAAGCTCTAAAATGGGACAGGATAACATTAATTTAGCCAAAGAAATTGATTCCTACTACTGCAACTCCTTATTGTATATTGTAAAACAAAAAAGATAGCATATTAGATGTTTTGATTGATGACGATTACATCATTGGTATATACAACTGATAGGAATCAATATCAAGGACTGTCAATTATAAGCACTCGGTAATAACAAATATATTTACAAATAAATGCTTAAATAAAATTCACGATAAAAATTATCTACTTAAAATAAACTTTGCAATAATAAATATTGATAAATATATATTGTAAATAATTATTGCATTGTGATTTTTGTGTACACATTCATCATTCAATAGCCATGTACCAAATAAGAGTTATAGGTACTATTAAGAAAATACTTATAAAGATTGAAAACGTATACTAGAATTGAATATAGAACTCTCGAATATATATCTATAACTTTGAATAGATATATAGTCACAGAGACAGAATGATGACATGAATAAATAGTCAGGTAAGCTATTAACAATTGTTCTTTTTATAATCCACAGCACCCAAATCACTTTCGAATTCAATTAAATTACAATTACTTCAATATACATTTCAATACCTATGTAATACTATTTGACTAGGCATATAATAATTTCCTACAAATTTCATATGAAGCATTTATAATACCCCAACTTAAAAATGCTCGTGATATATTTAATAAAGCTCCATGATAGAAATTAGAAAATTTCGAGCCACGCTTACTTAGGATATATTTAAATTCATACGATATTGTTCTATGGGGTCCGCCTAGTTCACACTGCATAGCAATTTTAATAACGTTCAGAGGATAGAAAAGTGTGCTCAAAAAAGCTCCAATTGATGCACCAGCTATAAAATTTTGCATACTCTGATATATGAGACGCTCTTGCCTTGGTAGCCTATCACGAACTTCATCACGGATAATAAAAAACATAGCATTAGAAGGGCCATTTCTTAATAATATAGGAATTAATCCTCTATAAAATTCTTTAACGCCATAGTGTCTTAGAATGTATCCAGCAGCATGAGCAGTATTCTTAAATTGCTTATGGTATTTCGGATGAATGAGTAGTGTTTGAATTCTTTCAAAAGGCATAAGTGTAGCTTCAAAGCAACCTGCTGCAACTCCAGCTATTGTTTTAGCAACATAAGGATTAACTTTATGATTAAGGAGTGGTCTTAGACATTCATCATATATACCAAACATAAGTGACATTGACAGGGATCTTTGCATCAATGGAGGCAACATCCCCCGATATAAGTAAGCTAATCCTTCTTTCTGCAACTGATTTAATGCAAAAGTAGTTTCCACTCCATGCATCATCTGTAAAAAAATGGGGGAAAAGAATTAATATTTAATAACCATGTGACTTAATACATCAGATGATAATAACATTAATGAGACACTTTGATCCATTTATTGTAATAAGACTAGGTTTTAAAAGACCTAACACTTTTAACAGAAAACTAATTTACATAGTTGGAATAAATTAATATATTTTTAGGAAAATTTAAGTTTTTAACATATATTAAATAATTATATGTTAATAATTTAAAATTCCCTAAAAATAAATTAATTAGTATTTTTTATCTTACTATCAATCAGTAACCAAAGCGGTATTTATTTGTTTTATAGATATGCATTTGTGTACAACCATAACATTTTTTAATCATTATGAGCTAAGATTAACTGTTAGATTTAATATAAATAAATTATTACATTTTATTATAAAGTATATAGGGTTATATATTAATATGATATTATTTAAGTTAAATTAATTGTTTATTACTAATAATTATACACTAATCTTCAGATCACATTCTTTATATGAATGCTTCTTTAAAAAAACAATATTATACAATAATATTTAACCTGTCTAAAGATGAGTTTGTTGAGTGGATAACTTATTAGTATATTGCAGAAAGCAGAACCCCCACCACAGACAAATTCTTTCCAATGGATGGGGAATCCTGGAGTGGGCACCGGCACCTCCATATCACCTTTGTTGAAACAATTTCTCCCCAGTAGATGACACTCTGATATATCAACCTTTTTGCTGTCGCATGACATTACTTGTGTTCCATTTCTAAAAATACACAAAAAAATAAGATCCTTATACAACCATATTTTGCCACAATATCTAATATATAATTTCTATAAATATTAGATTATTTGAAAAATTCACCTTATTAGATATTAACCTATTCGTATCTATACTGAAAACTTGTTATAACTTGATGATAATGTATCATAAGAGCTATGAGTAAGCAGCAAACATAAAGAACACTGTATCAACTAGCCCATAAATATGAGACTCTTAGACTAGGAAGACAAGGTTAATGAATTTGTTTGTAGTAGCTGCTCAGCATTGAAGTTCCATATTGACCTTAATGATACATGAATCTGAGAGAACACAACAAAATACTATTTTTTATAAATAATAAAATTCTAAATGATTTGTAGGTTTTGTACATGTATGGTTTGTTTTAATAATGAGAAATGATTAGAATGTTATTAATCACTATTTAAGTAATTACAATACCAGTTTAGCATCTATCTAATATGATGGCATGGTATATTAAAGATACCATTTTTTATTTAAGATAATAAAAGTTAATTTCAGTATACTAAACCCGAGTTTAATCTGAGCATGTACACATGTTTTCATTGAATATTTGGTATAGTCTAGTCAGTGAGTATCGATAGCACTTAGCGTGTTTAATGTTACATATTTTGAATTATGTAGTATTAAATTTACATGCGACAAAACATTTTACTGTCTATAGGTAAAATGGTTTTAAACTTACCTCTTCAATTATTAAATTACTTCTTCAGACAACTAATTAATTATATAAATTATTACGTGTTCGATAGTTTCAGATTAATAAACATTTAATGTGTTAGTTACAATATGTAGATATGATTAAATTATTTAATACAACTTCAATAATTGTCAAGTTGGTTCTATACTTACTTTTAAATAAAAAAATCATCACAAAACATAAAAAAGGCAATTATAAATAACTTAGCCAAAATTCATTAAATTTTTCTAAAAAAATCCACTGCTATCTGCCACTGTCAACTACATAGAGTACTTTATTATACATAGAGTACCTATAACGTAGTGATTACTTGCTCTGTGCTTAGACTGTTGCTTTAAGTTGCATTTGTCAATTTATTGTATCGATACTATCGATAATTTGAAAACCTGAGGCTTCAGAGTATTAATTAATTTCCATGTGATAATTCTTAGTGAAAATTTCTCTGACGATTCATATACAACATATTGATTATAGTTTTCAATATTTTATTTAAATAAGTAAAATGTTTCAACCATATTTATACGTAAAACATGAAATTGTAACTGTTTTTTCTGTTATTTATATTACATCCAGTAAGGTACACATAATTCTAACTACATTCATTTAAAACTAATTCCACTTCAAAACGTGAAAATAATTAGAAATAAACAAATAATATGAGATAAATAATTCTAATGAAATAAATTTAAATAGTTAAAGATAAAAAAATTCCTTAAGATCACTGCCAGCTGGTAGGGTACCTAGGAGACTTGCTGCATTTCCACGCTGAATAGCTAAATTATTAGAAATTATTTTGTTCATACTCCCGTCAAATCGTAAATAATTGTACTATTGTCTATCTCTCTAACATATGATTATTTTATTTTCTCTCTTTTACATTGCCTCTCTATAAACCATTATAATGGTCATCATTATTTATTCTGCATAGAATTAGAAAGAGAGAGAGAGAGAGAAAGAGATCAGTCGTACCATAGATATAGTACCTACTTGGATATAGTATAACGTATTTTAACGTAGAGATTACATGCTCTGTGTTGATCAGTAGATATGGTCCCGATTTACTATTTGTTTATATATTTCTTTGAGATTTAGTTCAATTTTCATTATAAAATTAAATTGTTAAAACACAGCAATGGCTGCTTTATTAAAAAAGCGAGCTTTAGCTGAATATAATAAATCATTTCAGGTAAAATCATAACCTTATTAAAAATTTACAACATTAAAAACGAGCCGTATTTATCGTAACAATTTAATGTATTTTAAGTAATTCCAATTTTATTCCAGGATGGTCCACCCTCAAAAAAATTACATTTGGCTAAGAAGCCATTGATCGGTAGCTCGGCTGCTGCGTTTGTTGGACTATTAGAAAAGTGCAAATCTAGTGATGAAGCATTACAGTTATTACTACGCATTTCTGATTGCCTCCAGTTCCAAGAATCTGATGTGGAGGAAGCTATAAAAAAGTTATCAGAGCATTTTCAATCAGAAGAGGAATCTGTTGTTAGAGTGAAAATATTATGGTTATTTTGTGACATTGGCTTGGAATGCCCTGGCGCTAATTTAAATAATCTCATAGATGAAACAATACACTTGATTAAAAATGAGACTTCTCACAAGGTAAATGTAATTATGTTAGCAAAATCTATTACTTTTGTTTATAAAAACTAAAACTTATAAATTAACTATTATATTTTAACTATTATACTGTTTTTTAATTTATTTTCGAAATTGGGATATTATTGTTAAAGAAAGAGATAAAACAGTTCATTAGCTAAAACAGGTTTATAGTTCATTTGATGTTTTTATGAATCAGGGGGTATCAATATATAAAAGAGGATGCTGGATGACTGACTTATATATAAATTGCAGTTGAAACTGCTGCATCTGGAATTTTGAAATTTTCTAGAGAGGCTCTTAACATAGCATAGGTAATAAGTATTTTTAAAAATTCAAACCCTAAGGCAGTAAAATAGGGGTTGGAAATTTGTATGGAATATCATTAGGAGTTAAAAATATAAAATATAAAAATTTAGGCTCATGGTTAAAAAAAATCCATGAATAATCGAACACCATGTGTAAATGAATCAGCAGTAAAAGTAAATTTTTGACCATATTTAAATTTTAACCAAATTTTTTTGCATGGGAATAAATTTGTCAATGTGTCTATACTTTTAATGGATTGTTTAATTTTGAATTTGTTTTGGAATAAAAATTCTTGTGTACTTATAATGTAATACAAATCTTTAAGATTTCTTTGAGTGATTTTCTTATAAAAGTATTTTTAACACTTTTAATGAATTTTAGGTGATTGCTCAAGGCATAGCAACCTTATTAAAACTCGGTGCTAAGTTAAGTGATGATAAAATTCTGATGACTCGCTTGGTGGGGGTTGCAAAGGACAATTTAAAAGACACAAGTCATCAAGTGAAATGTAGGTGTTTACAGTTGATCAGTGAACTGTATCCCATCTACCCCGAGTCAGACAGGACCATGGAGATGGTTGCTGAATCTGATGCTATTGTAAAGTTACTGGGTGATTATTCTTATGCTGAGGTTAGTACATATTTTATACTTGTTTTGTCATGTCTTCACAGAGTCTACTTCATATAATGTTTTGATTCTATATATATATATTTTTTGTTCTATACACAGAAATCAAATATTCCCTTGAAATTTAAAGAATTTATATAATAAAAAACATAATTGTAATTATTTAAAGTGTTCTACTATTTATATTTAAAGCAAATAATTGATAATAAAAAATGATATAAAGTACATGGGTTAATGTTATGTAATGTTGTAAATGTAATAAATTACATGTATAATAATGATTTTAATTATATACTGTTTGTAATTATGTAGGATGCACGGGTGCGCTGTGAAGCATTCCAGTCACTTCTTACATTGCATGAGAGAGGCCAAACTCTTAGTGCAAATTTATATGACCAAGTGTGTACTGCACTTTCTGATGACTATGAGATCGTTAGAGAAGTGGCTTTGAAACTGGTATGGGTACTTGGAAATAAATATCCTGAAAAGTGAGTACTTTTAACAATTAAACTAAATGTGAAATTATAATTATCCATTAAAACAAATACAGGTTATTTAAATAAAAAAAATAATATTTGTCCATTAAAAAAATTTTAACTGTGGATGGAATTAGGTGTTTATATAAAAATAGAGAATATTAATAGAATTCGTGGTAGACTATTAACCATGTTTTTCTTTTATACTACTGAGGTGGCAAACAAGCATACGGTCCACCTGATGGTAAGCGGGAACCATAGCCTATGAACGCATGCCATACCAGAGGTATTACGCGCGTAGCTGACCCTGAAGAAACCTCTTTACCCCCCCTTTTGAAGAACCCCATGCTGTAGTCTTTTGGCAAAAACCTCGGCAGGGAGCTCATTCCATAACCTGTATTCTTTTCATTGAATTATGAAATGCATAAAGTGCACTTTTTAAAAGCTTCCTTGATTTACTATGTATGTACATATATATAATAATTTTCTCTTTTCAGCACAATAGTTCTTAAAGATGGCGAGACAACGATGCGTCTAGTCGATGACGCATTTGTCCGCATCTGTTCTGCAGTAAACGATTTGTGTATGCAAGTGCGTGCTCTCGCTTGTACCCTGCTTGGTACAACGCGAGGTGTCTCCGATAGATTTCTATTGCAAACACTTGACAAGCAGCTTATGAGTAACATGAAGGTGACATTAAAAATATTTTTTAATTTCGTGAAAGATTTTATCCTTAGCTTAATTAATAAATTTCTATTTTGCATGCAAAATTATTTCAAGATAATTTTAAGCATTTTTTATTTATTTATTTTGCATATACATTTAGCCTCGCCGCCCTACCGGGCATTCCCTAAGGCCGACGCTTAGGGGGAAAGGCTTTATTAGCAATGTGGACTAATGCCCCTATTGCTAATAAACCCTGTCAGGTCGACCTCCACGCGGTTCCCCCTGGAAACCATTGTGACTAATACTTGTTGCATTTGTCGCGATGGGCTAACTGACCTGCTTACATGCTCATCTATCATCCATCACTGGTGCCCCGCTAGCGTATACTGATAGCGCAGGCGGGGTTACCATTCCATTATCATTCATTGAAAAGGCCGACACTGATTTACATCCATGAAATCCACGTAATCCTGGAATGTGAGGCTGTGGTCCATCAACGTTTAGAAATCCTCGGAACGGTGAGGTCGCCTCGTGAGGCCTATGAAGAACTCAGGAAGCTTCTGCGCTTCTGGGCGGAGCTAGGTTGGCTGCACTAGCCACGATTCATACGCACAACGGCCCAAATGAGAGGCTGAGCGCGGAAAATAGTCTTTTTCACATTCACATTCAATACTTTTTGGCGTGAATTTACAGGGTACAGAGGAATAACACCTGAGTCCTCAGGAATGGCAACGCGTGGGGAGTATCATGGGCGAAACAGTATACTCTGTTATGTCCATGGTACTGCTCATGTCTATAGGCGACGGTTTTTTTTTAATGGGTGATGATGGAATAGTAACCCCATCTGCGCTTTCGGTATACGCTGGCGGGGCACCAGCGAGTGATGATAGATGAGAATGAAAACTCAGGTCAGTTAGCCCATCGTGTTGAATACACTTGGCATTCAGCACGATGGTTTCCAGGGGGGACCACGTGGAGGTCGACCTGTTTGGATATATTGCTAGCAATGGGGCCCCTAGTCCCCATTATTAACAATCCCTCCCACCCGTATAGGTGACGGTTACCACTTTACATCAGGTGGGTCGTCAGCTTGTTTGTTCTAAGTTGTATAAAAAAAAAATACATCCATGAAAAGGTCAAAAGCTATAGTGGTTAACTTTGTTGTACAGAAGAAGCGCACGGCGCACGAGCGCGGCGCTGAACTGGTGCGGTCGGGCGCGTGGGCGAGCGGGCGGCGCTGGGCCGACGACGCGCCCGGCGCGCTCGTCAGCAGCCACCGCGTGCAGCTGCTGCCCGGCGGCGCCGCCGGCGCCTTCGTGCACGGGCTCGAGGACGAGCTCATGGGTACCGCGCGCTTACATTCTAACACACTCTATATACTAGCTTTTATGTGCAACCACAGGGAGACTTTGTACAAAAGTCGATTGCTTGCGGTACCTCTGTCCTATTTGTTTTTAATGAGTGATAATGGAATGGTAACCCCGCCCGCGCTATCGGTATACACTGGCGGGACACCTGTGAAGGATGATAGATGAGGATAAAGCAGGTCACTTAGCCCATTGTGACGAATTCAACAAGAATTGTTCACGATGGTTTCCAGGGGGAACCACGTGGAGGTCGACCTGATAGTGTATTGCTAGCAATGGGTTCATTAGACCCCATTACTAACAATCCCTTCCACCCTAACCTCTGTCCTATTCGTGTTTCAACCGTGAATTAACTGTGTTTGCATGGCTGTGGCTTTCGGTTTGAAAGGTGGGATATGGCGTGAATTTACTGGGTACAAAGGTACACCTGAGTCCTAAGGAATGGCAACGCATGGGGGGTATCATGGGCGAAACAGTTTACTCTGTTATGTCCATGGTACTGCTCATGTCTATAGGCGACGGTTATCACTTTCCATCAGGTGGACCGTCAGCTTGTTTGCCATTCTAAGTCGTATAAAAAAATCATTTAATATTGATAAATGATTCCATATAGTTTAGCTTTCATTGTATTACGATATACAGAGGTGCGCACGGCAGCGGTGGACGCGGTGTGCCAGTTGTCGATGGAGAACACGATATTCGCGACGACGTCGCTCGACTTCCTCGTGGACATGTTCAATGACGAGATTGAAGACGTGCGCCTGCGCGCCATCGACAGTCTCACCAAGATCTCGCACCACATCGTGCTCAGGGAGGATCAGCTCGAGATCATATTGGGCGCTTTAGAGGTGAACAATGTACAATATGAATAAAATTAATGACATGTATAGATGAATAAATTTTGATTTATATATTGAATTATTTACGAAAACTTGATTAGTACGTGTTTTTGGTTAACTAAATGACAAATCAAAAACGCGAAAACGAAAAATGTACAGTAAACTTTCGCTAACCACTTGTAAATAATTTAGTATGCATTATTTTGAAATTGCTGATAATTGGAGGAGAACATCGCCTGTAAAATTTGACCTAAAATTAATGAAATGTAGAATGTTTTACATGTACCCCCAAAGTACAATAGTTTTTATACAAAAAAGAGAAGGGAAGACATGATCATGATTGTTATAATCTATGTGGATTATTTTTAAATAATAGGTTTGTATTTCAACAGGATTATTCAATGGATGTGCGAGAAGGTCTGCACAGAATGTTGGGTTCCTGTACAGTTGCATCGAAGACCTGCCTCGAGATGTGTATTGACAAAATTTTAGAAAATCTCAAAAGATATCCACAGGTACTATATTTATTTTTATTTATGAAATTCTTTATATTTCGTTGATTAACTACTATATATGAAGGAAAATTTGTTTATGATTATTCATCCATTAAAAAAAAAGCCTTATATAAAGATGTTTGCAGGCTTTTTTTTAATGGATGATGATGGAATGGTAACCCTGCCTGCGCTATCGGTATACACTGGCGGAGCACCAGTGAGGGATAATAGGTGAGAATGAAGCAGTCAGTTAGCCTACCTCAACGAATCTAACAATAAATCAATCACAATGGTTAGCAGAGGGAACCACGAGGAGGTCGACCTGATATAGTATATTGCTAGCAATGGGGCTACTAATTCCCATTACTAATAATTCCTTTCCCCCAACGTTTGCAGTCTTTTTTTTAATATGTGATAATGGAATGGTAACCCCGCCCGCGTTATCGGGATACGTTGGCGGAGCACCAGTGATGGATGATAGATGAGCATGTAAGCAGGTTAGTTAGCCCATTGTGACGAATTCCACTAGAATTAATCACGACGGTTTCCAGGGGGAATCGCGTGGAGGTCGACCTGATAAGGTGTATTACTAGCAATGGGTCATTTAGATCTTATTACTAACAATCCCTTCTCCCCCCCCCCCTCCCCCCCAATGTTTGCAGGCTGTACCACATTAATTACATGGGGTAATTTTTTATCGCGGCGTACAACTAGTAGTGGTCTAAAGTGTCAAATGCTCTCGTACAGGACAAGCGGTCGACGTTCCGTTGTGCCCAGCGGCTGGGCAGCTCACACGCCACGCTGGTGCTGCCGCTGGCGCCGCGCCTGCTGTCCGTGCATCCGTTCTTCGACATGCCTGAGCCTGACGTCGAGGACCCGGCCTGTATCCTTTACTGGTTTAACTAATATGATAAGACAACCTTGGTGGTGCAGCAATTAACCTATTACCTTACCTTCCAATAGTAGGTTCGATTCCCGCACAATAAAAACATTTGTATTTATATCCGTCTTGGTCTAATTTGTATGTATAATATACTAGCCACCCGCCCCGGTTTCGCTCGGGTGCAATGCTGATACTAAATAACGCCGCCGGCCCCAAAAACATTATGATATCACATTAGACACCTCTAAAATTATCAGTGTTTCTCTACTATATTATGCATGTGTTATAAACCTTCCTCTTGAATCACTCGTATCTATTAAAACTAAATAAAAACCGCATCAAAATCCGTTGCGTAGTTGTAAAGATCTAAGCATACATAGGGACAGACAGACGGGAATCGACTTTATGGTATACTATGTAATGATAGTGATATGTATAAACATTGTCTAGTTGTTTTTTTTTTTTTGTTATGCACACTTAGTCGAACTAGGTGTCCTGTCCTCGTATATATATAATGTATAGTATAATATTATATTATATTATCTGTGCCTGAAGTAAAGGAGAAAAAAAAAAGTGTAGTTTAAGTGACTTTGACTTGTTACAGTTTTATTATATATATTGTGCATAGATTCTCACTATTGTAATTCCAGATGGAGTGGTCAGAGAGAGTATGGTGTAAATATAAGTAGTAGAATATGATACTTAGTATGTTCACATATTGCCTATCTATTTCATTTTTTTTAATATATATTCCATAATAATTTTACAATTTTCAATAACTAGACTGACTTGTTATTATTTTTATGATATTTTAAATTGTTGTTTATTTTGTTTAATCTAAATTGACATTAATGCATGTATATTAGCTACCTATCAATATAATTTTGCTACACCCAAACAGGGTTTCATGTACTTACTCATCATAAGAACATTGTAACAACTCTATATTATGTACATGAATGCATTATAATAATAAATAAGTAAATAAATAAATACAAGTGACACTTATATGTCTAAATTGAAATTAGCCACTGACCTAATGTCAACAGACGGATACATGTGACGTCATTATATTTCAGCTAGTGCTTAATAATCCGCTAGTGTATCGGCGGCTGCGTATAGTTTTCCTAACAATAATGAAACAGATATGTGCGTGCTGATCCTGACGCTGAACGCGGCGCAACACTGCACCACCATGCTGCCGCTGTTCGAGGAGCACACCATCAAGCACTACACGTACCTGCGGGACACCATGCCGCACCTTGTACCACACTTACCTATAGGTACCGCTATTTACCTATTTCATCATTTCAGCCATTATCCGTCCACTGCTGGACATAAGCCATCCCCATAGACTGCCATAGCCACCTTTATCCGCTGATTCCCTGCAATGCATTTCAGGTCGTCACTTCATCTTATGGGAGGGGGTCGTCTTACACTGTTTTTGCCCGTACGCGGTCGCCATTCAAGAACCTTTCTTTCCCATTATGTATGACCCATTCCCTTACCCATCATATGTGACTAGCCTTTTGTCCTTTACTTTTTTTTTATATAACTTAGAATGGCAAACAAGCTGACGGCCCACCTGTTGGAAAGTGGTAACCGTCGCTTATAGACATGAGCAGTACCATGGACAACAGAGTATACTGTTTCGCCCATGATACCCCCATGCATTAGCGTTTCTGAGGACTAAGGTATTATTCCTCTATACCATATAAATTCACTGTCATATCCCAACCTTGAAACCAAACTATTTTTTTATACCCTCTCAAGTTGACCTCCACGTAGTTCCCCCTGGAAACCATCATGGTTAATTCTTGTCGAATTTATGGTAGGACAACTGACCTGCATTCATTCTCATCTATCATCTTCCACTGGTGCCTCGTCGGTATATACCGATAGCGCGGGCGGGATTACTATTCCATTTTCACTCATTAAAAAAAAAACTATATTTTTTAATATGGACAAATTTTAATGTATTGACGTAGGGGAAGCGCAACTAGGCGCCGAGAAGATAGAGGCCGCTATGGACGACAGCGCGGTGCGGCGTTTCTTCGAGTCGGTACTACAGCACATCGACAACGTGACGCTCTCCACCAACGTGCGCCTCAAGATGTTGCGCTCCGCCGAGGAACAACTCAACAAGTATAGTTCTGAATGTTAATTCAACATTTAAGTTGTAAAAGAAATGCCATAATCACCCAGCAGTAATTTTCGGGAAATTCTTTCCATGTACATTGTACATATAAAGATACTGTTTGTTATGTTGGTTGTGAGGCATTTTGATTGTATGTATCAGTGAGGGATGATAGACGAGAATGGGAATCCGTCAGGCGATTTCAAAGGTGTAACCGCGTGATTGTCCTGACAGGGATGTGCTAGCGCTGAAACCGCCTATACTTGTTACTGATAATCCCCGCAGAATGTTGATACAAGTAATGTTTGTATACAATGTGTGTGTGTGTATACAATATGTGACAATGTGTGTGTATGTAGTCACAATTAATACGGGAAAATTGGACTCTGACATGTACTTAAGAGGTGGTGAGGTTAGATCGCAGCGGGTGGCAGGGAGTGTCCATACTGTACTTTACTACTCTGTGTACATACGATTACACCCCGGTCATTTCATACAAGAATGCCGCGATCCTTGCTTGTCACAACTAGAGAAATAAGTAACGTCTGTACAGGTGACAATGTGTGTGTGTGTGTGTGTAGTCACTATTAGCGCGGGAGAATAGAGTTTAGGTGTTGACGCTTACTTGAGAGGTGGTAAGGTCAAATCGCAACAGACGGCAGGGAGCGTCAATACTGTACTTTAGTATTGTTTTTATTTTAATGGGTGATAATGGAATGGCAACCCTGCCTGCGCTATCGGTATATGCTAGAGGGGCACTAGTGAGGAATGTATGATAGGTGATGATGAAAGTAGATCAGTTAGCCCATCGTGACGAATTCTACTCGAAATAACCACGATGGTTTCCAGGGGGAACCGCGTGAAGGTCGACCCGATAGGGTGTCATAGCAATGGGTCATTGCGTCAGCTGGATTACTTACAATTCTCCCGCTTTAGTATTGTTATTTATATTGGGGATACGATGTACTGGTGTGCAGGCTGTCGGAGATGGAGCCTCAGGTGGCGGGCGCGGCGCAGTTCACGGCGCTGTTCGCGCGGTGCGTGCGCGCGCTGCACGCCGCGCTGCACGCCGCGCCGCTCGGCGCGCCGCCGCCGCTCGCGCTGCAGCACCTGCACATGGACTGCCTGCGGTACGCGCGCTGCTGCTCAGCATACTACTCGCTTGATTGTCAATGTGGCCGACTTATACATCAGATACGATCACGAGAACGGAACGCGCTTATCACATCATTACATACAGTATTTTTTTTGATGGGTGAAAATGGTATGGTTACCCCGTCTGCGCTAACGGGATACGCTGGCGGGGCACCAGTGAAGGGTGATAGATGAGAGTGAAAACAGGCCAGTTAGCCCATCATGATGAATTCATCAGGAATTAACGATGATAGTTTCCAGGGAGAATCGCGAGGAGGTCGACCTGGTTGTATATATTGCTAGCAAAAGGATTCTCAGTCTCCATTACTAACAATCCCTTTCCCCCCACATACAGTATTAGTGCGTGTGAAATGAGTGTGCAATTTACAGAGTTATTAACTTATTGCTACATTAATATGGTACATTCAATTTGTTGTCAGATCAAATAAAGGAAACTAAATTTAAGTCAGTGCATTTCAATCTCACAATCGTATTGCAGTTTTTTTTTATGATAATAGAACGGTAACTTTCGCCTCTACCATCACATACGCTGATGGGGCACTAGTGAAGGATGATATGATGGTTGTCTTTGTGATAATGAACCGGGGATGTCAGGGGGGACCGCGAAAGTCGACCTGATAGAGTATATTGCTAACGGTATATTGTAAACCCATTATTAATAATCCCCTCCCATATTACATTACAGTTTCGAATTGAAAGAACGATAAAAATTATATCTGATTTTCGTATTCCAGCCTTCAGCACCAGTTCAGTGGCGTGACAGAGCAAGAGAATGCTTGCGTGTGGCAGTTGGCGCTACGAGTGTGCGCCGCGCGGCTGTACGCGGCGACGGTGGGCGCCAACAACGGCACCCCGCCGACGACGCCGGGCGCCGCCACTAGTGCAGCCGGCGTCACCGGCGCCGCCAGCGCGACCGGCGCCACCGCCGCCGCGCTCTCGGCGGCCGCTGCCCTCACGCACCACGCTGAGTTACTTGATCGGATGTTGGCCTCCGCAGGTATTATATATGTCATTATTGTCATTTGTTCACGTTGGAATCCAGGACGTATTTTCCCGTACAAAAACAAGATACATTTAAAAGTATGACCAATTAAAGATATAAAAGGTTCTTCAAAAGAGATTTTTTCAGGGTCGGCAACGCGCGCGTTATTACGCGTATACCAGAGGTATTCCTCTGGTATTGCAAGTATTCATAGGCTACAGTAGCCACTTACCATCAGGTGGGCCGTATGCTTGTTTGCCACCTCAGTGGTATTAAAAAAATGCATTTTATAATTCAATAAATAATTATTGACAAGCAGTTGGTTATTTTAAAAAAATGTTCATGAATATAATATTTACCATTATTATTTTTTAAAAATGCATGTTTTTTCGTCGTCATGAAGGAGGGCAAGGGTTTGTTATATTTTATAGCATGGAATGTAGGGCCCTTCCCCTTATGCTAAATCCTGTCGAAAATATATTGTTTTTGACACTTAATTCTCTAAATTTTGTCGGCATAAATTCCATGTTCAAATTAATTTTTTTTTTGTTTAATTTAAATTTAATTTGAAATTTAGGCCAGTGTTCCCAGAATTTTATCTATCGTAATGTTGGTATACTGCAGGTGTGGAGCCAGACCCGTTCACAATAGCAGTATTCCAACAGCTGTCGATGAGCGCGGACAACAAGCCGGCGGCGCTCGCGCGTGCTCTCATGCCGCTATTGCAGGCTGCGCCGCTGCCCGTCATACCGAAGCCCAGTCTCAAAGTGAGTTGTGTGGAAAATATTCTTTTATTTTATATATCATATGTTCGGGCAGCGTTTAATTTACTAAAATGTTGTTAATAACATGCAGTTAATGATGCAAATATGTAAGTTTTTCTACTATTTTCTTCCTTTTAATTCTAAAGTGATTTAAGGTACAATATTTAACACAAAATGCGCAGTTATTTACGATTTTTTTGTCATAGAAAAATAGATACAAACAACACAGCCTTGAATCACACTCATGAATAAGCGCTACTTATCGATTTCGAAACTAATTGGGCATTTCCGAATTTAATATGTAAATAAAGTTTATATGAATAATTACATTTACAAAAACAATATTTACAATAAAATTTTCACATCCTTGAGTAAGTCAAGTAATTGGAAACACACTTTGTCTGTTTTTTTTATATATGATAATGGAATGGTAACCCCGCTTGCGCTAATGGTATACACTGGCGGGGCACCAGTGAGGGATGATGGGTAAAGATGAAAAGGCAGTAATTGACCTGCCTCATCGTGACGAATTTAACGATAAATTAGTCACTATGTTTTCCAGGGGAGGTCGACCTGATAAGGTATATTAATAGCGAAGGGGACTAACCTCCCCATTATTAATAATCCCTTCCCCCCACTCTGCCTGGTTAGCTGAGAGATGTGTGCTTGAGTTAAGTTTTTAGAGAAGTTAAATTGTTTAAGTAATCAATAATTGAATATTTGTAATTGCATTCAAAAACATTTTGAAACGTCTACACTGACAGATCCGCATGTGCACGGCGACGATAATCGAGCCGGCGAGCGACAACGACACGGTGCTGCGGTTCAGCGCGGGGCTGGTGACGAGCGTGGCGCTGGAGGCGGAGGTGGTGCGCGTGCGGCAGCCGGGCGCGCTGCGCGTGCGCGTGGCCTACCCCGACCGCCGCCACCACGCGCTCGCGCCGCCGCGCGACCACCTGCGCCCGCTCGACCACCTCGACCACAGTCAGTATCCACGCCGCAGGCGCTCTATACACCTTATCAGGTCCACCTCCACGTGGTTCCCCCTGAAAACCTCTTCATGAACAATTCTTGTTGTTGAATTCGTCACGATGGGCTAACTGACCAGGTTCATCCTCATCTATTATCCTTCACTGGTGCCCCGCCGGTGTATACCTATAGCGCGGGCGGGATTACCATACCATTATCACCCATTAAAAAAAAAGAGTAAAGGGTTACCATTACATTTATCGGCTATTAAAAAATACCATACTTAGAATAAAGGGGTGGAGTTTAGCTCGTTGTTAGCAATATGCCCTGTTTAGTTGATCATTAGAGGTGGAAATTAATTCCTGGTGAATACGTCACATAGGTAAACTAGCCTGCAGTCAGGCTAGTTTACCTATGTGACGTATTCTATAGTCAGGCAGTCATTGATATTCTCCTAACATTAACTAACAGCACAGGTGGGATTACCTCATTCCATTTTTAAATATAAAACAAGATGCACTGAGTATGCAGTCCGTCTAATATGAGGAGCTGCAATCTATGGCCATCAATGCTATGTACACACAGTAAATTATCTTTGTATCACGTCTCTAATTACCACATGTCATCATCTTCCTACCCTTATCCCAATTATTATTTGGGGTCGGCGTAATATGGTTTTATCCATATTACAAAAGGATTTAGCTTATAGTTTTACGACCGGCCGCCTGCCTGACGTCAACCCTCTTTACCACATGTAATTTGAGATATTTACCAGTATTAGTATTTTATACAAAAGTCGATTGCTTGGGTACCTCTGTCCCATTCGTGTTTCAACCGTGAAGCAGCTGTGTTTGCATGGCTGTGATTCGGTTTGAAGAGTGGTATATGGTGTGAATTTACTGGGTACAGAGGAATAACACCTGAGTCCTCAGGAATGGCAACGCATGGGGGGTATCATGTGCGAAACAGTATACTCTGTTATGTCCACGGTACTGCTCATGTCTATAGGCGACGGTTACCACTTTCCATCAGGTGGACCGTCAGCTTGTTTGCCATTCTAAGTTGTATAAAAAAAACTCCTTATCAGGGAATCTAGTGTGAAATATTATGAATATTGCTTTGTTATAAAATAATGGTGTAATAAATAGGAGTTTATTGGTTATAGTTGCCGCGATTGTTTGACAGAATGGGGGATTTGGTGATGTTATTGAGGTCACTAATAGCTAGATCGCCGATCATTTATATTCACTTATCTACCTTTTACTATATCTATAAGTAGAGGAGTGAGGGTTTTTTTTTATGGGCGAAAATGGAATGATAACCCCGCCTGCGCTAACGGGATACGCTAGCGGAGTACCAGTGAAGAGTGATTGATGAGAATGAAAACAGGCCAATTAGCCCATCATGATGAATTCTTCAAGAATTAACCATGATAGTTTCCAGGGGGAACCGTGAGGAGATCAACCTGGTTGGGTATATTGCTAGCAATGGAATTCTAAGTCTCCATTACTAACAATCCCTTTCCCCCCTAGAGGAGTGACGGTAGGTAGAAGGGGCATATTCTGTACCGTGTTCATACTGTAGCTGTTATTGTCAAAATCTATCCCAGTAGTTAGTATGTACGATACAGAAACTCGGCGCACGAGGTGTACTTGTAAATGAATCTGTTTTATTTACATTCATCACATATTTTACAGACGAAGACGGCACACAGAATGTGCGCTTGCTGACCAAGGTGTTGATATCGCACGGCGTATGGACGGACCCGTGTGGAGTGGATATTACAGTGTGCCTGGCGGTCGACGACGCTGTTGGCAGTGCTCGCGACGCCGCGCCGCTCGTCGAGCTCAGCCGGCCCGTGAGAGTCACCGTCGCGCCCAAACCTATTAAACGGGGAATATAAGCAATCGCCATTTCAAACACTCTGTTCTAAGGACAAGATTCAATACATGATGCAGTCCTTGTTTGATATCCAAGTATTTCGTGTCATTGGATTTAAAAGTTTGATAGGTAAAGATTTGGATTTTCCAATAAAAAATCAACGTTTTGGTTGCCTTCCTCGCTAGATAATAAAAAATTAATGGACATTTAAGAATTTCACAAAAAAAAAAGACTATTTTCTAATACTGCAATCTTGATAAGTAGCGATATGCTACATAATTATTCTGTTATCAAATTTGACTTCAATTTATATACTAATTTTGTCAGTATATGTAATTTGTTACATATAGTGATAATTTTAGTATTTAATTTAAATAACTTCCAAAATATACATATATTTTACCGATTTTGTTTTACACTGTTGTAACTTGTCGGCAGGACCAATTAATAATTAACTTAATTTTGGACGAGACAACCATTTGTAGATTAAGGAAATATATAAGACGAAATAAATAAATATTGTACAGTAATATCACATAACTTTTATTTACCTTTGCATATTATATACAAGCTTCATATAACATTACATAAGAATCACATATTTTCCTTAAAATTAATACTTATTTAATTCATTGCACACATAAAAGCATAAATACATACTAGGTTTTGAGACATTATTAAATAAAATTGAGATGGTTCTTCATTCCTTTAAATACTGCAGTTATGTTGTTTATTTAACCAATGCAGTTATTTATTATAATAATAAACATGCTATGGATAATAAATTTTATGTAGTATAAATAATATTGATTTGCTACAAATGTATGACAAAAATTACAATATCTTTATGTACATATTATAAAGAAATTGATGTTTATAAGTAAATATTTTATTTTATACCAAACATACAACAGTAACACAAGTGTTACAAACAAATGTTTGAATATGACATAGTATTTTGAAAAAATATTATTAAAATACAATCTTTTTGACCTTATAAGAGAATCATAAAACAGGATTTTTATTTGTGTGGTAACACAAGGGCCCAATGTTAATAAAACTTTAGTTGAGGAAGCCTGTTTCATAACTTTAAGAACACATGATTTATAAATATGTAGTCTTTTAAATGGTGACTAAATAAGAAAGGTTAGTAACAGAACAGTAATACAGAATCACTGAGTTGAGTGTGTTATTCCTTGTCTATTGCCAATAGTTCACAGCGAGCTATACTGTTGTGGATCAATTGTTTAACACCTGGCATCCAGCTGCTGACTGCGCTCACATGGTCCACCATGAGAGCCCGATGTATGTCATCTGCCTTTTGTGGTTCATTATTTTTAAGAGCTGGAAAGTTTAATTATATATTAATATTAATTATCACTAGCTAGCAGTTGTGTTGATTTAGGATAGTGTCTGTCTGTTTATCAAATTTCATTCAAATGGCTGACATTCAGTGGTCATAACACAATTAAATAACAAATATTTAAAAGAAGTTGCTTTGTAAAGTCTTAAAATATATTCTATGTATTATGGATATGATACATGGTATGGTAGCTGCAACTCTATACTCGAACATACAAAAGTCCAAATGAGAGGTTATTTACTAGTACTGTCGAGATACAACACTAAAAAAATTGTTGACTTATGTCAACAATATTTATGTGTTTATATGTCATTATTATTAATGCAAGGGTCCTAAGTAAGGGCTAAGTGATGTGTGCAACAACCATCTGCATACACTTTCTACTTTCAATCTAGTAATGTATAAATCAAATACAAAACCAATGTTTAACTTCAAGGAAGTGTACACATTACATTTTGTGTATATAACACTCTGCTGAAAGCTGTTGGCAAGCAAACATTGTTTTGAAATACTATTCAAATATATTTTGTGTGTGTTCTTAACCAGCACTTCATATTATTTCAGAATTTATCATAGTAAAAATAGTATATGAATATTTATAAAACTTTATGATGCAATATCCTGTATTACTTTGTACTTGAGAGAACAATAAATCAAAATTATTAGTATATTTTAGTGTTAGAGGATTTCTAATACTTTTGCCTTATAGTGTACAATTTTTCTATTTAACAAATGATTTTACCATGTCTTAACATAACAAAATTTGGTTATTTAGAACTAAAACAGCCTACAAAATAATAATATATACTGACATGAAGTCATATAATTAATACATAGACTTTTTTACATTTTATGCACTGATGTTTTGATAAACATATATTAAAATTATTTACTAAATACAAGAGTATAAAAATATATCTCATGGTTATGCCATTATCCTAAACTGAATTATCAAGGAGTAACATGTTGGTAAACTTACCATATGTTAAATTTTTCATATGTAAATGTATACTTTTATTTAATTTCCCACTACTCCACATATCTTCCATAATACTTATTCTTCTTCTAATGTCATTTGCTTTATTTTCCAACTCACTATTATTATCTAATAATGTTAATAGTGTTTCTTTTACCTCTATTAGGGCACTTTCACTATCAACATTTATATCTTGATCAGGTTCAGGTGTAGAAAAGACATGTAAGGGTGCAGGTGAGAAGCCTGCAGGTATCGGTGGCAGATTAACTGGGGGAGGTGGAGCAAGACTCGTGCCTGTACTAGATAAAGGAAAAGCAACCCTCTTATTCAGGAAGTTGCGAGGCCTATTTGGGGTAGTCTGTTGGGTGTTATATGAAAATTTTGGGGGATCATTCCAACCGGGATCGTAAGATACTGAAATAGAAAAGTTTATTTTAAACAATTTATACGACCTAATAAGAAAATAAGAAAAACTTAAGAGTAATAAACTGCATACCTTTCCCATTTTCATTTGGAGTTGTATTACAATTATCCATCATTAATTTACAATTGATTAGATAAATCTACTCAATTAATGATGGAAATTATTGTATCTCTTCGAAACTATAAATATGGTAGAAAGACGGCGTGCATAAGGAGAAAAAATTATTAATAAAATTAGACTAAATTAAAATACACCTTAGGTAGGTGCTGTGTAGGTGTATTGTCATCAGTCATTGTCAATCGTAAATAGACCATCAACTTCTTGTGTCATGCTGTCAGTTACGTAGCGGGCAGCTACAGGTTATTAAGATAAAAACGGAACTTTCTGAATGTAAGTATGTTTGTTTGTTTGTTTCACTATTTATTGCCACTTTTAAGATAGTGATGTCCTGGCTTCCATACCTTACAAATTACATTAAAATTAAAATACAATTGTTCGTCGTGTATTGTTAAAAAGTTGAAATAAAGTATATAACGATGGATGGATGGTTGGATATTTGTTACTCTTTAATGCAAAAACTATTAAACAGATTTAAATTAATTTTGATACACGTGTAGGTTATATTCTAAATTTGCATATAGGATATTTTATGTTATATCGCGTGAATACGCGAGCGGATACGACTATGTATACCTACATAGCCTTTGTTAGAATTTATAGTCTCTTATTTCCCTCCAATTTTTGTCAATAAAAATATTATCTGACTGTTAAGCAATCAAAGCAATGAGCGAAGATCGACTTCAAAAAGAAAGAGGTTCTCAATTCATTTATTATTTTTGTTTATTACCTCAAAACTCCGTCAGTCATAAACTCTTTTTTTATAATTATAAGTAACTTTGCATGCTAAAACTAGTTGAATGTGTAGTGTACATAATAATTGTATTTCCATATTTATCAACCCCCTATTTATTGTTAATAAATATTTCTAGTACTATATTACACAAAAAAGTATATACTTACAGATATATATATATATATATATATATATATATATATATATATATATATATATATATATATATATATATATATATATATATATACAGGTAATTTTATTAAAATAGGTTCAGTAGTTTAGTTTCGAAACGAAAATAATTTGTTTTGCCATAATTCAATTATTTACAGGTATGTTACGGGGTGAATGACTGGAGAGTATGGTCGAATTAGATGATTTTAGGCTATATAGAATAAAAAAAACTAAGCGATTTTAGTTTCTTGGGGTTCTATTATGACAAATTCCGATCCATTTTACCTGACAACACTGAATCAAACTGTCATATGTCATAAAATATACGATAACTCTACGGTTAATAATAAGTCAGAATGGATTTTATTAGAATTTTTTGTGTTTTTCCTAGTTTATTGTTGATATTGCTTTTCTATTCATTATTTCTCATAGAAACATCTCAAGGTATTAAAATTTTTCTATATAATTTTATGTATTTGCTGAAGGAACAATTCCCATTTCGTTAGCGGCATTTGAGTTCGCATGGAATTACGTGGCCCTATGTTATGGGTGGATTAGCTTGATATAAAATTTGAATAAGTTATTTTTTGTAAATTTATGAATAAAAGTGTCCTTAAATTTATTCCTTTTTTATTGTAATTAGGTTCCAAAGCCGAATATGTGACATGTGGTACTATATTGAAGTTGATGAACACGGACTTACGACTTCGGCTGCACTCTCATGACGTTAAGTATGGCTCGGGATCGGGCCAACAGTCAGTCACTGCTGTAGATACGACTGACGACCATAATAGTCATTGGTTGGTGAAAGCAGCTTCAGGGGAGTCTTGTAAAAGAGGGTAAACTTCAATATATTCATCTATATATATATTTATTTTGACTGGCAGATCACAGGCCGGGGTTTAAGTTATGAAAGTTAGTTTTCTGATAGATTGGAACTCTGAAAATTAAAATTGTAACTATTATATTACAAATAAATTCATATTTGATGATTTTGAAAGATATCTGCAAAAGAATCAAAATAATCGACATAGCCCGAGGGATAAGCAAGCTGAAGTGGCAATGGGCTAGTCACATAGTCGGAAGAATCAACAATCGATGGGGAAGAAAGGTTCTTGAGTGGTGACCACGTATGGGTAAAAGCAGTGTAGGACGATCCTCCACTAGATGGAATGACGGCCTGAAATGCATTCCAGGGAATCAGTGGATGCATATGGCTCAGGGCCGTTCTTTATGGCAGTATATGAGGAAGGCTTATGTCTAACAGTGGACGGATAATGGCTGAATAGATATAATGATTTTTTAGTCCATATATCCTATAATAATTCTGTTACAGTTATAGGCAGTATTGCCGTTGGGGCCCCCCCCCCTGGACAGTACTATCTATAGTCATGACAAGCAGGGACAATAAGGGATTTATTGAATAGGGCAGTTCTGATTGCCTTTTTTTTGGCTGTAGAGATTTAAAAATTTGCTCGGGGTACTAGGCGGGCTAAGACCAGCCCTAAATATATATATGTCATACAATTTTTCAGATGCTAGAATTGAGGATTTATTACAGTATCCTCTGAAAACGGCTAGTCTAAAAAGATTATATATTGTTTATATTATTATTATTTGTTTATTGCCATTGTTGATGTTTCACTACTACTAATATAATAAAATTGTAATTGTACTATGTCTGCACAGGGAAAATATTTAATTAAAAATGATTTTAATAAGAGCAATAGAAGCTATTATAATATTAGTTTTTTTTTAATTTTGTCTGTCTTTATGTTTGTTCCAGCTTCACATCTTTATGGTATATAAATATTACTGCACCAAATTGAATGTGTTTTGTTACTTGTTGTTGAACTATTGTTTTCTTGAAGATTCAACCTAAAAATTGGTGTATGTTTTATTTTGATATACCATCTAGAAGTAGTCTATTTCATGGGTTTTCCTATTTTCGAAATCTGTGCATGATCCTGGCCATCCTACTTAGTAATAATATTTTCCAGGGCACCAATCAAATGCAACTCGGTGGTTCGCTTGCAACATATTAGTACTAAGAAGAATTTGCACTCCCACTATTTCTCATCTCCACTGTCTGGTAATCAGGAAGTGTCTTGTTATGGGGATGATGATGGTGAGGGCGATAGTGGCGACAACTGGACTGTTGTTTGCAATAATGATTTTTGGAGGCGGGATACTCCAGTCAAGTTGAAACATGTTGATACAGCATCGTAAGTACAAAGATTTTATCTTAAAAAATTGATTTGAATTTGGACAAAATTGATAAACCTCTTAAAAAACAAGCTCTATTTAAATTCTCGGGTGGATATCAGACAATACTAAGATGGGCATGGAGCACTGCTCCCTCCCCCCACCCCAAATAGGCCTATGATTAACCTCCTATAACTGGTATTTGAGCAAGGTTTTAGTAGATTCCTTTGCCTTTTTTAAACTTTATGTGATTATGTGACTCATATTTTGTTTACAGATTCCTAGCTGGCTCAGGTCGTACATTTGGGCGTCCAATTAGTGGACAAGGTGAAATTGTGGGAGTCACTTCACAATATGGAGCTTACACAGACTGGCAAGCAAAAGAGGGTTTATTTGTTCATCCTAGTGACCCTCTGCCACATCAACAGCATGCAATACACACAGAGTTATAATATGTAATATAGATTAGTTAAAATTGTAATTTTTTAATTTTTGTAATTTGTGATACCATTAAGCTTTGTGTAAATAACGGATATTTTGTTCACAGACAGTGTTTCCTTTTCTGCATGTGGGTGTTGCAGCATCTAATTTTAGTCGTTTTATTATGATGAAATATAATGTATGTGGAGGATTATGGAGGTTTTATTAGACTAGGTATCATATATATAAAAAAAAATTATTCTTTGGACAAAATGTCACTTATTTGCGCAAGCTATTAAGCAATAGGATTACGTCTGTGCTGAGCTGGTGAATGACTATACAAATGTATATATACCTGGTTAAACTTTGCTCAACACTTCCCAGTGATTATTTATAAATAGACACTGTTTATAAGTGTTTTTGTGTTTAAAATGATAAATATTAAGTATGGCATACATACATTGCAAAGACAACTAATTTTACACATCTGTAAATGGGATAAACACACACTTTATTATATAAATTGGTTTATATATAGTTGATTTTTGAAAATTATGCTAAATTGATATCTATGACATCGTAGTCAGACTATGAAATAAATTTAATCTTATCTCAGCCAAAGAATTTGTGGAGCATTTTTTTTTAGTACGAATGTACTAGAATATATATATATATATATTTCACACTGGGTAGTATTATAATCTATAGAAGTAGAAAAGTAACTGGCGTATCACACCTATTTAAATTGTGTGATTCATGGTATATAGTTTGCACATGAACAATTAGTGTGTGAAAAATTAAAAGTGATCATAAAAGTGATCATGACCTTGTTTTCATTATTGTCACAATTGTAAATTTAAGGTAAATGTGTATAAATGCAAATACATTATGTACGACAAAACAAGACAAGCGCATAATATAATTGATTAGTATGGTACTCTCTATTTGTTACTGCTAAAGATCGACGGCAATCATTGGATTGAAAAAGTAACAAAATTTTATAACAAAGGAAAATTTAAATATATATACAATTGTTTTATTCTTATTATCAAAAGGACTGCCGCGTGTTGATGCGGCTTGTAGTTATTGTGGTAACGTTTATTTATTCCGGACTGGGGGCTTGGTTATCTGTGAAAATTTACAAATAACTATGGAATGTGTGACCGAAATAAAAACTTAGTATCATCATCATCATATTTTTTGAGACTAATTAAAAGAACCTTTTAAAAATCTTCTTTGCATTTAGATTCACTGGATTAGACCTTTGAGTATTTTTCTCAAAGACAGGATATGTATTAACAGTTTCTTATAATCGTGCGTACACTGCTTGTACATATAAATGCGTCCATTTATTTCTGATCTCACTGTAATGTTTCAGTCAGATCAATTGTATGCCTAGTTATTTATGAATATTTGTTAAAAAATATTGAAAATAGATAATTATAAATAAAAAATGCAGTTTTACTTCCTTACAACTTTATTGTCAATATTCATTGTTACATGAGGTAACTAACCTCTTGAGAAACATCAAGTTACAAATGAGTGCTTCAACACGATCGAATTTAATAATACTGCTGATTAAAAGAGAATGCCAAATTCTTCTCAATAGTAACTTGTGAATGACGTTTCTTTCTGAGCAAGAAAGTGTAAGTACTTATATAGCTTATCTGAAATGATGCATTGATATGAAATATAAATAATTTCGTTCCGATGTTACTGAAGCACGGAAACATGTTATAAAAAATATAGTTATAAAACTAAATAAACAACTCCAAACTTATGAACTCGCACCCTAGCCCCTCAGTCATGGTGCTTATTATTAACTATGTTCGTAAGATCATTACTAAAATTTAATTTATCCTACTTCAATCGTGAAGGCACAAAATACCCAGTTGTATTTTATTATTAAATATCGAGTAGAGCTATGAGAATTTTATTATTAAATATTGAATTTTGTACTTCTATAATACCTGTTGCATGCTATTCATTTTGTATTAATGGTTATTTAAAACATTTAATCTCAAAATATGCAAGTCCTAAAACTTCTATATCTCAGAATACCATAATTTTCTGCAAAGCAAGGATAGTATAAACGTGGTATATTTCTTAAAGGGTAAAGGTAAAAATAAGGGTTTATTGTTATAGTGGATAATTTTAAAATATACATATTTTTTATAATATTAAACATTTCTGTCTTATTTTATCTAAGTGGTTTAAACAAATTTTCAATTAAAGTTAAAAATTGATACATTACGATATATGGCATTATGGATATTTCTGAGATAAAGATTTTTTTGAGCCTTTATTATTTTGAAACCTGTTCGCAAAATGTTAAAAATTTGAATTGTATTTAACAATTGAGAACACTACAAATTATGAAAGTTTGTAAAAATACATTTTTATAAAATAAATAACTGCACTGGTGGATTACAAAGAAATATAGATTAAAATATAGATTAGAGTAAGAAATATAGATTAAAATAAATCAATGGGAATTGATTTTTGAGACGATAAAACTTTAACAAATTCATAAAAGTTGTAGTTAAACTTTTTGTAGCCTATTAATAGGGTAATAACCTATCGAACGCTAGTTCACTGGTTAACGTCGAAGGGTTTTATTACCCTTTGCTGGAAAATCTCATTTAATTAAATTATATAATAGAGCTAGCACAGTTTATTTGCTAGTACGCTGTTTAATTTCTCTAATGCATATGTGAGGTTAGTGTACAACTTCTTGTCGCAGCCGTGCTCCTCGATCGTGCTGAAGCGGAATGTACGGAAATTTTTCTCCATGTCAATGTAAGTCACAGCTTGCATCAGTGGGCACAGGATTATTTTTGTATGATCTTGGAAGTTTATCTATCAAAACACAAAATATTAGGTCAATATTTAAACATTTTTTGGTAATTACCTAATTAACCGTAAAAGCTACTAATTCAATATGAGTTGCTAGTTTTTAACACAGCCCTGTGTTTACTGAGATAAAAAGTAGACTATATATCTATCACATAATAGTAGGAATATACCAAACTTCATAGCGATATCTATTTTTCTATAAGATTTTTTCGAAAGGATGTTTTCTAATAACAAATACCATACAGCACTTTTTAAATTAAAAATAGCGTGTGCTATAAGTGTAGATAAGTGATAAATATATTTTTCCGGATTACAGAACTTTCTTTACTCTTATCTACTCTATCTACACCCCCGTATATATCTTTTCTTGCCGCGCGAATGCCACGTGCTTTAAATATTATATAATAAATAGTGTTGCAGCTAGGTTTGTAGACATACCTGTAACGTCCCATTTGTTAAGTACATAATGACGGCCAGGGTGGTTCTGAACCATTGGTGTAGATGTGGTAACCGTGACAGGCCATCACTCTCTCTCACTGGCACCGATGCCCCTGGTACATACATAATAAAAAGTTGATAACATTTTTATTGATTTTCGAATAGATAATTTAAAGCAAAAATAAAAATTAGGTCAACACAATTCAACAGCTAAAATATGGTTTATGGGGTTCTATATCTAGGGATTGTAAGGAAACCATACCAGCTTTCATGAGGTGTTCAGTCATGTATCTTCTGAAGTATGTGAGCAGTTTCATCTTTTTGTCAAGTTCCTGTGGGTACTCGCGCATCGTCATGTATTGTTCTTGGCCCTGTCGATTAATGTAGTGCACGTTTCTAGAAAGAAAGAACAGTGTTATACACAAACAATTTTATTCATATTTATGATTCAAGTAGGTTTATACATCTTTATAAAAAAATATAAAGGAGCTTTCTTTTATATATTTTTTATTACGTTTCTGTAGTAGATTCTGAAGATTGTTATGTGTCTAGAAGAGATTTGACAACAATTTTTTTATGAAATAGACGTCTCGAATATCTCTGAAACTAGTACTGCCTAAGAATTACATAATGACTACATAGCTTAATTCAGTCTTATATTAAATTTACTATTACCATAAAACAGAACTTACAGTCCATTAGCTAGCATGATAAGCTTGGTGGTATCGTTGAACATGACACCGACGCTCTCGTCGCACAGCTGGTAGCCGAAGCCGTATTTGTCGCTGTAGTCGACCCACTTGCCAACCCACACTAGTGGTTGAGCGGCCGGGTCGCTCAATTCGTCGGTCAGGCATTCTGGACGGCATTTTAGCTGGGCGAATATCATAAATAATTAATACTTACTCAGTAACGAAAACTACATTCTACATTGGCTGTAATTTGTAGCATTGCCTGCATAGATTTAGGATAAGACTATATATCAGAGTTAATATATGTACAAACTTTTACTTTTATAATATTAGTAAGTGATCCATGTATTGACTGATTATAATCACATATTGTGATAGACGAGATAAACAAAATACAACATATTAGTACTAAACTTGACACCAAAGAGTAATAGATTAGTAGAAGAAATATGAGAGCAAGAAACTGCATATACTTTTAGTAATAAAATCTTACGACATCATGACATACCTTGCTAACAAGCAGAGCAGCAAGCTGGTCGCGGAGTGCAATGAGGTTCTGCCTGTGTGAGCTCGGTTCCACGGCCCGTGGCTCCACATTCAACAAGTCGCGTTTCACTGGCGAGTCCACGCCCATTGCTGTTTGCTCTAAGGTCATATAGAAAAAGGTAACAATTATAGCAAGTGTCTTTTAAGTTGTTGCTAAAGGACCAGTTCATGATCACCTGCTCTAGTCACTATGACTGATTTATTTGTTATTTTAATTTTATGATAAAGATTTTATGCCATTTGGTAGGTTATATTCAATTTATAAAATGCTTCTATAGGGTTTTCTTTATTTTTTAACAACAATATTGATAGAGCTAAATGTAATTGCTTACAATGGACCCGATCTGGGATGTTTATACAGGCTGATTAAATAAAATAAAAAATTTTGGAGGCTTAAATTTTTTGTCATTTTTCTGTTTCGTTAGTTCAGTTTCAAAGAGAGAATGCTCTCTTAATGCTATAGATTTCGATAACGCCCTGTATGATAAATATAATAAACATTATCACTTACCATTAGAATGAACCTCATTAAGAGGTCGGCGGTTCAGCGACATGCTCTCTAGCTGATCTGTACGCGGAGCGGTGGTGAGGCAGGAGAGAGGTAGCGCTGCTGGCAGGATTCCGGACGAGAAGAACTCGTGCTGCAGTAATTTGTCGACGGACGGCCGCCGCGCCGGGTTCGACTGGAGTTGCAGTACTATCATTGACGCGGCGGGCTTTCGGAGCGATGATGGGATCCTTACAAACATTTATTTTAATTACAGCTTACAGCGGCACGACTTAAGATTGCATATTGACTAATATATTTAGCACATTCTTACATTATGATACTTAAGATGACTAGTATAGAATACTAGTCATTTAGAGATGGGGTAAGAATCTGTTTTAAGGTTGAGTCGCTGCAGAATATTTTGAAAATTTTAATAATAATTTAATGTATTACATCACTTTGTTACAGATATCCTATGTATGTTGTTGGGGGAGGCGTTGTAATTAAGCATTGGGCTTTTTTAATGGATGAAAAATGATGACCCCGTTTACGCTATCAGTATATACTGGCGGGGCATCAGTGAGTGACGACAGGTGAGGAAGAAGCAAGTCAGTTGGTCGATAGTGACGAAGAGGGAACCGTGTGGAGATTTCTATTGCTAGCAATATAACTTATGTGCTAGAAATAGGACAGGTAGACTTTATTACTAAAAAATCTCTATCCCTTCAACCATCAAGGTTGTTGAAATAGGATGACTCAACCTGCTTTCATCCTAATGCCAACGTCGTATGATCCCGGCATAAAATGGGCCACCTTCCTGTAGGTTCCTTTCATGTAGGTGTCGTAGGAGGCGACTAAGAGATCTTAATGGTAGTGAGACATTGACGAACGATGGTGAGTGAGTAATAGACGAAGAATATGTAAAGATGTAGTAGTGTTCATTGGTATTTGGAGTGAACTATCGTATCGTAATATAAGAAGGTACTTAGAACAGAAACCGTAGTATGTTTCTATACTACTCGTAGTGCAAGATATAGCACACCATGCACAGATATTTAGTATAAGTCATACAACAATATCATAAAGCAATTTATATCTTAGGAATCATTCCATAAAATAATATTGTTATTATTCACAAAATTTGCTGTTGCTTTTCTATATTTGGAGTTCATTTATACAAAAGCAAATGTTATATAATATTTGTTTTTGTAATTGTTTACAGAATAAACAAGACTCTCGAGAGTTTCGAGACATGAGGTATTTACTAAATATTATGTATCAACAAATGATACTGCGATATATATATGTATCAAAATGGAAGATTTTTATTTGCTATATTCAATAAAGTTACTATTTTAGATAAATTTTGTAAAATTATGAAACTCCATTTAAATTTCATTTTTAACGACAATTATAGATATTTATCAGTAATAAGTACAGTTTTCGCGTATTTGAGTAATTTTAAGGTTTTAAATTTTTAGTAGATATTTATATAATTTGAATAGTGTGGTTAATTACATTTACATAATATTGTGCCACATAAAGCGTAATGTTTTAGTTTATTGTATCCAATTGTTAAGTCACTAATGGTATTGACAATCCCATGTAGTTACACAAGCAACAATCAATACCTTACACATTCGACACTCGTCTGTTAAGAGCGCTTATACACAAAATGATGCACGTAGACAGATGCACATAAGCTCTGTACTAAATCCCGCCATCACCTTAATATTCAATGTATAATTCGTAACAACCTGTAGTGGTGTTTGATTGTATTATAGTTGACTACCGCCCGAGCGTAACGGCTACCCATTGATTTCCATGAGCCCGCGCAAAGTAACAGCATCGCTAGGTATACGCCCTCGCTATTTATAAACAATATAAGCGAGATCTGAATATTATAATTATATATAATTGTTGAGTATTAAATTCTGAAATATGGTATACAATTTTGTTATAGAAATGTTTCTTGTAAGAAAACTTTATGCAACTTACATTAAGGGTGAGGTAATAAACGTTACACTGTATTCCGAGCACGTCGACGAAATTTTGTCGACGTTTAAAATTGAAACTTAATTTCAATGCCATTAAATGAATTATGTTATATTTAATTTGGAATATAGTGTAAGTTATAGTTGATTCGTAAGTAGTTAGTCTCTTAATTATGTTAGTATAACTTTTATACTTGACAATATTTAGAAATCGCGCATATCATGTTGCATTGTATTTATAAACGTATAGGTATATATCAGTATTTTGTTATTTGTTGACTTAAATAAAGACTGTTTTCAGATAGTCCATGTATCCTTCAGTGGTGGCATGAAGGCATGTGTAATGTATGCCACACAAGGCTGTTCATACACGCACGTAGTCAAGACACAAGGACAAATATTTAAATGGGATATTTAACGAATTTTCGTGCTATAACAAAAAGAATTTCATTTATTTATAAATTGTGTTTTATATAGTATTTGTTAACAATTAATACAAAAAGTGTTATAAGTACGTCCAGCTGTTGCCACCAACTTTGTACACATGAATTTTAAAAGTTGATAAATCATATGTACACTTGAGACTATTTAAACTTTCACCAACAAATCTCGGAAAAAGCATATAAAATAATATTGTTTCTGTTTCTATTGTTTTTGCCCTATCTATAATTTTTTCCTTTTTACTTTCTATGCACAGACAGGATCAGACAATATCTGTGATATTAGTAAAATGTATGTATTCATACTAATTTGTACTGTACTGCTAGTTTACTTGTAGTTGTATTTTTTTGTGTACTGAAGAAGCAAATAAAAATTATCTAAATTATCAAAAAATACATTTGATACCTGTATTCACACTGTTTGATGCGTTTGTATGTGTCTTTCAGTGTAGACGTTTCAAATGGCGGTTTTCCGACCAATAAAGTGTACATGATGCAGCCAAGACTCCAGATGTCCACTTCGAAGGAATGCCCCTTCTTCGTCAATATCTCGGGCGCAATATAGTTAGGTGTCCCACATAGAGTCTGTTTTCTTTCTCCTGAAAACATTTATTTGTATAGAAAAGTATTTCTGTTATTATACTCGAAAGCGTTGAAACCTGTGACCTAGTGGCAAGAGACTTCAATTTGTTGAATAAAGTGGACATTTAAAAATGACATCAAAAATTTTACAATGTATTAATTTAAAATTACTAATGACTTTTAGTCTAGTATAGTTATATATATATATATATATATATATATATATATATATATATATATATATATATATATATATATATATATATATATATATAATATATATATATACAAAAAATATTGAAGTTTCTTATTTTGTTACTCACTAAAAATAAAAAAATAAAATACATATAGTTGATGGATGAAATAGATACATTACCTTCATATTCAATTCTAGCTGCAAGGCCAAAGTCTCCAATCTTAACATGTAGATCATCATCAAGAAACAAGTTGCCGAGCTTTAGGTCCCTATGGATGATCCTTTTGCTGTGCAAGTATTGGACACCAAGCAGAATTTGGTGCATGTAGAACCGTGTTTCTGGTTCAGTTATAGCTTTCCGACGCTTGTGAAGCTCCATCATTGACTATAGGAGAAAAAAACAGTAACTACAATCCAAAACATTTTTTTTATTGTTACTGGTGAACAAACTTGATTTCATCATTATGAATATTAGTAAAAGTGGTATAAAAATTGCTAAGCATTACTAAAATATATTTCATCTTCTAATATATTGTCATAATTGGCCAGATATGATGCATTCTATTGGTAAATTTTAGGGAATATGACATCACCATAATAATATGTTCCAGACTAAAATAATGTAAGGATGGTTAAATGGTTAATTGATTAAAGATGTGTTCCATATATTACATTTTTTTTATTCAAATTTTTGTTGTGGCTTTAGTACACCTGAGTGACTATGCCATATTATAATAATGTTATAATTTTAATGTTGTTAAAAATATACTGATACAGTTAAAAACACTGTTTCCTTATTTATTCCTAAAGACAAACAAAGAACAGCTCAAAAGTTACAGTTGATTAATTTGGCCTTTTATTAAAGAATTTTTTTTCTAGTTATAATATTGTCTTTAGATTTAAAAATTCATTTTTTTTTATTTTGTTTTTAATTTTCTTATGTTTAAATTAACGTGACTTGATAATCAACAATTATTCTGCATATGTACTCTGTTCGCATAAAACAATAGTGCAGGCAAAGTAAATATTCCATTTTTAATTATTACAAAAATACTTACTCTCCTTTTGCACAGCTCAAGTATGATGTAAATATTGAGGGAGTCTTCGAAGAAACTGTGGAAGCCAACTACATGTTTGTGTTGTAGTGAGCGATGAATAGAGATCTCCTGAGCCATCTTTTCCTTTTGACTGGATTTCACCATAAGTTTTTTGGATACAATTTTGCCAGCATATATCTGGTTGGTAGCTATGTCTTGTATTTCGTAGCATTTTGCAAAGCCACCCTAGAAATTGGTTATTGTAACTTATTAAGGGATATACTTTGAAATAATTTTAATACATGATAAAAGGTTTAATTACTTTTATAAAACTAGTTTCAAGAGATTAGAATAGTGTTACTATGGTAATCTGTAGTATTTTTGAGATCACACTTTCATGAGTTTCAAGTTTTAATTTCATGATACACTTCTACAACATAATTAGTAAAAAATAATTAAATCAATGGTAAGTATGTATGAATTTTTTATGCAATTTAGAATGGCAATCAAGCTTGTAGTTTAAAAGACTAGAATCTGTTAATGAAGTTAATGTATCACTACATTATATTATGAAATTGATTTGGCAATAAATTTTTAGTAGGAATTTTAATTAGCAATATCATTATCAATTACCAATAATTTAATTCATAGTAATATTATAGTCTAAAAATAATGTTCCAAACATTAAAAGGTAACAAATACTAATATATTTCAATAGTAATCATAAATAAGGAATATAGTATGTTTTCCCTAAAGACTACAGTAAAGGTTTCTTCAAAAATGGTTTATGAAGGTTTCTTCAATACACATGTGACATGGCTGGTGTTGCAGGCGTTCATAGGCTACAGTGATTATTTACCATCAGACGGGCTGTATGTTTGTTTGCCACCTTTGTAGTATAAAGTGATATAAACCAAAGAGAGACTTTGTACAAAAGTCGATTGCTTGGGTACCTCTGTCCCATTCGTGTTTTAATCGTGAAGCAGTTGTGTTTGTATGACTGTGTTTTGGTTTGAAGGGTGGGATATGGTGTGAATTTACTGGGTACAGAGGAATAACATGTGTGAAACAGTATACTCTGTTATGTTCATGGTATGGCTCATGTCTATAAGCGATGGTTACCACTTTCCATCAGGTGGGCCGACAGCTTGTTTGCCATTCTACGTTGTATAAAAAAAAATGGTAAGTAGGAGAGCATCCATATGAGCATTTGAGTGCTGTTTTAGTAGTAAAGGTATTTTTTTTACCTTTATGAATATTTTACATTACTGATTAAAGAATAACATATATAACTAAAGAGTTAACTACATTTTTATTGTATGAATAGATAAATAATAGATAAATATTCATATACTTAAGTTATAATTAAAATTGATATTATGTAGTAAAAGTCTAAATACTGTAATGATAATATGTGATTATTAATTTGTTACCAGTATCATTGTCATTATGATAATAGAAACATTAACCAATAATTGTAAATATAGTAATTAAGATATTAAATAACAATATTGAGTTTAGAGGATATAATTTAGATTCTTGTTATAATATTCATATTTTCTAATAGTACCTCTGTTAAGAAATATGAATATTTAAAATACAACTGTCGACATATTATAAATATATAACTTTTTCTTTATTACAGTTCGTAAATCGTTTATTAATCCAGTTATTAAAAAAAAATAGAGTTACTTTCAATATTACCTTCTATTAATAAGGCCTGCATTTTTTATTGACACATGCTAAATACGTTACAAGTTTACCAACAAGTTAGAACTATTATAAATTTTAAACATTGAAAGATTTTCCTTTTATTGTGTAGTGTACAAGAAAATAAAAGAAAAAGCAGTAATTAAAAAGATAAACAGACTTTTACTCACCTTACCAAAAAATCTTAACCTTTGATATGTGCAGCTGGTTTGTGGATCGTGTATAATTTCAGGGATTTCTTTCTTTTCGTCTTCTTTGATCGACGTCATTTTACACTAGCTTTAAATATAAACTAAGTCAAATAAAATGTTAATAATTAACAAAAACAGCTTTGATGATTGTTGACAATTTCACAAAAGAGATTTCAAACGGCTTTACGTTTGAAGATTTGAACTTTTGATGTTTGATGACCATTGATTCCTGCTGTTGGTTGCATTCAATTTAAACGGTTGTAAATTTCAGCCAATCATCGACGGAAATTTTTATTATGGGTTGCAAACAGAAATAAATGATTTTGTGATTGTCAACTTTTATATAAAGACAGTAATTTATATAAGAACCGGTTATTATCATAATTAAAATATTTAAACTATTTTTTTAAGTTATTTATTTCGTATTTTACGACATATGTGTATTATATTAGATATGAATTCAAACTCGAATTAATATATTTAGAAGTAACAGTCAATAATTTTTGTATATGGCAAGTTATTGGAGAAATGAAATGAAGATTCCAGTATTGTAAGATACAAAAAGAGATAGGTAATAAATAATTTAGATTTACATTGATTCGCAGTACCATCTTTATCTATGTGATTTATATATTTATAAAGAGTAAATAAATAAACATTTCTCATAATTCCTTCATTAAGTGATAGACTGATATTTTGTAGGACTGCAAAGAATCGATGGTAGTATCCTTAATTCTTATTCTGTTCTGTTATGAATATTATAGATGTAGTATAACGTACGTTTATAATCTAAGGATTGCAACTGGACACTTAATTAGAGAATTTATTAATTTATTATATTGTAATTTAGATTGTAAAATATTATGCATGTTAGAGAGAGATAGACAGAAAATTTTCATACTCACTAGAGGCTGTGTTATTATATGGGACTACTCTAGGTACTGACGTATTTATCTAAATACTAGCTGTTGCCCGCGACTTCGTCCGCGTTTCGGTCGTTTTTCGTAAAATAAGTAGCCTATGTCCTTCCTCACGGTTCAATGGTTTTGATGTAACAGACACATTTCCTTTTACTGCTCTGCTCTTATTAATCGTAGCGTGATGAAAAGTATACTATAACCTGCCCAGGAGTATGAAGAATAATTGTACCAAGTTTCGTTAAAATCCGTCGAGTAGTTTTTGTTTCTATAACGAACATACAGACAGACAGACAAAAATTTTACTGATTGCGTTTTTGGCATCAGTATCGATCACTAATCACCCCCTGTTAGGTATTTTGAAAATATATTTCATGTACAGAATTGACCTCTCTACGGATTTACTATAAGTATAGAAGATGTAGGTAGTATGATTAAGAATAAATAATAAAAGTAATAATTAGTAGAATAATTAGGTAACTAGATTCTTCGTTTGTATCTTATATGATATAATATAGAATATAATAATTTAACTTGGTATTTTCCTCTAAAACGCAACCTATTTGACAGCTTTGGCTGTCATTATCTAGATAGGTCAATAATGACTTACATAATTATAGTCGTAGAAAGAGAACTGATACTGCCTAAATCCTAGATTATAGTAATGTGTCTATGGGAAGCATTTAGACTTGCGCGGTAAAATACATCAAATTTAAATTTAACGTAATAACGCATATACTTAGATTACACAAAAGTCGTAAGTTTTTTTTAAATAGATGATAATGGAATGGTAACCCCACCCGCGCTATCGGTATACACCGGCGGGGCACCAGTGAAGAATGATAGGTGAGGATGAAGTAGGTCAGTTAGCCCATCGTGACGAATTCAACAAGAATTGTTCCTTTTCCCCCTAAACGAGTTGTAAGAGTTATAAAACTTAAAAAATAAATACATCTTAGAAAAAAAAAATAGGTACTGAAGGTTATAAGGTAGCAACTATTTGCTCTTGTCCTAAGGTAGAGTGCGATGCGAGATGTGGACTTGAATGCTAGTTTGTGATTAATTATATAGTTCGTAGATAAGTTAATTTTGTTGAGTATTCAAATTGTATTTATATATAAGCACTTATTTAAAATGTCGATAAATGCTTACTGCAAATTCTTCTCTTCGCTTCCTTATTGATTAATGAATTTAAAGGAAATAAAAAAAATGAAATTATCAAGAAAACTAGCTTTTATCTGTAACTTCGTTTGCATGATCATATCTTTACTGACCTAGATAAAAAGGAACCTATATCCTTCTCCATACCATATAGTACGTGTATATAAAATTTTATAGCGATTGATTAAGTCATTAGGGCGTTATAAAATAACAAACAAACTCACTTTTTTATGTATTTATAATATTATACGTAGTAGGGATAAAATGCTGTATATAGACGTTTATATAAGTACATTAGAGCAATAGTTATCTGCTACGAAATATTACTTGGTTTCAACAGTCATTGCAATCAATCTAAACATAAACTTCAATCTAATGAAGTTGGTATTGATATAGGCCGTAGATTTTATAATATGTATGTATTATATTATAAGCCCCTTACATATATGTTTAATATACCTTATATATGAATGTAAAGTGTTTATTTATAAAAAAAATGTATTTTTATATATGTCGATTAGTTGTTAGGGAAATTAGGTACATAACTAATGACCGAAACTCAATCTATAAAAAATGTTATAGCACTAGTCAGAATAAGTAAACGAATTTGTCAACTCGGAACATCTCGTTAGCTAATGTTATAAAAACATCATTGACATTTTATTAATATCTCGTAATGTCAATAACATAATCAAGGCGCGATAGGAGTTATCTCATGTGTGTTCGAGGAGTGCTTCCTGTGATGTCGTTGCTGTGATGGACAGGGCTTCATAACAATCGCTTTCAGGAATGATGACTCTGAGCAACCTACTGTCATGGTCGAACAAAATTAATTAGCTGCGAATATTGTTATAAGATTAAGCGTGTAGTAAGGCGGGTAAGATAGATAGATAGATGATTTATTTGCATTACTTACAGCACACAAACAACAACAGACATAAATGCACAGTGAAAAAAGATAAAAAAGATACATGTACAAAAAAAATAGGGTAGTAATTTTTTTTTTATTTCGCTTTAGTCAGAATTAATATAGAACTAATACGGAAATAAATCCTACCGTTTGTTAAAACAATTACTGGTTTACAATTGGTGAAGATATTGCATAACATATAAACATAAAAACACAGGCAAATTGAATATCTCTTTCAAACCGACTCCAAAAAGAAGGTGCTGGATTTGGTTATTTTTTTATGTTTATTATCTCATAACTCCGTTAGACCTAACATCAATTTGAAAAATACTTTTTTTATCTGAAAGGATATACGAGTACCTACTTACAAATTGGTTCCGTAGAAATTTTATCAAAATCGGTTCGGTGGTTTAATTTTTAGACCAAAATTACTGGTTTTGTCACAATTAAATTTTTTTTTTTCTGGGATATTAAATATTTGAGATACTACTCATGTGGTTATATATACATACTACTAATCATGTGGTTGCAGCTCGCAACATTGGCATTAGCGGATTTAAACACGCCTCCTAAATACGCTTATAAACATTGATGCGCTCAATTCCACTCCGCTATACGCTAATCACCCGCGTGCAGCTTAATTAATAAAAAAATCGGTCAAGTGCGAGCGGGATTCGCAGGCCGTAACCGCAATACATAGATTTAATGCGAATTATTTATTCCACAAATCAATCAGTATAAACGTGTTCTTTAGTAAGCACGCTATTATTTTGAATAGTGTTCATTAATTAATCGACTAATTTAATTATTAAATGTAATTTCTACTAAGTACCTAATAGTTCAAGATGGGAATGAATTTTATTTATGTGATATTAATTGTGATTTATTTAATTTGTTGCGGAAGTGCCGAGCGATTATGGGTCACTGTCGACGAATGTAAGATTATTTATTGTTGCTACTGTAATTACATTTATTATATAATCAAATATTAATATAGGTAATTAAATAAATTAGTATACAATAATAAATATTTAATGTTTAAGTAGAATATATATCAAAATTTATAAATAATTCAACACCAGCATATTGTCCTAGGTATTGAGAATAACTAATTTCTCACATTCAAACAAATATTTCGTGTTTAGATATTACTATTAACTATTGTTATTTTTAATTAAACATATTTTACAAATATTAAATATACAATTACCATATTTTTATTTAGATTTGTAAATTTTTTATATGAATTACGTCAGTATATATAACAATGAATAATTTTCTTCAACGAAGACCGAATATAAAAGAAATTGAGTCTTAAAACAAACCGACCCGCGTTGATACTTTAGCATGAAAAGTTAGTAATTTATTAGATTTTGTTCTATAAGAAATTTAGTCATGAGAAAGTTATGTCAAGGATCAGGATTATTTGACATCGGTTTGGAATTGGTAAAGAATTTAACGTGTTCCAAATTTAAAATTGAATTGTACTTTTGCTTTTTAACGTCAGCCTCTGTATTGTTCTTGTAGAAAGTTGTTTGTCAATGGAGGTCGGGTTGTTTATTCGGGTATTTCACGTGTTTTTGTGCAAAAAAATGTGAAATTTTCAACAAAGTTCTTTAGACTGTTAATAAAACTTTTATATTCCTTATTAAATTAAATTTAAACTTAATATAAATCATATAAATGAATCTTTTATTATAAACGTTATACTTACATCTATATGTTTTGAAAAATTATTAAATGTGGCAGAAGTGGAGGACTTTAAATTGAATTCAATTATGAATGAGTTATAGATCAAGCATAATATCTGCGGTCCGGAATAAATTTATTAATATAAACCTACCTGCTCAGATATAGATGACTGTCTTCTCAGTTTTGCAATTTAAAACGGTCACGTCACGCGATCTTCAATGTGACATATTTTCTTTCATACTTAACTGATTTTTAATTTGCTTTTAATTAAATCTAACTAGATCAAGCATTTGGTAAGATCACCCCAAATTTGTAATTCATATATTGAACACATTTCGATTATTAAATAATGTGACGTCTTTTATAACAGGACATGCTAAAGGTACTTAAATATCATAATGGGGACAAGAGGTGGTAATTTAAACGCTAATTAGGTACAGAAACGACTTCATCACGACATTGTTTCGTTTTATTATCGCGAACTAAACGCGTGTCTAGCTGTAGCGTGAAGTAGCCGACCCACTCCGCGGCTGCCAGTTTATTGAATACGATAATCATTACTATTCCTCGCTTTGGTTAGGTCACGATCATATGGATATGAATAGGGTTGAACTCCTCAAAAATAAATAAATATAATGTATTTTTTTTTAAGAATAGATGAAATTAGGTTGAAATTAACACAATAGATTGAAAAAAAAATTAAAGTCAGGAGCAGTGATATCACGTAACATACAGTTTTTATATGACTTGGCTTGTCGGCACAAATTATGAACGTTGAAAGGTACCATGGACAACATAGAATAACGACCACAACAAATAAAACAGTAATTGCGTTGGACATGCTGCTATTTTTGTGAACTCTGAGAACTAAGATGTTATTCTTATACATCAAGCAATTTCATTAACTACAAAGTCTTTTATTAGTAAAGACAAAAAAGAAATAAACACATATATTTATTCTTTTTGAAGTAAAGCAAAAATATTTACACGTTGGTTTCAGAGTTGTTTAAAAATAATACGTTTATATTCTCTAACAATCAGTGTTGAAAAAAGCTCCCAATACAGAAATAAACTCATTGCTTTTATATGACATCTGGCCGTTTAATCGCACCCAGGAGATCATGTGAACTGATACTCAAATTACTGGACATTGCAGTGGGCATTTTATACATAATAGAGATTTTTTTTATAATAGTTTATTTATTTAGCTATTATAAAAAAATACTATATATATTCCAATAAATAAATAAATAAATAAATAAATAAATAAATAAATAAATAAATAAATAAATAAATAAATAAATAAATAAATAAATAAATAAATAAATAAATAAATAAATAAATAAATAAATAAATAAATAAATAAATAAATAAATAAATAAATAAATAAATAAATAAATAAATAAATAAATAAATAAATAAATAAATAAAATAAATAAATAAATAAATAAATAAATAAATAAATAAATAAATAAATAAATAAATAAATAAATAAATAAATAAATAAATAAATAAATAAATAAATAAATAAATAAAAATAAATAAATAAATAAATAAATAAATAAATAAATAAATAAATAAATAAATAAATAAATAAATAAATAAATAAATAAATAAATAAATAAATAAATAAATAAATAAATAAATAAATAAATAAATAAATAAATAAATAAATAAATAAATAAATAAATAAATAAATAAATAAATAAATAAATAAATAAATAAATAAATAAATAAATAAATAAATAAATAAATAAATAAATAAATAAATAAATAAATAAATAAATAAATAAATAAATAAATAAATAAATAAATAAATAAATAAATAAATAAATAAATAAATAAATAAATAAATAAATAAATAAATAAATAAATAAATAAATAAATAAATAAATAAATAAATAAACTATTATAAAAGACTAAAAACACATGTAGAATTATAGGTAATTAAAGGTATTGACAGAATAATAATAATAAATTCCCTTTATTATCATCTGCAAATATGTATATCTTAATGATATAGGATATTTGTATTTTTACATAAAAACCATTAAATGTCACAAAACATTTATTGTCTTTGTACACTTTTTTGTACAATCTGCTTTTTTTAACGGATGGTAATGGTATAGTAACCCCACCTGCGCTACCGGTATACACTGGAGGGGCACAAGTGAGGGATGATACGTTAAAATGAATTCAACATGATGGTTTCCAGAGGGGACCACGTGGAGGTCGATCTATTAGGGTATGTTGTTAGCAATGGGACTGGTAATCCGCATTACTAACAACCCTTTCCCCCTCTACATTTTGGTTCAACATGTAAAAATTAGAAAAATTAGGAATGCTCATTGCATGCACCATGTTTTTACGAAATTCATAACCCTAGTGACAATATTGACGAGGTCAGGAATTGTTGAATAGTTGCCATAGTAACTCTACCATTTTTACGAGGTATAAACCAATATTTATACAGAGAAATATAGTAGGTCAGATTTAAATAAGAAGGTATTGGGATCTACTCTGATATGCGGTATCTCTATGCTTGTATTTGTAATATTTTTGGTAGTAAATAAACTCAAAAATCCCTCAAACGATTTTAAAAATACTTTCATTTTAAGAAAGCTAGCTATATTATTAGCGAGTAACAAAGACTATATTTTATTTTTTTTCAAATTAACGAATTCTATAAATATACAAAAATGGAATCGAAAATATCAAAAAATGGCCTATTAAAGCTAATATGAAATACAAATTTATTTTTCTATCTATTTATCCAAGCAAATTCGTAGAGGAGCGCTAATTTAAAATGAAAAATTTCATCAAGCTCTAACTTTAAAATATATCTCTTAAACGTATTTCAAATGTTTAATGTAAACTATATTATGTTTATTTTTATGGAGTATCCAAAGGAAATAATTTATACATAATCAATTTCTTTTTCACACAGTGGAGAATCATATTCGTATCGAGGATTTACGCGAATTTCTGAATATGTACAATAAATCCGCTACCACCACCCCAAGAAGTGATGAAGATTATGCCGCAGTTGAGGTAAATAAACTTTTATATCTTACTATTTATTTTACTATAATACCATTAGATACTATAGGGGTTTGTTCCAAATATTTATATTAGCTCGATATGTGACGGTATATCAAATTCTAGCAAAAGCAAGAGTTGGTGTACATTCTTTAAATAAGATAAATCTATGGTATAGTTTAATATAATTCACGGTTGAGTCGGTTTGCTAGTTTCTTTTTCATAAATATGTTATAATATTGCTAGGGACAAGTGGAATTGGCCAAAGTAACAACATAAAAGACAAAAATGGTATAAGACCAATAAAGTAAATTAATCATGAAAATGAATCAGGAGTCATACTGATATAATAAAACGAAAGAATTTGTTTGTTTCTTTAAATACGCTAATCTTTGGAATTATGTACTAGCTCACTTCTTGTAGTAGATAATAAGGCTATTCAATATTACAATACGGCTTCAGGTGAAGTTTAAGAAGAAGAATAAATATATTTTTTATTCAGGTAAACTTAATTATAAGCTATTTCCATCGACTTCAAAAAGAGGAAGGTTCTCAGTTTGATAGCATATTTTTTATGTTTATTACTTCATAACTCTGTAAGTTGTAAGACCATTCGGAAAATATTTTTTTTATTTGAAAGACTATACTTACAGATTGGAAATTTTATCAAAATCAGTAATTTAGTTATTAAATTAAAATAACTAGTTTGGTTATAACTAAAGACGGTTTTTTTTAACACAATCTAAAATTTTTGAATAGTGTAATAAATTATTTTTAATTTGTTCTGTAGACATTAACTTATAACTACGCTGGCTAGAAAGCTTGTCATAGGTTTTTACTGCTCTTGCAGTGGCATTTTGCTTTATTCCCCTAATCGTTTCTTACGACATTTTGCGGAAGAAAAATTAATGACACATTGTAATATTCGAGAATTGTTAGTCACATATTCAGGTTTATAATATTTCAGTATAAATTAAAATAAATGTAAATTTTCCATAAATGCAGTTGTAAGAATTATAAGAAAAATGTTATGTACTTTCAGGCAAATTGTTTTTATTTAATAGCCTTTATAAATACTAAATAAAATTGAAACTAAAGGAAGTATTTTAGTATTGCAACTGAGCACTTTACCGAAAGAAACAAGAGTTGCGAAGTAACAAGAAACTTGAGTCTCTCATGATAAATGGATAGTTGGACATGCCGAGTTATTATGGGATAGTTCATAACTTATTGTCGTTTTCGATCCTTGTTCCTTTAGGACATACTGTTAGAAATAGGTTTATTTTCATACAGCTATAAACTACTGGCCGGTTGTAATTTAAAAAGATATGTTTTTAAATTTAGTTGACACACTGTTAGAAACAATCGTTGCATTTCTGTATTTGCTCTTCTATTAAATTTTATCGTACTTTTATATTGTGTTTATCCTATTCCCTTCGACTACGGAAATATAAGCTGATATCTCAAGCTAAATACTAACACATACTCTATATTCTGTTTCACTAATAGAACACTCACTTAAATTTTGAATCTAATTAAATAACCTCAGCATAAGAAAATTTGCTGATTTCAATAGTAATGAATTGAATGTTTCGAATTGTTACTAATTTTATTTAGAGAGTGTTTCTGTGACAAGTTAAAAGAGAAAATCTAAACTGACTATAATTGTTTTGATTTCACCTTTGTACTAACTTTAAAATGGTATTTAACAGGAAACTACAACAGCTCTACCTGTCCCCAATAATGTGGACTGTTTCGGTCTGGGATCCATAAGTCGACAGGTGCAAGCAATCTTCAATATGAAGCCTGATACATCGGACATAGTCAATACTCATTTCTATTTTTCTTCCCGAAATACACCGTTTAGGGTACAGGTAAGGAAAGGCAATAAATATTATCAGCGTTATTACTTCAGGTTTTATTAAAAATTTATTTCAATGATAAAATTCTCCAGGAAACCATATATTAATTATAAATTATCAACACTTTATTATAATAAAGTTGTAACTAGTCGATGTCTGTACATAAAAGATATTTAAGAAACATTTAAAAAGGGGTCTTAGGGTGAGTCGCAAAAGTTTGTTTCGACATCGCACAAAAATTACTGTAACAAAATGAACGTGGTTTTTACAGTTATCTTTCTGGTTTTATTTAAAATGTGGTGTAAGTTTTATTTTATCGACCTTTTTACACACAGAAACATATTTTTTTTCTATTATTACAGGTATATCCTGGTGAGCAATTTGGATTAGAATGGGTGGATTTCAGACCAAGTAGGCGAACTGTGATGATCTATCATGGATTCATGAGTCACAGCAATGCATCTTGGGTTTTGGATATGACTAGTGCTTTTCTAAAAAGGGTATAAAAGTCTTAAATTATTAACCACTTTGTCCTTTCAATTTTGTTAGCTATACTTTATATTAAAACTGTAAAGGCTGTAAGTTGACTAAGTTTATAATTAGTATATTTTTATAGGCTGTTATGTAAATGTTATAGGTCAATCTGTCACATGTCTGAGGTTGGTTAACATTTTTTTATGTAACTTAGAATGGCAAACAAGCTGACGGCCTAGTTGATTAAAAGTGGTAACTGTCGCCTATAGACATGACATTAGCATAACATTGGCAGTACCATGGATATTACAGAGTATACTGTTTTGTCCATGCGTTGCTATTCCTGAGGACTCGGATGTTATTCCTCTATATCCTGTAAATTCACTGCCATATCCCATCCTTCATACTGACACACAGCCACGCAAACAAAACTGCTTCACGGTAGAAACACGAATGGGACAGAGGTGTACAAGCTTTGTTGATTAATTATTGATTAATATTAATTTTGAGGTCTATTCTGAAGCATAATTCTGTATCTCTATCTCTGAAATTAAATTTCGATTGATATTAAGTCGAAATAACTATTTCGAGGGCTAATATAAACTGCATTTTTAGTAAAATTGCATTAGAGATGTATAACATTTAATTTTCAATATAGCAGTCATGGTAAATAATAATAACAAAAATTTTAGAAATTAGGGATTGAAACCACATAATCGATCCCACTAAGTCACGTATAACCAGTAATATGAGTAGGTATAATATAATTTAATAATATGAATTGTATTGTTTTGTATCAGCTGTTAATTGTCCACTGCTGAACATAGCCTCTCCCATTAGAGGGGTTTTGCCAGTAGTTGCCACTCTTGGCAGGCGGGTTGGTAACCTTAATTAGGTTTTAGTGATGTCTTAAAAGGCACGCTGCTGTCCATCCCTCCACCATAAGCTCCCTTAGTCGCCTCTTATGACACGCACGGGAAAGGAAGGGGTGACCTGTTCTATGCTGGGACTTAAACGGTTAATAATGTTATAATTTTGTTATGGTTTTACGATAATTTTTTCAATATGAACAAACAGTAATAATACCTATATAAAACAATTTCCAGGAGGACGTCAATGTAATTGCCGTGGATTGGAGTAAGGGAGGCGATACGTGGAAATATTGGAGAGCTGTGGCAAACACGAGGCGCGTCGGATCTGACGTCACTAGGTAGATACTGTTTTGTATTCTTTTTAAATTGAAATCTTTATTATTCTTTTAAGTTTATCTTAGTAAAGTTAAACATTTTTCTCGAAAAAGCTAAGCTTGAAAATGATAATAAATTTCGAACCCTTCATACTATTACAGCGCGTTCGTCTTCAAAGTTGGTATGGGTGGATTAAAATTTATTGTCATTTTTCGAACAATTTTTCTTTGGTATAAATAATGGGTTACTTTAGTATAATATTATACTTGATGTAGGCGTAATTTATGATAATAATCGGTATACGCTGGCGGGTATCAGTGAGAGATGATAGGTGAGGTTGAAGTCAGTTTAGTCGACTCATCGTAACGTATTCATCAAGAATTAACCATGATGGTTTCCAGGGGATACCGCGTGGAGTTCGATCTGTTAGATTAAATTATTAAAAGTCCCTTCCACCCATATGCAGGGATATAAACAGTTTATTTTGTTATCAATAGGTTTATGCGTCAGCTGATAGGTGCGACAGGAGCTAGGATAAAAGACTTCCATTTTGTTGGGCATAGTTTGGGTGCTCATATCGCGTCTTATGTTTCGTATCACATAGGCGGTGTTTATAGAATCACGGGTAAGTTTAACTAAGCAGTTTAATTCAATATAAAGATAGCAAATATTCATAATATATAGTGCATGGTGATCTTGAAGGTTGGGATATAGAGGTGGAATTACAAAGTATGAATATATGGCATAACACCATAGTCTTTAGGAATGGTAATGTATGAAGGGGTGCCCTTCATGGGCATTACTGTGATGTCTATAGTACTACTCATGTGTATAGACACTTACAATCAGTTGGGTCATCAGCTTGTTTGCTATTCTAAGTAAAAATCATAAAAAATTTCTGAAAGAAATATTAAAATACTTTTCTTTTGTTTGCAAACTGTTATAAGTATTTGACATTTTTTTCATGCGAATGTTATAGTATATTTATCATTCGTTTACTTAATACAAACCTCACTAAATAAGGTACAAACGAATCTATCTACAGTATCGTTTCGGCCAGTGTTCGCAGGAGAAAGAATAAGACAGTGCACGTCGCCATCTCGTTCTATTCTTAGGACTCGCGATAACGATTCTATCAATAGAGTCGTTTGTACTTTGTCTATCGGAGGTCTGCCAAATTTAGAACTGGACAGTACTATGTGATATGTCAAGAGCTATTATTTGTGTATTTTTTTTCAAATTCCGTAAATTTAATGATTAAAAGATGAATGCTATGATATGATGTATATTTTAAAAGTATTTTTTTTTATGTTCTGAAGGTTTAGACCCGGCTCAACCTTGTTTCCTCACGAATGATCACACAGAACGATTAGACAGTACTGATGCAGATTTTGTGGATGTTATCCACACTAATGGCAGATTACTAAAGAAGATTGGATTTGGGCTGCCAGATCCTACAGGTTAATGCTAAGCATTTTATAATCTCCTAGACGTTTGGAGTGCCTCTGGAGTGGGCACATGTGATGTTTATGTTAACATTATTTTGTATAACCCTTAAATTATATAGATAATGTCTCCATTCAAATGCAAGAAAAGCAGGTAAACTTTTTCATACAATTTTGCGTGATAAATAGTAAAGCATTTTATAATCTACTAGACGTTTGGAGTGCCTCTGGAGTAAGCACATGTGATGTTTATGTTAACATTATTTTGTATAACCCTTTGATTATATAGATTCAAATGCAAGAAAAGCAGGTAAACTTTTTCATACAATTTTGTGTGATAAATAGTTATCTAGTTATGATATAGTTATATAGTTATGATTGATTCCTATATAACCTCTATATTTATTTTGTTTTATAATTTTTGCATCTTTTTAATGCGTAAAAACTCATTTTAAATTACATTATGTGTGTAAGAGTTAGCGAATTTGATAATTAGCTGACAAAAAGTTGACCCGTTTTTGAGGCTCGATGTTCTGTCTATATAATCTAAGGTATAACCATACTATTCATAGCCTTTAAAATAATGTTACTATTTCAAAGGCCATTAGTAAAACTTCTATCAAATTCAGTAGCTTGCCTACCTAATATCCGGGATCTATTAAACTTAGCAACCTCCCTACCTAATATCCGGGTAGTTTGTTACTTAGACAATATAAATTTCATTTATAGAATGTAAAATTAATATTATATTGGTGAAACTTAAACATTCAATTCGAGCTTTCCTTATTAACATGGCCAGTCCGGCTTCACAGCTGTTAGTATGGGAGTTAATTTTGTTTTTAATTGCTTAATTTTTTTTTTTAATTCATAATAATGTAATGGTAACCCACCCTGCGCTAATGGTATACACTGGCGGGAATATTGTACCAGTGAGGGATGATAGGAGAGAATGAAAAGGTAGGCCAGTTAGCCCATCGTGATGAATAAACCTACAATTCATCATGATGGTTTTTATCAGAGGGAACCACGTGGAGGTGGACCTGAAAGGGTATATTGCTAGCAATGCGATTAGTAGTCCGTATTCCTTCTCCCCGATCAAAAAAAATTGTATATTGTTATTATGTGGATGCAAATGTTGTGCGTAAAGAGGTGATCTCTCATATTCAGGTGGTATTTGGGGTACCAAAAATGATCCTAATACATATCACCTTCTTGCTGCTGTGAAACATAAGCACCCGAAGCACTATTAAAATAAACTACGCGTGCAAGACTTAAATAGCTACTAGAGATCTATGATGTATCGAATCGCAGCTTATGTCATCTAAGACGCTTAAGCTTAATACTCATTACTCAATCGCGAACCAAATAATATTGGAAAAAATGGCGTAGTAAAGTATGTAAGTCAGGTATCTCAGTATAAGATTTTATTTCGAATTTTTCCTTTCTTGTGCTTGTGCGTTGTGCTTTGTTACCTTAGTTGCCTTTTATGACGTAGTTAGGAGGAAAAGAAGTTGTACGACGTTTATTATTCTATCACCACAAGGAAAATATCTACGATAAGGAGGTGTCAGTGCTGCCTTATTATTAGTCATATGTAATCGTGATTTATATGATTTATGTTAATCTAGCAATCGTCGAGATGATATACCTAAGTTTTTTTTTAATAGTTTCATCTATATAGGTCATGCTGACTTTTACCCTAACGGCGGCATGAAACAGCCAGGATGTTCCAATGAAACCAATTCATTGTGGTCTCGCCTTACGCCTTCATTCTTTTCAAGTAAGTTTCTATTGGTTATACCCACTTTGTAGAGAAATAATTCAAAATTGTTTTCGAATGATTACTTAATAAACTATTCATATAGCGAATTGAGACGTTAAATAGTATACATATATATAATTAAATTACAAAGTGAGGTACCTAATTATAGAATTTTTAATGGTATATTTATGTAAAATTTATTTTGTGATTAATATTTCAGCTCGTTTTAACAGCATAAATAATCATTCAAAAATGTAGAAAATTTGTAATTTTTGTAAATTAACTGGTAATGTTACGTTGTTTAACAGAATAAATGAATATAATCAAATTAAATATTTTTATTCAGGATTGAAACAAGCTATTTGTAGCCACGGACGGGCATATTTACTGTTCACGGAATCATTGATTAACAATAACTGTACGTTCAGAGCACATCGGTGGAACTTGACTTATGAAGGGTAGGTACATAACTTATCATCATCACGATTATCATATCAGCCGTTAACTGCCCACTGTTGAACATAGGTCTTTCCCGTAATGGGGGCTTTGCCAATAGTTGCCACACTTAGCGGGCGGGTTGGCAACCGCAGTTAGGTTTCTGGTGATGTTTTAAGAGGGACGTTGTTATGCCCATCCTCCGATCATTAAGCTCCCTTAGTCGCCTTTTACGACACTCAAGGGAAAGAAAGGGATGGTCCATTCTATGCCGGGACCACACGGCAACGTAACATAACTTATTATTAACTTTTTTAAATATTAAGAATTTTTATTGACCTTTTATTTTTTAGCACTTATTACTTTTTGAGATAATTATTTTATAAGGTATTCACTTACGGTTTTATAGTAAATTTTTAAATTTAACTTTGAACAATAAATTAGCGTAATAAATAAATAAAAAATATTTATTTATTTTACATTTTATTGCACCAAGCAAAAAAATAAATAAATACAGTAAATAGTGACTTTATACCTATACAATCTCTTCCGGATAACCTTTGGGTAGAGAATATTGAGAAAAATAATATTACAAGGTAGCTAATTCTGAATCGGTTTTGATCATTCTTTTTGCAATCGACAGGGATTACTTCCGAGTTTTCTTTTAATTTTACTACAATTAAGTTTTTCATAAGACTAAATCATAAAGGAGTCTATTTGAAACAGAGTAAACGCGAGTCTGAAAGCTCTATGTGATAGAGAGGGCTCATGTGTCGAGATGGGTATAAACGCCGTTGGAGGAGCCGGCCTGCCGAGAGCACAGGGACCCTACTTCGTGCTCACCACTGAAAAAGCACCCTATTGCCGTAAGTCTAATATATCCCACACACCATACGCACGCACACACATACACACTCGCACACATATACACACACGCGTACGCTGTACACATGCATACATGCACGTGTACGTGTAGCGTGTGTGCGTGCGCGTTTGTGTGCGCATTTCTGATGCCTTTTGTGGTGTGTGTAACATAGTGTCTCATTTTTTATTTCTATAATATATAATAAGTCCTGTGTCAGTTATTACCAATACACTAAGTAATACTTAGTGTGTTAGTAATTAATGCCACTTCTTTTATTCTAACTATATATTATAAATGTTGTTTATTTTACAACATAACCATAGATATAGAAGAGCATCTATGCTTACAGTGTGAGCGCAATCATTTTTCATTTTAAATTTGAATACATACTAACGAAGGAGAATAAATTCATGTTCTAACTTGGATTTTCACTTTTGTATTATGCAAATTAGACGAATCTCTCTAGAGATACCTACATCCATTGCGAAGATGATGTCTGTGATCTTATTAAAAAAAATAGTCCAAGTTATAGTTCTAGTCTGTATCTATTTAAAATATAAATTTATTTTTTCGATTTAAATTTGTATTTTGTATTTAGCCTGATAAAGATAGTTATTATTAGAATTAGGAGAGCATCTACTGGACTATTTATTTATTCTTTACTGCACCACTTTAAGAGTAACACAAAAAGTATATTATTATACTTATGAAGTACAAAAGGCATATTTTAATATTTCTAATAAAACCACAATAATTTCGAAAATTTGAAATTGCGAATATATGTTTTTATATTATTTAATGCTTTTTGAATTAAAAAAAGTAAAAGTTAAAATCTTCTATGTTATTTGCGACGAATTTACCGGGTCTTAACTACGATGGTTGCCAGAGGAACCACATGGAGATCAATCAATGATAGGATATATTAGTAGCTATTTATTTATTCTTTATTGGATAATAAAGTTTATACAAGTTATGAGCTTAATACCATCTGGCGTCTCTGCCAGCTAACCATTAGGTAAAAACAAAATATGTTTGAGGGTAGTGGTGGCTATCATACATTACACAAAAAATAAAAATTTACCTATTAATATAAATTAACACGGTAAGATATTTAATGTTCATCGTATAATGCTATATATGTCATGTCTATAGGCGACGGTTACCACTTTCCATCAGGTGGGCCGTCAGCTTGTTTGCCATTCTAAGGTGTTAAAAAAAATTTATGTTGTGATATATCTATTTAACTATTAAGTAAGTAATACATAGTTAGAGATGAATTTGTTGATTTACGAAATAATTGCTATGGGGCCATTAGCCTCTATTACTAACAATCACCCCCTCATTTAAAAGTGATGGTCACCGCTGCTTTCAAGCTTGTTTGCCCTTCTAAGTTGTAAAATAGAAACCTATTATGTTCCATAGCAACTGACTGGGAGGTTCGTCACTCCCCAGTGGATTTACTCCGAGATCTTCGACATGGGTTTAACATAGACCGATCGCGGCGAGTGCAGACGCCTGTTACACCCGCCTACGCCGACCCTGAGGGCGGTGATGCTGACGACGAAATTGTGACCACCACCAGCAAAAGTTGGTTCAAGAGATGGTTCGGTTGAAGACATAAAGGTATTATTGAACGGGGAGTTATTGCAATGTGTTATGATGAATTGAATAGTTCTTGAATAATCTTTGGTCATAATGAATTATATTTTTTTTTATATTGGATTTATTCAAGTATTTATTCTCTCTAGACGACGAAGTACTTATTATTAATTTTTGAAAGCGGTAAACAGTAGATGATTTCGTTACCGCCATCTGAGAAAGAATAAGACGTCATATGTTGCTGTCCCATTCTATTTCATGCATACGCCCAACAAAATTGTATCTAATCAATAAGTACATTTGCCTACTGTCTAGTGAGGATTCGATCAAGTGTGAAATTAAACTGGCAATTTAAAGAATAAATATGTGAGTAAATACGATAAAAAAGGTATAATTATAAAAATAAAAGATGAATTAAAAATATAGGTATTACAATTATCACATTTATTTTGTTATGCCGAGGGAGTTTACATTTTAATGGTTAATAGTTGAAGTTATAACAAAGCTCTGCTAAAGCTTTTTAGTGTTTAACTTTAACAATAAAAATTGAGTTTGAATAAGTACACTAAAATTACCAGTTAAGATTTTAAAAACATATAAATAATTTAAAAATGGTACATACTGTGATACAGATGTTTAATTTGAATATTTGTCTTAGATTTAATTGAATGTTGTACAGAATTAGAAATAAAAAATATATACACATTAGACAATGAATTTTATTTCAATAAACCATAAACTAATTTCAAATTAAGTATATTTAACATAGCAGGTGAAAATGCATTTCCATTGTGATTATAATAATAGTGGAGTAGATAAACTAGCGTTATACTAAATAACGAAAGCTTTTAAACTGATTGAAAAACATTCAATACGTCGTACATGTAGCCATTTGGTAGGTTACTGTATGTGCAGTATGAAAAAGATTGGCATGTGTTTGCAATAAAAATGTACAAAGTAATTCATACAACACGTTATATTAAGAATACTGTCAAAGAGAGAATATTATTTTTTGGACAAAACAGCGGTTTGCATGGGTGCCGACATGTCTTTAAGGAAAATGCTTACATCGTCTATAGGTAAGAAAGGATTGTTGTCACAAAGGAAAATAATGTATTTAATTGGGAATTTCGTTTCGGGATTTTCCGCTTCAACATTTGACTTTGTTTTTCTAAATATCCATAATGCATAGATAGAATGAACTCTGAATATAACCGTTTCAAGGAAGTACACTTCTCATTGTACGTAAGTAAATTGTACTTAAGCCAAAAATAATGACTAAGAGGAATGACGCGTGTTAAATCAAAATGTATGGACAATGGGACTTTTCCGTACTTAGGTACAGAAGAATTCCTGAATATTAGGAATTATTGAAATACATCTGTAGTAGATGTTTTTATGTGATTGCGCATGGTTTTGAGTAGTAGGAAAATCAACGAAATAGACAATTTCTAGATCGCATATCAAGATAAATAAATAAATATTTTTTGTTGGATTTAAAGGAATTCGACTGTGAAAACCGTATTTTATTTGGTATAATAATTTTTATGTGATACCGGAACAAATATACAGAGAGACAGATACATTTTTTTAATTTTTGTTTTGACATCAATTTTTATATCCCCTCATATATTTTTTTTTAAATATCTCCCATATACATGGGAGATATTTAAAAAAAAAATGTCTAGTTGAAATTTTAATTTTAAAAGTGTGATTTTTTCGTCTCATCTCGATTTATATTTTTTTAAAAAGTCACTGACTTCGTCGTATCATATATCGAGTATCTTAATATTTTCCCCTTCTACTTTTGATAGATTATAAAAAATCTCTTCTTTCTTTAACTCTATGGAGATCGTCTACATTTCCATCGTTCCACATAATTCTTGTCATACTTTCCAGTAATATAATTCGAAGTCACAACGTAATGTCACAAATCATTATTTATCATCTCTATCATAAACTATTATCCTTATAGCATTTTCCGTTTTGATCAATTCAATGACTTTTGTTAGGGAAGTATTTATAGCAATTGCATTCCTCTCCACGCTATACTTATTGCCGCGTAGTTTTATCGTAATGTCAAACAAAAAGTTTTATCTTTTATTAATTACATTAAAATTTATAATTTCGGAAATTTATTAAAAGACTTGACAGACTTGAGAGATTTTCAGTTATCTATGTATATTATCTTTTTTGCAATATGCTCTCATAGAGGATAAAAATATGAAATCAGCATATTTATTATTTCTTAATAGAAACAACTATACTGTTTTCTTCTCTTATTGTACAGACACTGCCAGTTGGTAATTAATGTTCCTTTATACTCAGGGTTTGCTGGAAGAGAACTCTTACAGAGTTAAGTTTGCCTGTTGTACATCTTTATTTAATATAAAATATATTAATGTACTTTTTTGTTTAGAATAAACTATAAATAAATTAGCAGTTGATGATTTAAAAGAGTTAAACAGTCTATACAGATGATTTTTATTATATCCAATAACGTAGATTAGATATCCGATATTTGATATTTTAGGTTATTTTGGATACTAATCCTGTTGGCATCCGCGTGGTGTTTATACCTATTGCTGGTGCCAGTGATGGAGCGTGGTGATGAGATCGGCTTCGGACTGGACACCCGCTACCTGACCTGGACTACCACATTCCCAGCAGTTACCGTCTGCGAGATTTACCATCACAGAACAGCAGAAAAGAAGCTCGTTGAACGTTACCGTAATTTTATAATTAATATTATAATTATTTGCGAGCTCTTGGGTTCCAATCTGAATAGCACTTAAAGACCTCAGGACAAAGAGAAACTTACCTATTATATGAATTAAAATTTTCGACCAATTGTCAGATAATGGAAAAACCGTTAACAACATTGGTAGTTTCACATCCTGTCATGTTGGATTTAAATATAATTGGGGAAATATAGTCGACAAATGCTTTTGACTACAAGTATAAAATAAAGAAGGTGTATAGATACTTAACAGTTGGAATCTTAATGACAATGTTCATGAACAATTGTCCACAACAATTATAAATCGATTCATGAAAACGTTTTTAAAAATATTTAAAGGTACATACTATGTATGGACGATCACATAATCAAATACAACCTATTACAATATATTTATATTCAATTTGAAGACAATAGACACAGATGGTTCGGGACAATTGTTTTATAGTACATACTATTATTTATATTGTAGACTGTGTGAACAGCTGACATCATGAGGGTCTAGGATCAGGAGTGGCCGACTTAACTAGACCCCAGATTTACTGTTTACTGACGAAACCCTGTGCGATCTACCAATTATATATTGAAATCCCAAATGAAGCAACATAGTTCAGTACACAATTAACATATATATTTTTTATTTTATTAAGGGAAAAAATTTTAAATTGAAAATTACTCTTAGCAATTATTTATTTATATTAGTGGGAGCATTGTTTCTGAACATTTTCCATTACATTCGCAAAATATTATATTTTTTGACTTGCCACGATCGACTAGACTAAGTCGCAATCGACCGGCTGGCCACCTCTGGTCTAGATAGATAACTAATTTGAAAGATTATTCGGAAATGCTTAGAATATCGAAAGGAAATTGGTTAAGTACAATTTCTTTTTTGTATCTCTATTTTATTTATATATAAAATAAATGAAAATGAATGAATTAATAGCTACCTAAACATACATTATGTTTCGATTTATTCTAATATATTATTTTGTTGTAGCGAATCAGACAAAAACACTTAATAGCGATTATAAGAAACACCTGAGTGCTATAGTTTATGGCCGCTATAATAACAACATTAGAAAGCTAGAGCAGACATGTGGCGGAGTCATTCCTTGCGACTTGCCTTGGAGAGATATGGCAAATAACGTAATATAATTGTTTTAATTTTTTATATCTTTAATTATTATTTGAAACCCTAATAGAGGGAGGTCTATGTTCAGCAGTGGACAATTTACGGCTGATACGTACGATGGTTTATTTCTAATTATGCACTTACTTACTTTTTAATAATACTTAATCATCTGTAAACTGCAGGTAACAATAAATAAATAAAAAAAACTAAAATATTACATTGTAAAAATGAATTTGTTTATCTGTCTGTTTGTTTGTTGCATTTTAGTACTTTAAAGGCTCAACCAATCGTTACAAAATTTGGCATATACACTATGTTTGACATAAGTTTTTATGTCGGTCCATTAAAACTTAACTAGGTATTGAACAAAATTGTCTTAAATATAATTATATTTTACATACAAGTGTATAGGTAAATTAGACTATCTAAAGTACTTAGTAAATGTTTTGCTTTACGTAATATATAAGTATATTCAAAAGTCATGATGCACACCTACCTTTATCTAATTTATTCATTACGTTTATTTTTCGTCGACCGATGATCTAGTTCTTCAGGCAATTACATACTTTTAGCTGTAACATGTCTAATGATCACAAATTTTAAAGTAAGAAAACATATTTATCACAACACTTAATACGCTGAGGAAAGAAATTTCTCGTGTCACAGAACAACAGATCATTTTTACTCAATTTCGTTTACAGATACGACTTCAATGTTCGGAAATGTTATCAGACTGTTCATACAATAACGTCGAGTTCGGATGTTGTGATAAATTTCACATAGTGGATTCTGAGTATGGCCCTTGTGTCTCTTTCAATACATTGCAGAACGTGTGAGTGAAATTATGTCTACTGATAAGGCGTGATATCTATTAGTTATCACTTGATTATTACCATAGATAAGACCGCGATTTGAAAGACATGATTGCTTAGTTACCTGTCAGAATATGGGATACTTTAAAAAAGATCACAGCGATACAGAATTACTATACCCACTTTTAAAAATTGCATTGACCCACTTGATCTAGTGGTAACCGTCACTTATAAAAATAAAACATGCCATAAATATTATAGAATACAATTTGCGACTTATTTACCATCCACTATTAATTAGTTTCTAATACAATTGCAGAAAAGCTGGCGTAGATGACTTGTACACTGTAAACATAACTACTGGGCCGGGAGTGTTACAGTTTAGACTATTGTCTAATGCTGAAGTAAGTTTATTTTTTAAATGACTTGCACAATATGCTAAATTCTGGTCTTTTTTAGTTTGTTAAATTTTAACTAGGTTAATAAAAAAATGCTACGGTATGATATTTATTTATTATAATAATTCTGATCGACAAGAAAAACCTTCAAAGAAGAGCGTGCTCTATAATTAAAATCGTAAATAAATATATATTGGGGGGGGGGGGAAGGGATTGTTAGTAATAGAGTCTAATTTCCCCATTACTAGCAATACCACCTATCAGGTCGACCTTCACTCGGTTCTCCCTGGAAACTATTGTGGTCAATTCTAGTGGCACACTAAATTCATTCACTGATTACTAATTAATATCATTTCTCGTCTTGAAGAATAATGTAAATGGGTACTATTTTTGTGTCAGGTATCTGTGCATAGTCCAGAAGAATTATCAACAAATCAACTAAGCATCAAATACAAGTTTGAGGTAATGTTGTATTTGGCCAATCGCGTGGAGTATCTGTTCTCGCTTGTGGAGACAGAGAACGATCCAATGCTGCAGTCTGAGGACTTGGCTACCAGGCGGTGCCGCTTTCTTACAGAGCTTCCTAAAGACCCTCTTTATGTTTATCCGGTAATTAAAATACTACTACTTCTTTAATTATGAAGTTCATTACAGATATGATTATTTCACTAATGTCATAAATGTATAAGTTAATAAAAAAATATATCCCCGTTTTTCGACTTCATCATGACTTCTCAAATAAAATTGAGTTTAGTCGCAGGATTTAAAAAAAAATAATATAAAAAATAACTTCTAAAAATGTAATTTTTGTGTACAATAAAGTATAAATAAATAAAGAAAGACATAAGTTATTTTTTATCATTAATCACACAGAAAAGGTCGAGGGATGGATGCGATTTTTTGTTTGTTAAACATCTCTTTAGCATAGAAAATACTGGCTAAATATAAATACTTTTATTAAAAATGTTTCTTCTTTATTATTTATAGGTGTACTCTTTCGGCACATGTTATCTTGTGCATGAAACAAACCATTTATTTGAACATTGTGGATGTGTTCATCCAATTCGAGATATATTCTGTAAGTTGATATCGTTTATGATTTTTTTTTATAAGTAGAATGCGTCGTAAGCTAATACTTTGTTTACTTACAGATAAAAATAAGTTCTGCAATTATACCGGTTTAAACTGCATATCTTTGGTACAAGAGCGTAAGTTTTATAATATTTTCTTTCTTTTGTTTAATTATGTAAAAGAACTTTATCGTTATCTACTTTATCTTATGAGAATTATTAAGTTTTTTTTAAAGGAATTTCATCCTTTTCTACTCCACCATTATTAGAGTTTTATTCTCAAAGTCTGTTAAGTCTTTAAAGTCGTTTTCCGTTATTTAAGATTAGAAGACAACACTAAGAACCATTAAAGTTAAATAAACATTATAAAGAACTGCGCTTATGTTGGATAACTATTTTTCGCTAAATCCAGGGACCATCCTGTTAACAAGTGACGATACTTGTTTATTTGTATTTGTATAAAAGTCAGCAACTTTCAGTTGAATTATGGCCAATGCTTTTTAAACAAAAAATATTGGCCATAATTGAACTTAAAAAATTAAAGTTAAAAAATGACGACGATCAAAAATAGGAACTTTCAGTTATCGGTGTAAGTAAGATATATGCAATTTTTTTTTTTCAGATGAAAAGCTGAAAGCGGATAAGGACAAAAATACAATGACTCTAGATTGTTTGCCGTCATGTGACGAAATAGAAGTGACCTCTATTCACTTGACGAGGTAAGTATTTCAGTGCCCAAATTTAGAAATGGCAACGCTTGAAGAATATCATGAGCGTCGCAGAATATTCCATGATGGCTATAATGCTGTTCATGTCTATTGGCGACGAGAAATAATTTTCATTAGATAGATCATCAGCTTGTATAAAATAGTATATGTGTATAATTATTGGTGAAAAGGAATATACTTCATTACTTATTAATTTCACATACTGTTCGATTAATAACTGGTATATAAACTTCTTGTTGGCTCTTTATATAAAAAAGAAAAATAGTTTGCTTTAACTTGTATTTAATAATTAGCTTTGGAAAGTAGGTAACCACTCATAAATAGTGTACTAAAATAAAACATGCATCATCTACTTGGTAAATGTAATTAATTAGATACATTCGCTGACCGACCTGAAAAATTGGTTGATGCAATTTACAGATTTCTGGATTAAAAAAAAAGTGATAAATTATTACTCAGTCCTGTACGACTACTAGTGACATAACATAATTTTTGTATTTTTATAATACACAACTATGAATAGACGTTTAAAATTATTTATATTATTTTTCTTTTTTTTTTTACTTGAATTTGATACTTTATTTTGTTAATTTATTAATGCTAACATTTCTAATTTATTGTTTTTTAGTAATTTAATTATTTTGTAGATTGAAATTTTGCATGTGTAATTTACTTATTAACTGCTTATAGTGTGTTGGAGTATTTACATCCTCTGTAAATTATATGTATGTATGTATGTATTGTTTATAAATAAATCAGATTTTAAGTTCAACCTCCAAGAATAGAACTGTGAAAACTGCATTGAATTTAGTGTAGTAATTTTTGCGTAATGTCAGAACAAACTGATAAAAGTCTAAAAAACGTTGTTTTAGGCTTTATTGCTCCTATTATATAAACCTCTCAAATCAATTTTTTTTTATTTTATGTACAGATATTGTCTAATGAAAATATATTACTAAAATAAATACTGATGTACTATTCCTCAGGAATTGGGTGCTCGAGGAGCCACAGAAAGGCACCTTGGTGACCATTCGAATGGCGTCGCTGCCCACCATACGGTTTCAGAGGAATTTATTGCGCACCGGTCTAGATTTAGTAGGTGAGTTGTGTGAATAAGAAATCTAGTCTATAGATTATTATAAAGCTTTTGGGACTTGATTATCACTACTTACCCCGAAGGGGAATACAAATGATATACATACATATATTGGTCTAACTCTATGTGAAATCATCAAATTTTCCGATCTTGAGCGCTTAGAACAAGAAATTTTGCTTAAAGGTTTCTTTTAGGCGTCAAGTATATGACACATTTATTTTATTTCTTTATTTCATTTTGCGTTCAGGGTGTTGATGGGGCTGCCACGATTCTGCAGCGCATCAGGGATGTTCGCTGAGCATCGTGTAGATTGTTTTTATGCCACGATGCGAAAAAGGTGTGCATCCCTGGTGCGCAGAGTACGTGCCAGCACCAACAGCATCCTGAATATGATAGCAAGCAGGCTGGACTGTGTGTACGTTAATCGCTGCTGCGCAATTTCCAATGGAATTGTGCAGCGGTGATTATCTGTATACTGCTTAATATATTGTATGTGTGTATGTGTGTGTATGTGTATTGTGTATGTAAATTTACTAACATTAGTTTTTAAGAATATTGTTACTAATAAATATTTAATGGACCAAAAAGTCTGAAATAAAATTTAAATAATTACTTCATTGACCATATGAGAATATGATACAAAAGGTAAACTTAATGCTAGTAGCATTCTGTACTATCAACCTTTAACTTTGTATAAAAGAATGCGTATATTTTTTTAATAACTTTTTTTTTTATTAACAAATATCCCATGGAATAATTATTTGAATGTAAAACAGCAAATTTCGTTTTTAACCAATTTTAATTTTATAATAGTTTCTTTTTAATACTTCTTTGTTTACAGTATCGGTGGGAGGCATGGTGGGGCTATTCTTCAGTGCTTCTATTCTGACCGTTGTGGAAATATTTTATCTATTCTTTAGGAATTCACGATAGCTGTAATAATTTATAAAAGCTCGCTTCGAATAAATCAGATCTAACAAAGATATGGTTGTTATATTTTCTCTTATGTCCTTGAACATTGTTATAGCAACAGAAAATGTTACATCGATGAGAAACCTCCCGCAGGGAAGTATTATTTTGTGTAAGACATTCGAATCAAGATTACTTTTTAAAAATAATAGTCATTAATTAAATATGGGTAATACGGAGAGTAATGTTACGAGTGGTGTTAAGAAACAAGCTGGAACATCAGAACAGAAACTTTATAAGCTTATTGATTTGAAAGGTACTACTTTTGTGATTATTATATTGTGTCATGAGTGAGAATGTGTGTATCAAAATATCTTATGTTTATTTTATCGTTTAATTAATATTAATGAAATAAAATTCAAGAGTGAAACTTTGTGGAAGAGTACAAGCGTTGATATTACATTCCAAATTCAAATTCTACCTAGAGTCAACAATCACCAGCTTTAGCATACTACATTATTGGACTTCTCTATTTGACTGGCCTTTAGTGGTATAAAATATATTGTGAAAGTTAGGATGTTTGTTACTGTATCACGTTTAATTAACTGAACGAATTTGAATGCAATTTAGTACAAGTATAGAGCATAGCCTTCGTTTTTGTGGTCCCGGTATAGGATAGGCAACTATTTTCTTTCCTATGGGTGTCGTAAGAGGAACTTAATGGTAGAGGGATGGGCAGCAGCGTCCCTCTTAAAACATGTCTAAAAGCCTAGCTGCGGTTGCCAACCCGCCTGCCAAGTGTGACAACTATTGGCAAAACAGTTAACGGCTGAAAAGATAATAGACCATAGCCTAGATTAACATATTCCTATATGTTAATGTAATAAAGGTACTTTATAACCTAATTCATGTGAGAAAAGCCGCTAGATACAGCTAGTGAATATGACAAATGTGTGCTGTGGTATCTCAGGTGGTGGTTTACTTGTGGATATGATGAAGCGTGCTGTGCAAAACAAACAGTATGCAGAGATAGACCACGCTATCAAGACTAAAGTGGAGCCATTTCTGTACAATAAGGGTAATGGGCGATACATACCGATATCTCATCTGGTGCTACTGCGTAATAAGGAACGGCCGAGACATAAGTTGGTAAAAATCTTAGAATAGAACACAGAGTAATATTCTACGATTTCGTTATAATACACAAATTTTTTTGTAGGCAGCTGCGATCTATCATTTATTTTCATGCTAGTCCTTTGTAGGATAGTCAGGGATAATAGTGTTACAAAGTATTTTAGTAATCCAAATAGGTATTCATAAAATATAAAATTTTGTAAGGATGTTTGATATTCAATTACTCTCATTCGCATATTTAAGATTATTTTCCAAGGTGGGTTTGGCCCGTTAAAAAAGGTATATGTCGTATGTATTCTCAGGTGATTTAGTGAAATTTTGCTCGAATTTTGAGGTAGGCATCAGACAATTATAGAGTGGACATGGCCCACCCGGTTCTCTCTTAATTTACGCCTATGATGACTCTTAAACGACTGGATAGATTTTAATATGGTATGTAATATAGATAAATTTATCTGTTCAAATTTATATTTTTTTTTTATAGGTGATAATGAAATAGTAACCCCACCCGCGCTATCGGTATATGCTGATAGGGCACCAGTGAAGGATGATAGACGAGGATGAAACAGGTCTAACTGACCTGCCCATCGTGACGAATTCAACGAGAATTGTTCATGATGGTTTCCAGGGGAAACCACGCGGAGGTTGAGCTAATAGGGCATATTGCTAGCAATGGGGCTGTCAAACTCCATTGCTAACAATCCCTTCCCCCCATAATTTATCCTTTATAACAGACAGGTGGTTGCAGATAAAACTGTGACTGAAAGTGATATGAATTTTTTTGCTCATTTTATGTAAATGCTGTTAAAATTTTAATGGAGCTTAATTCAATATATTCGTAGATAGGTACTTCTGAAAAAATTTTACTTGATATAGAAATTTGAAAACAGAAATTTTGTCATACCCCCGTGAAAAAAAGTTACAATGAATTTTAAAGTATATCTAAGTTTCTGGAATAGTGCATTCTCTAAATTTCATTTCAATTTCTAAAATACTATTAGTATTTAACAAAGATATTATATCCCTAACCGCACCCAAGGAAAGTCTAAAAAAATGTACAATAAAGTGTTGTAACATCTTATTTTTATACCAAAACTTTAGCTGCCACCTTTAAGAGGCATGGAGAATCCAGATGAGGAATTTGACGTAGAGAAAGACTGGCCTGAAGTTACACAGGCAGAGTATGATGCCAATCCATCAGCATACAGAGAACTCTGTTGGGATCTAAAGGTATGTTTCCATGTTGCATTTGCATAGATATTTAGATTTTTATGTAACTATTAAGATTGCAAAATTTTTGAATATATTTTTTTGTTTTTTTTCTGAAAATTGCATCGATTAAATATATTGTATTAAATAACTGTACAGCTTCAATTCTATATACAAATTGATTAATGTACTATTGTTTACGTATGCTTGCTTATTAAGTTTGCTTATTAATTTTATATAGATTAAGAAATCGGGTAACGCAACAGGGTAGCCCAGTATAATATATTAAGTTATATTGGTATACATACTCAAAAAATCGACTGAAGCTCAATATTATGCGAAAAGGGAATCGGGAGGAGATCACTTCTTATTTACTGTCCCATTTTAAAAAGAATACATTTATAGTTCCTTTGATCTTTCCGTCGGTAGTTGTGTATTTGAAAAAGTAACCCTGCGGGTTGTTTTATCAGATTAATTAAATTTAAGACTCTAATAATAGTTTGTATACATTAGGAGCGCGGCGCAGTGGGTGAGACGATACTGCATCTCTGTCTGCTGAATGCTACCTCCCTTGTGGCCGACCTCGCCAAGAGATTGCTGCGGTTCTATCCAAAACTTATAAATGACATCTACATGAGTGATGAGTATTACGGTAAGTAATGTTATCATAAAATCTTATTGCTCCATAAGCTTGTTGATAGAGTTTTTTCGTGATCATTCGTTCGGCAAGCTGGTTAGAATTCATGTTAATTGAGGTATATTTGTGTCAAAACTAAAGTAACATAATATATATTTTCTGAGAATTAGTGTAGTGTAATATGAGCTACAGCGTAATCCCTTCTTTTATGAGGTTATATAGTCAGGTTTAATAAAACGAAACGATATCATAGATGATGTTAGCATGTAATAATTATTACATTTCATAATTTTGCTCATCATAATATTTATTATGTAAAAATAAGTCTATACAGGACTTATTTTATTCATAAGTTGAATGTCAAACTTACGTTGTTGTTGTTGTATAATTGAATAACAGATATATTTTTTTTTAATTTGTATAAATCTTAAAAATATACAGTTAATGTTGTATACCTTTTATGTACATTATGTTATCTGTGGGTTATATATTAAAGTTTCATACATCATGATACCTAATTAGATAGAGTGCGCGATAGGCGGGCGTTAAAAAATTAAATAAATCGTGATTTATGGACACGTACTTCCCTTACTCAGAGTATGAAGCTTTCCAATTATTGGAGAATGGACTAAGGGGATATTAAATTAATTTTATCTTGTTACCTAGAGAATGAACTTTTAAGGGCGCTTACAATGTACTCATTTAACTTTTGTTTACGGACCTTTAAGTTACGTTCAATTTGTAATTAAATAAGTTTCCACCTTATCTATTGCTTACGAGAAATTTATTCTAATGTGAGTATTATTTACATAAGTATGTTAAATATTTTATTTCGTCGTTTACATTGGTCTATCTATTGTATTTTGTCCCTCAGTCGCAAAAAGCGACTAGGGGACAAACTACAACATCATCGCAATAAAAAGGAGTGAAGATGACATTGCATTCTTGTGCTGAACATTACACGGAGATCTTGAAGTAAAATTTAGTACAAAACACGTAAATTAATAGCGTATGAATATATTTAGGATATATATACTATCCATCTTCTCTCGTTTTGTCTCCAAAAATTGGTGGGGTTAGGTATAGTCAAAAGCGAAAGTGTCCTCGTGGCCCTAGCACTGTGGCGAGTTATATCTGCCACCATAAAAAAATGCATAAAAATTGGTTCATTCATTTGGGTGCTTTGTTACTATTATACCTGGCGTTTAATTTTTTTTTTCTTATTCATAAAAGTAAAATGGTAAGCCCGCCAGTGCTATACATTTACACTGGATCAGGTAGGGATGAAGACAGGTCAGTAGACCAAACGTGTCGAATTCACTAAGTACTAACCATCATGGTTTCCAAGAGGAACTACGCGGTAGTCGACTTTCATGTATCATGTATGTTGTTTTATTTATTTAAGACTTTCCTGTTGACGGGGCAACTATTTCATGTATTTTTTTCCAACCTACTCTATTCTTTGACCTCCCTGTATGACAAGATACCTAATGTTTTCTATGCACCCTTTATTACTAGCATTAAATGTAACTTAGCATTTAATATTACAAGTTCATTGTACATTATTTTACATTATTTCTGTCGTAAAGGCGAAAGCGTCCTTCACATGGCTATAGTGAACGAAGATCCGACGATGGTGAAGTTTTTGTTGGATGCCGGCGCTGATTACCACGAGCGTTGTTTCGGCAACTTCATGTGCCCTGAAGACCAAAAGGCATCGAGGTCGGACTCGCAAGATCATGAATGGGTTAATGTGCAACCAGACACAAATTATGACGGGTAATTAGATTTATTTCTGAATTTCTGATGTGATTTATAGGCTGTGACAGTTTCTGTATGTTTGGAATAAAAAATAATATTTTAGTCTCTCATGGATTATTTTCATTAGTCTCTTTAATACCAGTTCTTGCTCGAGGTGTTATGGTGTCACGTTTCCCCTTTTAGTTGAAATTTAATAAAGCTTCTTAAGGCAGACGCTTACGTTATAAAATTAACTTAGTAGTTTTCGCTGTGTTGTAGTCAGCATAGTATTTTTTTAATATATGTCCACTTTAAAGAAACTCTACAGTCTGCATTTAGTTCGTAGTTAGCTAATGTTAATAGCATTAAAGCCCGCTTCTCATACTTCTTTCTATTATTAAAATTTAATTAAATAATAATGAAATAAATATATCTAATTTAATAATTAAATACGGCTAGTATAATGTACGAGTACATGCAACTAAAAATAAATAAAAATTTATTTAAATAATTTAATATCTTGAAAAATAGATTAAAAATAATACTTTTGGCTTTATTTTTCTATGAGTCGAAACTTCAAGTTAGATAAATATTTAATTATCATTAACATGTTAAGATCCGAATTAACAGTAGCACACGTAAGTCCGGTATACGATGAGTATGACCATTTTAAAATATATTTACATTTGACAGTTACGTGTACTGGGGTGAATATCCGCTGAGTTTTGCGGCATGTCTCGGCCAGGAGGAGTGCTACCGGTTGATACTGGCACGAGGGGCCGACCCCAACAAACAGGATACCAATGGGAACACTGTACTACACATGCTTGTTATTTACGAAAAGATGGCAAGTATAAAGCAGTTTTACACCTAGGTATTTTTTATGTAGCTTAAAATGGCAAACAAGTTGACAGTCTACCTGATGAAAAGTGGTGACCACTACCTATAGTTATAAATATCACCACATACGTTTTCTTTCAGGAGAACTAATATGTTATGTAATTTATTTATTTATTTGATTAATTGGGTAAACTTTACAGTTTCACAATACACTCACCCAAGAAAGAACCGGTACAATAACAAATACTATATAACTATAAATAATAATAAGAATAAATACTATATAACAATAATAGAAATAACATTTTATGATGATATTATGATGACTTTAATTATCTGAACACAAACACTTAATGGCCATCCGATGAAACTCAAGTTGCAGGCAAATATGTCTAGTTGTGGATATTGGCTCAAAGCATCATTGAGTAGTCTCAACGCAAGAAGGGAGCTTGCTTGGTCGATTCTGTTCTTCTTAACGGAACATCAAATAATGCCGTCTACGTGCTCGTACGTAGTTACTGGGCGCTTCTATAGATTTAGTAATTTCACTACCGTATCCCATTCTTCAAATATATACACAACTATGCTGGTACTACAGCGGTAAGCTTGCCGACAGAAATACATTACGAAATAGATAAATACAAGCTAAATAAATCTGATATTTAGGTTCATATCTTAGGTGTAAAAAAATACTTAAGAATAGATTTTTATTCCAAGACTTTAACCTATGCATGTGAGATCAAGCTTTGTATATAATATTTTTTATAACATAATTCCTTAGGCTGTTAGTTTATCAGTACCTATAAGATAGACGAGAAAACATCTGATAAACGTCCATGGTACTTGCTCATGTCTATAGGTGACGGTTACCACTTTCCATCAGGTGGGCCGCCAGCTTGTTTGCCATTCTAAGTTGTATAAAAAAAAAAAGATAAATTAACGATGTTTTATTCATCAGAGTACTTTCGACATGGCGTACGAAGTGGGTGCATCATTGAATATCCGCAACGTCCAAAACCTTACACCGTTGACGCTGGCTGCAAAATTGGCGCGAACTGAATTGTTTTTCCACATTTTGAATATAGAACGCGAGATATATTGGCAGATTGGCGCCACTACATGTGCTGCTTACCCGTTGGGTCAAGTGGATACTATAGATACCGAGACGGGGCTAATAAGTAAAGATTCCGCATTGAATTTGGTCGTGTTTGGGGTAAGATATATATGTAATAAAAAATTGATATTTTTTTTATGAAAATTCAATCTATATAGCTGACTGTGTATTTTTGTATTAAATGTAAAGTTTTATTAGGGATTATCTGCATGCGTGCATGCATAATATAGGCTGGTCATAGCTCGAGGAACCGACAACCAATAGGGAAGAAATGTTCTTAGATGGAAACCCAGTTTGGGCAAATGTAGTGTAGGACGACCTCATACTAGATGGAGTGAGGACCTCAAATACATTGCAGGAAGTCGTGGATGCAGGAGGTGACTATTCCTTATGGACATATCACTCTCCATTAGCTAGGTTCACATATTGTTTACCAATCACTAAGAAAATATTGTGTCTACTGACTCGTCTTGGTTAGATATGGTCTCTTTTCATGAGAGAAGGATAGGTTTATTATTGTTGAAAATAATATAATACAGTAGTAGCACTATTACCATGCTGGCAGGCAGCTTGGTATAGGATTTATTGTCGAGTTTTCTTCTTCTTACTCTGGTATTCACTAATCGGCTATTACAACATCTCGATTCTTTGGAAATAAATAGTAATAGTAATATTTCGTATAATATATAAATAGTTATAGTAATAGTAATATTTAATAGTAATATTCTTATTTCGTATACCATAAGGACTAAAAAAATTTATTTCTTATTTTTGGTTTCAGGAAAAAGACGAGCATTTAGAATTGTTAGAGGGCATGTTAATAGACCTCTTAAAGACAAAGTGGAACACTTTTGTTAAGTTTCGTTTCTATCGGCAATTTATATTATTCTCTTTTTACTTTCTTATATCTCTGGTATGCTTCACACTAAGGCCTGGACCACCAGACAGAGCTCTCAATAGTACCACCTTGAATGCTACTCTTGGTCCGAATGTAACTGATACTGAGTTGGTAGCGGACGTGGGTAAGTGTGCATCTAAGAATATACGAGTACTATAGAACTGTGAAATAGGCAAGAGGTCGACCTGGTTGGGTATATTGCTAGCAATGGGATTCTCAGTCTTCATTACTAACAATCCCTATCCCCCCAGTATACCACGTTAGGTCAATCTGCGTCGCTTAGAAACTGTAGTAATTAATTTCTGGTGGATTTAACAAGATAGATAAAAGACCTAATTTCATTATCATCATGCTTCACTGGAGTCATCATAATCATCGTCATATTAACCGTTAACTGTCCACTGCTGAACACAGACCTCCCCCATAAGAGGGTTTTGTCAGTAGTTGCCACGTTTGGCAACCGCAGTGAGGCTTAATAACGTTAATAAAATAATTGAAAGGCTGGCAGCTTATCTGCAATGCCTCCGGTGTTGCGGGTGCTTATGGGCAGCGGTAGTCACCATCAGGTGAGCTGCATGCTCGTTTGCCTCCTGTGTTATAAAAAAAGTAATAATGGATATAACACATCGATTTATCCAATATATACCATTTCCAGAAAATTGTACTGTACCAATGAACGGTACGGAATTCGATTCTGGAGCTGTCGAAATTATAAATGCAACAAAATCCGAAGGTCCGCAGTGCGCTCGATTTAAGAGTCATTCAAAAGACAAGGATAAACGTAAGAGAATTATTTGTAATTGGATTGTTGATTTTAAATATTTCATATAATCATTGAATTATGATCGATATATGTTTATTCTAGCTCCTAGAGAAACTAATATGGAAGGCTGGTGGGAAGGCCTAACTGAAGAATGTCGACTGATGAACTTTGATAGTTTTCAAGCCAAAGTATGTATAATAATATTATATTTATATAAATCTAATGTTAGAATGACAATTTGCATTATTTAGTCTGCATTATTACCTTTCATACAACATTGTTACACATATACAAGTTGAAATTAAAAGCATTCGCATCATTTTAAAGTATTCTACTATTGAAACGGAGTAAATTTTTTAAAAATCGCATCTATTATATGCAGTCTGCATATCAGATGTAAAAATAGTTTATTAAAATTTCCGCGAATATCACAAATGCGGTGTAGTAACAAAGCAGCTCTAACAGTAATCTTCAATACAACCCAACCAATCTGGAGGTGGGGGGCATTGACAGTAAGTCGAGCTCCGCGCAATGCTCTCTGGAAACTATAGTGGTTAAGTCTCCATGCATTCATCATGATTATTAGGGCTACTGACCTTACTTCATCCTTTCATCACTTTACTGGTTATTGGTGTCTCGCGTAATCCAATATCGATAGTCCAACCAATCTATTCAACCCAACTCAATAATGTTATAGGTCAGACTAACAGCTGAACTTATGCTGTGGTTGGGAGCCTTTGCCTATATTGGAGCTGCGTTAAGAGAAGCAAGATTTCTTGGTTTAAAGATGTTCTTTGAAAACTTAAGCACTGTTCCGTCTAGGTAAGGCATAATATAGGTATAGTATGCCTAAATATTAAAAAAAAAACTTTTGGAAATAGATATGGCGATTTACCTGGTGAAAAGTAATAACCCTAACTAACAGTCATAGAACAGCACTGTATATTATGTACTAAAGTCTAAATTTAAGTTTAGCTTGCAACTGTTAAGATAGTCTCAATGTAAAGTCATTGAGGACTAAATAGTACCTACATCTATAGTTAAAAAATCTTTATATTGGCCCATTACTGAGTAACTATATTTAACAAGATAATATCTATGTATTAGGTATTAGATAACTATTATATTGAGTACGATATCAAATATCAATATATTTATGAGATCGGATGATAAAATCAAAATGAATGTGACGTTTTTTTTAGATATTCTGGTATTGCAGGCATTCACAGGCTTCGGTAACCGCTTACCATCAGGAGCGTCGTATGCTTGTTCCCCGCCTATAAAATAAAATATCGAAAAAGTGGATCAAATATTCTTTTTAATATCAATGTGCAATTCGATATCGCACATAAGCGATATTACTCATATCTAGACAATTTTACTACAATATCTGACTCTAAACCATAATAACTTATTGGTAAAAACATAAATCCCTCATTTCCATTTCACGTTGCCAACCTTGATGTAAAGCCGTTTATGCATACAACTTTTGTATACAGTTTTCCATCATGGAATCGGTAGTAGTAAGTATTCTTATCGTGTCTCCTATCAAACTGTTTATAATTATTCCTCTTCATCCAAAGGTTACCTTGAAGAGATCGCTTTTAGCAATAAAGTCGCCCATTGTTTTCTCAGTGTGATTATTTCTTGTAATTGTTAACATCTATAAAAAAAATACTATTGTAATCTTTTAGAGGAAACAATAAAGAGTACCTATCTATTCTCTCGATTGATTCATTTGGAACATGTTTAGGTAGGCATGGTTTCTCATAACATAGAATATCCGATCTTAAAGACTAGGCAGTTGATACGACGGTGTGTTGTTTTTCAGGGTAATGTTTCTGTTCTCATGCATTTTAATGTTGATACTGCCCACACTACGTCTGTGGTGTGCTGACGTGGAGGAAGATCATCTAGCAGTTATCATTATGTTGACTACCGCTCCTTACTTCTTATTCTTCTGCAGGTAATTGCATACAATTTACTACTATATGGTTTATTCTCTATTGTCCGTGTGGTCCCGGCATAGAATAGGCCACCCCTTCCTTTCCCGTGGGTGTCGTAAGTGGCGACTAAGGGAGGGCGATGGATGGGCAGTAGCGTTCATTTTAAAACATCTCTAAAGCTGTTGTCAATCTGCCTGCCAAGCGTGGCAACTATTAGTAAAACTTGTTGTAAACAAAAGCCTCCGACAAGGTTTACAGGATGAAATCTTACAGAATTTTCTGAAATAAGAAACAAAAGACAATCATTAGAAGGCAGTGGCAGTTCTTAGAAAGAGCGTGTCTCCTATGAAATAGGATAACTTAATGTGAGAGCTCAGTTACAAAGAAATTTAAGTAAATGTAATGTGTTTTTAAGCGACTGTCAGACTGTTCTAATTTGCGTAGATTTTTTCGTGTGTATGTCATAAAATATAATATATTTACCTCTGATTAATAATGATAATATAATTCTGAATTAATATATTTTGATTACTTTTTTCCAATATTAATTTAGTTCTCTTTTTTTGGGGAACTCAAATTCAAATAATAGTCAATTAGAAATGTTTTTCTCTCGTCGGCAGGGGTTTTAAAACAGTAGGTCCGTTCGTGGTGATGATCTACAGAATGGTGATGGGCGACCTTCTGCGTTTTGTTTGTATTTACTTGGTTTTCGTGATGGGATTCTCTCAAGGTAAGCTTCTTTTTATAAAAAAAAATATAAAAATATTTTTTATAGACAGGTTATATTAAATAAATCACAGATTATATACTACTATATACTAGTAATAAATATTATGATGCGTGTAAAGCAGTTTTCTTAACTCGTTTATAAGTCGTCTAGTTGAGTATAACAATAACTCTTTATTGCGCACAATAGAGATGTACACAAGGAGAATGTGCATATACAAAAGGCGGTCTTATTGCTAAAAGTAATCTCTTACAGACTACCTGGCATAAATAATAGATAGGTACAGAGAGAAGGTAAATGACGCAAGTCAGACACAGTAAATACAAAAAAGGAATCAAACAAAATGCAAAATATTCTAAATATCATTTATATAAAAATAAGATTACAATACATAAACATACATATATAATATAAACAATAATATATAAATATACTAAATAGATCAAGGTAAATCACACGTAGTAAACGTCAAAGCAAATTAGAAAGATAGGTAATGAGATTTTACCTGCCTCTTTAATGAGGCAAGAGGTATCTTTCTTCTTATTTTTTTTTATTTTATTGTTTTTGCTGTAAAAATTGTGCTTACGAGTACAGGGCTGTGTTTCGGTTTAAAAGGTGGATAATGTCAGGGAAATTATATGATAGAGAGGGATAAGACATGATAGTCTTTAGATATTGCAACACATGATTACTATGGGCATTATAGTGCAATCTGTAATATCTATAGTGTTGTTTATGTTTATAGGCAACAGTTTTCATTTTCCATCAGGTAGGCTGTCAACTTGTTTACCAATAGAAGCATCATGAAAGAAACTCTGGTGAAAACATAGTAAAAATAATCAAGACAGGTAATTTTATTTACACGTTAAAACAAATATTGGCTGTCATAAGTTTTGTGATACGTGTACTTACACTTATTTAACCACCCACAAAATAGTGATGTGCTGAGTCAGCATTTTTGGTATTCGAGTACTTTCGTATTCATTCAAAAAAGTAATCGAATCCTGACTCGATTTTGAGACTCGGATTAGTACTCGAGTAGTTCATCAAGTTTGAGAATTTTTCAATTGATTTTGAAGCTTACTTTTAATGAAGATACTTAATAAATGTTCAGTTATTTAATCCTTTTAAAATATTGTGTATCTATCTTTGATATATCAGATACTCGAGTACTGGAGTATCTAGTACTTTTCGAATTAGTACTCGAGATGGTCGGTACATCACCATCACTGCGATTTGTTTCTGAGAAACTTAAACTCACTGCGTCAGTTCGCTATTCAAACTAAAAGTCTAGGTGTGACCAAACTGTGTACGTGACACACTGAACTTCACTTGTGTAACAGACTAACAAAGAAAGCTGAACTATTTATACCACATTAGGGCAACTGTGGAGATTGTCATGTTATGGATTGTATGTGACATTACAGGAGATTCTTTGTTGAGTATGTGGCATAATCATTTAATGCATTGAAAGCTACACAATTTTAGGTTAAACGTAAAGAAATAACTAATATTTACATACACATTCTAAATAATAATAAAAACTATAATTAATATTATATAAATAGCCACAAATACAAATTACAATTAATTAAATAGTATACAAATTACCACAAATGACTCTACAATTATAATAAATGATAACATGGTATTCTTTGTTATCTGAATGACATGAATCCTGAAACGCACTATTGAAATATTTAAGCTCGTTAAGTATATATAAAAACAGGACGATATCCTTGTCGGGGATCCATTTCTACTCGGTCAAGCGGCGGTGGGGCAGAGCCGCTTATATTTGCCCCGACGCATTCTACAATACGCTATCGGGGGGCTATTGTAATGCAATTTGACGCCACGCCGTCAGTCCTACTGGTTTCTAAACCAAATCCGACCCTACGTCTCTACAATTGAATTCTAAAACCACATGATTCGTGGTCTTGCTTTCAAGATATATCGAAGTATTTCTTCACCCCACCGTAGTAGAAACTTTGATCCCTTTTTGTTTTATTTTCATATTTAAATCTTTAACATCGTTTGAAATGTATTTACTTGAAAGTATGGAATGCATGTAATAATAATACATCATAATAATATTCCATATAATATAGCGATATAATTTGCGCTTTATTTATTTTTTTATTATTAACTCAAGAAAAGAATATGTTAATAGCGTAAAATGTTACATAAAATCATAATATCCTTATAAACATTACAAATGCGAAAGCATATTTCTTTCTTTTGACATCTGGCTGCTTTATTGTTTAACTATAAATAGTCTTAAAATTTTGTATACACGTGGGTACTTAAGATGGAGACGAATATAGGTTATTTTTTGGTCTGATCGGACAACGTAACATCCCATCGCGCAGATGAAGACGCTGTAAAAATTTTAATAAGATTTTTAAACGAATTTTATATACAATTTATTTTTTTATTATATATTGGAATTTTGTTTACAGTGCTATTTTATCTATAAATTTGTAAAAATAAATAAAGGAAACACAATAGAAGATGTTTCTACTAAAAATATTATGACACAAATAATTAATAAATAAATAACAATGAATCATTTCAGTCCATAGCCGATTAGTTAAGTAGTATTGGTTTCTAATTTTAAAATGTCTTTTTACGTTGTCCTTTTTTAAATATTCTGTTGCTGTCTGTTGAGAATATATCCTTTTTTAATTTATTCTTTTTTTTTTAAATTATAATTAATTTTTTTCCTTTTTGTATACTATGTTTTAGGACTGATATACCTGAAGAAGGTAAAAGCCCTTAAAATATTAATAAAAAAACTTGTATTAGATTTATGAAACTAAAAAAATCATAAACTAAATAAGAATGAATAAACAAAATGTATGTAATATATTAAAAAACTTTACAATTACAGCTTACTACGTTATTTTTCTATCGTTTGACAATCCGAACACACCTGAGGGTGTCGATGACTCAGTGTCGAACCCTATGCCGTCACCCATGGAGAGCATCATGGCAATGTTTCTAATGTCACTCACCTCTTTCTCCGACTACTACACCGCATTTGAGCACACGGATCACGAGATTGAGGCGAAGGTAAATTTTTTTTTGTGGTATGAAAAGAAACAAAAATATTTATTGTATAGAATATAAATAATATAAAACTTATAAGTAACAAATATACAAAATGTAAAGAAAAAATTGCATTACATAGTTATTCTTTATCTGTCCCTTCAATAATAATTATGAATATATTCAAATTCGAGATTTTATAATTTTGTTTGCAGTTTCGTTTTTTTCCATTATAAGGCAGTTTGCAAAAAGGCCAGATAAAGCTGCGAGATACAGCTAGTTTATTAAATAAATATGTATCAGCTCTATTTTAAATAAAATTTTGTAACTATATATATATTTTATTGCAAAATTTTATACTTTTTATTTTTTATACAACTTAGAATGGCAAACAAGCTGACGGCCCACCTGATGGAAAGTGGTAACCGTCGCCTATAGACATGAGCAGTACCATGGACATAACAGAGTATACTGTTTCGCCCATGATACTCCTCATGCGTTGCCATTCCTGAGGACTCAGGTGTTATTCCTCTGTATCCAGTAAATTTACGCCATATCCCACCCTTCAAACTGAAACACAGCCATGCAAACACAACTAGTTCACGGTTGAAACACGAATGGGACAGAGGTACCCAAGCAATCGACTTTTGTACAAAGTCTCCCTCTGGTAAAATTAATTGGACATTGTCGACAATAATTAAAGATAGTTTTCTACAATAAAAAATCGATTTTAATTGTAACAAAACCAGTTAATTTGGTTTAAAAACTAAACTGCTGAACTGATATAATAACATTTGTTTCAGCTACTGTTCGTAATTTACATGATAATAGTAGCAATACTTCTGGTGAACATGTTAATCGCCATGATGGGTAACACATACCAGAAGATAGCGGAGACCAGAAATGAGTGGCAGCGACAGTGGGCTCGTATTGTGTTAGTCGTTGAACGAGGAGTACCACCTGCTCAGAGGTTGAAACAGCTACTGGCATACAGTCAACCGATGGCAAACGGAAAGAGGGCTTTGGTGCTTAGAATTAATCAGAAGGTTCGTAACTTGAAAATTGTATAATAAATTAATACATAACAGAGATATGTAATGTTACATTGCATTTTACATGACGTCGATATGTAATAAATATTACATTACATGATCGTGACATAAATTCTGTTCGTTATTGAAAGAGGAGTGCCACCTGCTCGGAGGATGAAATATTTACTAGCATACAGTTAGCCGATGGCAAATAGAAAGAGGGCTTTGGTGCTTAGAAATAATCAGAAGGTTCATAATTTGAAAAGTTTGTAAAAAGGTGTGTAAGGTCATTACACAAGCTCGTGTAATAATACATTAGACTTGACATTGTCATGTAATGTAGGTTAAAACATACATTACATTATTTATTAATAATGTTACTTTACATGACCATGATGTGAAATATATAACATGATGTTACATCATAACGTATATAATGTTAGTAAATCACATTTATTTGTCATTTATTATATGCGAATGTTCATTGTACTAGAGAATTTTTTTCCTTACTACCTCTTTTCCTTTATTACTTGCTTTCTTTTCCATTACTAGTATCAAGATTAGTATGTCATTTCAGACTAACCCTTTATAATTACACAAATACAAATTTCAATTATTAAGTTGTCATTGCAATGTAAATAGAGTGTAAAATGTAATGTTCTGACATTTTGATAAATTTCAATAACAAATTAGACAAAATATCTCGAATACAGCTAACGAACAATTTAATTTATTCACTTCTTGTTATTCCTGTTTTCTTCAAATATCAAAACATTATAATAGGGTCGTATAATTTGATGACAATTCCAACAACTTTCTTTCAAGAGACCAATCTAGGTACTTAGCATACTAATTTGCAGGGCTCGTAAAATTCTGTAATAACTAGGGCTAGCATTCTGCGTCATCGAGTTAATGTAAATTTGATTACAGTTGATTCAGTCTAATCTCTCGACATCTTACTGTAGGATTATTAAGTTCGATGTTAGTAGATTTTTTTTTGTAATAAGTCTTTTTCATGTTAATATTTGTATATTTTTTTAAGTGAATTAAAAAGAACAAACCATTAGTGGTTCTAAGTTCGACTTTATTTTGTGTCTTGTGTGTGTTATGTGATATCTTCGCTTCCTCAGATTAGATTTGTTATTTTTTTTATAATCAATAGGGTTCCGTGTTGATCTTATGTTATTTTATATTTTGTCACTATTATTTAGTTTTTAATTAAATAATTTAATATCTAAACTCAGAAATATAGCTATTCATTTTGTTGCTGGTTAGTTAATTAGAATTATTTAATTATTTTGATCAGAGATTGCTGATTAATAGAAAAGGTAATAGAGCATCTACTAGTAGTTAACCTTCAGTATCAAATATTGGTATTCGCACGTATACTAGTATATGAAATAAACAGAATAATTTTAATCAACTAACCAGTGATACGGACTTCCGTAAAATAACACATAATTCAGTAACATATTCGTTTTGTTTTTATATCATTATGACTTTATTTTAAAGTACAATCGATACTTTAGCCATTTCCTGTTTATAGCTGCGTTTATCATACATTGATATAAATACAAATTGACGTTATATTAAAAGTAAAAATTTTGTAAACATGTTACGATATTTATTATGCCAAATTAATAAAATGTATTGTGTCAGTTTTCACTACAATGTAACAAAAATGTGAGCGTTCAAATAATAATTACCTTATCTTCACCTCATGATTCAAGTTGCTTTGTTACCTTCATTGGTATATTCTATGAATTTATAAAATTTACATATTTCTTCACGTGCATTTTATTTTTCTCTAAAAATTTCTCCAGCAATTCCATTTCATCCAAATATCGTCAACACATTTTTTTTTTTCAAAATACTGAATAATACTCGATCTATCAAAGCTGATTATATACACAATTAAAATTAAACTATTGAAATAATTTAAATAAAACGTAGAGACGTTTTATTTAAATTTTGTTTTTCAATAATTTTAACATAGATACGCATAGTATTAGGTATGGAGAAAGATATAGACTATTTTTTTTTTATCCCAGATGCATTATAGTCGCTGTTATAGATTAGGCAGGAAGAAAATTAATTTGATTTATGTAATAAAAAATATATTTTGTACAGAGCGAAGATAAAGAAGAAATGAAAGAGATCCTTGAAATGAAACGCACACACGACCGTATCGTGGCGAAGAGGGCACAGCGGGACTTACAACTTAAGGGACAACATGGCGCCCTCCCGCCTACAGTTGCCAAGGATTACCCGATTAAAAAATAAAATAAGTATTTTATAAGAAATAAATATTTATCATAACCGTATTAATTGTCTAAACTAAACCATTTAATATAGTTTATTAACAGTAGTTTGTAAGAAAAAATTTATCCTGAAAAATGTGTCACTTTTCTTTTATACCACTGAGGTGGCAAATAAGCATATGGCCTAACTGATTGTAAGCAGATACCGTAGCCTATGAACGCCTGCAATACGAGGAGTATTATGTGCGTGTTGCTGACCCTGAAGAAACCTCTTTATCCCTTTTATTAAAATAAACGTGTTGTTGTAACTATACACAATTTTCTATAATTATATATATATGTTATGTATCAATCAATACATAGTATACTATGTACAGTATCGTTGCTTTTTATTTTATCCATACCAATAAATTAGATAATCAAATAATATATTTACATCATATTGACTTTATGGTAATTCTTAGTTAAATAAAACGATAAACTGCTTGAAATTATACGTAGACTGTTATTTTTGTTATAAAGAATTTTAAGAAGTAACAGCTATTCTATAGGTGGTTAGAAAAAGACTAAGTGATAGTTTGAATTATATTTTTTAATTAGTTCAATTGTTGCCATGCTTAATAATTATAAATAAAAAATCAAAAATTCTTTATGATCAAACAGTCTTGAAGTTAAACAGTGACATATAATATTATTCTTAATAACAATTTATCATATTGAAGACTAGGCAGCATGATCTCCGACCTTAGCCTGTTCCACAACGGAACAGATGTACTAAAAAAAAATATTCTTAATAAGTGTGTATTTTTGCACGTATTATTGCAAATAAATATATTATTTCTTTATAATATAGTTTTATTTTCCAAATTTTCTATTCATAGAAAAATAGGATGTTGATAAATTGCTATATAATAAAATGGTGCATTGTAATATGTCAATAAGTAGTTAGAAAGATAAGCGAATGTGCAAATTGGCCGAGTGCTGCGGACTGGCCGCTGGGTTTCACTGTTACCTCACTGTTTGCATTTGTTACCTGTAGGTGACTTATGTTTTTACCATGTATTATAAAAATACTAAATTTATACATTTTTATTCGCTTTATAAGTGACTTTCAAAAAGACTCATTAAAATTAATATTTTTCGTAATTCTGAATTGATCTTGAGTATTCTTTTCACAATCAATAGAGTTTATTCGTTTCTGTGTTAGTTTCTTTAACCAGAGGGAGACTTTGTACAAAAGTCGATTGCTTGGGTACCTCTGTCCCACTCGTGTTTCAACCGTGAAGTAGTTGTGTTTGTATGGCTGTGTTTCAGTTTGAAGGGTGGGATATGGCGTGAATTTACTGGGTACAGAGGAATAACACCTGAGTCCTCAGGAGTGGCAACGCATGGGGGGTATCTTGAGCGAAACAGTATACTCTGTTATGTCCATGGTACTGCTCATGTCTATAGGCGATGGTTACCACTTTCCATCAGGTGGATCGTCAGCTTGTTTGCCGTTCTAAGTTGTATAAAAAAAAAAGTATTTTATGACGATTAAAGCTGTTTAATTTCTTTGTACAAAAAATGATGTTCCAAAGCACTATTTGGTAGTACTATAGACACTGTACTTGTATTCATGATGACTATTCATGATGATGATTTTGATTATGTATGTGTATATGTAGATATGTGTATGTAACATACAGATATGCGTAGGATTTATCGCAACAGTTCCCAGAGTTTCCTTTTAGGATATATTGAGGAAAACAGAAAAATCTTTGTTGGCAACAAATTGATATAACACATTAATAGTAATGGGATTATTATTATACCAATAATTATAGTATCATCAGTAATTAATGTACCCTTAGTGGGTTGCCCTAATGACTTCATTCGAGAGCATTATATACTATGCCGCATATTTTTTTGCGATTGTAAAAAGGATAAAGCTCTCAATTTGCTTGTATTTTTGAGTAAATTCTGAACCGGTTTTATTAGTTACTAGTTATTACCCGCGACTTCGTTCCATGACTGGGATATGATTACTGATCGGGATGGAAAAGTAGCCTATATTTTTTTCTATCTTACACAGTACGTGTATACTAAATTTCATAGTCATTGGTCAAGTCGTTCAGGAGCTATAAGTTAACAAACAAACAAATTTCATAATTATAAAGTAATCAAATTTATTGGTGCTTTTCTGGTAAATTTTAAATAATCATCAATAGTGAACTTGTGAGCTTGAGTGATTGACAAATCCGCTAAACAAACAGTTTCAGCCGAGTTTATCATAGCTTTGACGGTCATTACTGCGTTTGTTTGCTTTTATAATTTGAATGAAGATTCACGTGAAATTTATTATGCGAACTCATTGATTAAACAAGCGGTGTTCTTGAACGAGATGTCGATGCGCCCAAATGAGGTAATGACTACTTGAGCAAGTGTTATTCTAATCGATTCAATTATGAACATTTGAGGTGAATATACCTATCTGTAGTGTAACAAAATGTATGAACATGGCGTAAACATGTTTTATGTCACTAGAAATATTTTATGAGGGCCTTGAACATGTGTTTGGTTAAGGTTTTTATCATTTAAAACTCTTTACAAATGACACGGTTTGGCACCTTGTAGTAATTTAACACTGATATTAGGGAATAAATATGGCAAAAAAAATATAATAAACATAACACCAATGCTTTGCAGAACATGAAAAGCCGTTCCATCGTTATTGTCCCTCTTATGCATAAAAACGTCAAACCTCCTATAAACCTATTTAGCTTTTGAAGTGTTTTGTTTTTTTTTTTGCACTAATTTCTCCATATTAAAGACAGTGACAAAACATTCTAATAGTTAAAATTGGTTTTTATGAATAAAGGTTTGGGTACCTCTGTCCCATTCGTGTTTCAACCGCGAAGCAGTTGTGTTTGTATGGCTGTGTTTCGGTTTGAAGGGTGGGATATGGCGTGAATTTACTGGGTACAGAGGAATAACACCTAAGTCCTCAGGAATGGCAACGCATGGGGGGTATCATGAGCGAAACGGTATACTCTGTTATGTCCATGGTACTGCTCATGTCTATAGGCGACGGTTACCACTTTCCATCAGGTGGGCCGTCAGCTTGTTTTCCATTCTAAGTTGTATAAAAAAAATTATATTAGAGAGCACCATTATACACGAGTAGTAGTAGTATTTTTAATATCATCATCATCATATCGGCCTTCTACTGTTCACTGCTGATACTGAAACATACACAAGAGGTTTTTTGCCAGTAGTTGCCACGTTTGGCAGGTGGATTGGCAACAGTAGTTAGGCCTTAGTGCTGTTCCAAGAGGGACACCGCTGCCCATCCTCAACCATTAAGGTACTTTACTCGCCTCTTACGACACCAGATTTTTAATATAGTAATAGGATTAAGCAAATTAGCACAATACGAGTATAGGCAATTTCAATCTAGTACCGAAACATGGAAAGCTCAGAACGCTACGTGTATTGCCTGCTACTTCATGAGTGAGTTACAAGAAACTATCTATCTACAATACAATGCCAATAGTACTCTACAGTTTCAATGCATTCACTCATAATGATATTTCAAAACTGGTTAAAGACTTCCTTAATTAGTCGAGTGTTCATTCAGTTCCAGCTTAACGTAATGTTTTGTATAAACTCTATTGATACTATTCAAAGAAAAAATTACGAAGCCTAGTTTTTCATGGGCATTAGTTGGTTAACTTGTATTTGAAAGCGTATGGCATAATATTTACGGTATTACTAACAATAAAATATTAATAATTAATGGCCATTTGTAGATGCAATGTAAATAATATATTGCAAGTATTATTTTTTCTTTTATAAAATTCTTCAGGAATATCATTACCTTGTTTACACCAATATACATTCGTAGTATTTAAAACAAAATTTTTAATTTACAAGAAAATATATATATGTAATGTATCTGGAACCACTATTTCATTACAATAATCCTTTTAAATAAGTGATACACTGTTAAAATTAATTTTGGTCACCTATCACGACATTGTTCCTTATACATATAATTTGGGGAGTTGTAGTATGTATTGTACTGGATTGGTCTGAAGACTAGAGACTAATTAATTATTACTTTATTTATTATTATCATCATATTGAATTGTAGAAATGACCTGCTTACAGATCTCCGCCATAAAGTAATCTTTTATTTTAAACTGTTAAATTTATCTTCTGACAAATTTTCAACTTGTAACCCTCAGATGCGTTTACCATTACGCCACTTAATTACCTAAACTTAAAAATTTAAAAATATTAATTCTTAAATACATATTTAATAATACATGGTCTTAATATGGAAATAGGCATAGCAACAAGGTCTAAGTGAAAGGAATGACATTATGTACGTTCAGTGCTGTAATGGTTATCCTGAAACCGTTTATACCAATACACATTGATAAATAACTAAATAACATAAAGCCAATTGTGCAACAAGTAGGTATCCCCATAGTGCGATAGTTTGCCAGTAGTGGTGGAGAGTATAAATCTTTGAATTCTCAGCTGTCATCACACTCTTCTTCATTCACACATAGACATGAAACGCGCGGTAAGTACAAACACCGTCAAAAGTGAAATTACTGTGTACACTGCCATTGATAATGGAAGGTAATGTTTAACTAGTTTGAAATTAATTGTGGACACAACACACTTATTTAGAAAGGTTTTAAGTTCTGTTTATCTTCACGCAAGTTTTTTATGGAATAGACAGAGAAATTTTAATTTTAGTATAATATTTATTTCGCAGATAGGCACAAGATAAAAATTGAATCATTTTCTCAAATATTTCTTCAATTTCAGGTAGTGCTAGTGTCGCTGGTTGCAGCGATTGTTGCAGAGGCTCCTTACCATTTACCACGGCCAGCACCGCAAGTGCCAGCGTTCCATTATCCATCAGTTCCTGCACCGCACTCACCGCAATCACGACCGCATTACCCACCGCCACCCGCTCCACAACATAACTACAACTTTGGTTATAATTACGAACGTCCAAGCGTACAACCTGCGTTCGTGCAACCGCCACAGCCACAATTTCAGTACAATGCACCGCCACAACCAGTTCCACAACCACAATTTACATATTCCCAACCACAAGCCCAACAAGCACCTTTACCACAATCTTACCCTCAACCTCAACCAGTACCGTATTATTCTCAACCTAGTCCTTCATACGGCTTGCCACAGCCACAGATAGCACCGCACCCTCTACCGCAACCTATTCCACAAATCCAACCACAACCCATTCCTCAATATCCGTCACAGCCTACCTATGCTCATTCTCAACCCCAATTTCAACCGCAACCTCAGTCGCAACCACTTGCACATTATCAGTCCCAACAGTTTCACTCTCAATCTGGATACTCCTATCAACAACCTCAACCTATTCAACCACTTCAGCAGCTACCACTTCAAGCTCAGTCAGTAAGCAATAGTGCGGCATCATCTTTATCAAGCTACCAAGCCGATTCTAATCAGTACAGTGGAGCGCAGGAACAGACGCATAAAGAGGCACTAGATTCGGTTGTAATCGATCGCCTGCAAAATATTATAAGGGATGATGAGCACAGTTCAGCAAAATCAGCTGGTTATCAATCACTGGTTTCGGGAATATCTTTGGAGAATGCAAAACCTAGCGTAGAGATATCATCTTTTGTACAAAATTCACCTTTAAGGGTAAACCTAAGTTCAGGTTCTTCAGATTCTCAAAGATCAGTGAGTTCATCAACGGCAGTGGCTGCATCGGGTCCGTCAGGAAGTTACGGCTTGCCAACGGTCACAGCAAACAGTCAGTCTACTCAGGACACGTCTGTTTCTAATTTCTTGCCTCAGACACAGCCTAGTGCAGCGTATGGCGCGCCAAATTTAATATTAAACTAGATATCATGTACACAGTGTAATATGTAAGATTGTAAATAAAATTTATATTATAATCATATCCACTATCTTTTTTATTTTATTCACTGTCACTATTCTTTTATAAATCATCCTTTTATTTATTAGATTATTTATTTATAAACACAGTCTTCATTCAATTTGTCTGCGCAAATTATTTTCATAAACAGCGGATACTCGCCATGTTTCTCCTAAAACGTTAAGATTTTAGCAAGTTTTGTTATGCTTATGATTACGCAATAATAAATTATGTGATAATAGACTTACGAAACAAATAGAGTGGTCAGAGGTTTGTGTTGTATTGTTTACTGTAGAAGCATCGTAACTAGTTACTTTAGACGTGCCCAAACTATTACCTATTGGTAATGCCAGTTTATTTGCAGAGTATTGTTGATCTTGACAATTTTTTGACACACAACGAGATAATGATAACATGTCCTAGAAAAAAGTAGATATAAAGTAGCACATTTTGTGTAAGTATGTTTTATATGTTAATGATAAATTTGTCTGTCAGTTCGTAGAAAATATATATGATACAGCATGATACATATTATCAACGAGAATTAGTTTAAATAAATACTATATACTTCAAATAATAATTCAATATCTTCATTGTAGCATATTAAAACGTCTTCAATTTTGATAAAAATTAAAAAGATCCACTACCTTTTCTATTTTTGTATAAAAAAAGAACAAATGCAAGTGAGAATTTCAGAATTAAGAACTTCCTACTTTTTAAGTCGATTGTTAATTGTATTTTTTTTTTACAACGCAGGGGGCAAACGAGCATTCGGTTCACCTGATGGTAAGTGACTACCGCCGCCCATGATCACCCACAACACCAGCGGCATTGCAGGTGTGCTGCCGGCTTATTAAAGTACTATTAGAGATTAGAAATAATAATGGAAACATTAAAAATTAAATATTACGAATTATATTATTTTTTTAATTCGTAATTGCTGTAGATGGCGGTACATAAAATATGCACTCTGATAACAGTTGCTGATCAGGCACATATCGAACATTCAATTTGGTAATTATTTAATCAGAACATTGGCATGACACATCATTTAGATACGAGTTTTGAGATTTTGTATTTTGCCTTTTATCCATTGATTTCTTTTTGTAGGGGAGACCGAGGAAAATTGAACCAAAGGTAGGTTGAAACAATACAAATTTCTGGAAATCTAAAAGCACTAGCAAGTTGGTAACTTTGCTAATTTTATCCTCCTGCCACCCGCTCGGGTGCTCAGTATTCGTTCATGCACCATGATCGACGCTTACACCGCTATTAAATGTCAGGTGAAAAAATACATAAAAGTAAGTTTTCATCATAATAATATCTTTAAAAAATTTTTTATTAATTAACTGTTTTAGCCTAAGTGTATTATGTTATTTTGCAATAAAGATTTTGAATGACTGTGTAGTGTAACAAAGTTATATCAGCTCAAACCTAATGGCAGCCGACTTCTGTATCCTGGGAGAGTTGAAACAGCCTGTTTCAACTCACCTCGTTTGCATTTTGTTATGCATTGGTATTTTGTTTTGGTCGTGCGACCAGCTTTAACAAAACTAACGTAGAATTGTTTTTTAAAAACTATACATCTGTGCTTGATAAACACCACTTGGACGCAAAGGACATCTGGAATGGTGAAGAATCTGGAATAACAACTGTCCAAAAACCAGATCGAGTCATTTCCAAACGCGGTTAAAAACAGGTCAGTGCCATGACCTCGACAAAAAGAGGCACTTTGGTCACCATCGCGTTAGCTGGTAATGCAATAGGAAATTGCATTCCACCAATGTTTATAATCCCACGCAAGCGTTTTAATGATCATTGTATTCGTGATGGGCCATCTGGATCTATTGGAGTAGCCAACGGATCTGGATGGATCCAAGAAGATGATTTTTATTTATTTCTTGAACATTTTAAAAATTAAGTCCGGTCATTCTAAAGATATTGTAGTTCCGTTATTGCTGGACAACCATGCCTCACATACTGCTGTAAAGAACATTAATTTCTGTAAGGAAAATGGAATTGTTTTGTTAACATTTCCACCACATTGTACTCACAAACTTCAGCCCATGGATCGAGCTATCTTTGGCCCTATGAAAAAAGCTGTCAACAGGACATGTGATAACTGGATGCACTCACACCCAGAAAAAGTTATGACAATATATAATATTTCAGGGATTATAGAAATAAGCTAAATGAATAATGAATCCAGTGTATGGAGTGTAAATGGAATGCACTGAAGGCAAAATATCTTATGTGTGCCATAACTATTTGTTTTACTAAGATTTTTTTTTTTTTTTTTCTATAAATTTCAGTGTATAATTATTTGCTATTTTTTTGTTTCTAAGATCTCAATATTGTAACTATGAGACTGATAGTACAAATTAAGAATAATTGTAACTTTAATATAACATTTACTTATAAATCTGTGTCTCTTAATAATGGATTGCTTCCAGGTAATAATTGTTTCAACTCTCCTAGACCAGTGTTTCAATTTATCTCAGTAAGAGGGGAGTTGATACAAACTCACTAGTTGTCTTTAAGTCAACTTTTTATGGGTAAAAAAGAAATAGTAGCAGTTTTTGTCCTAAACATTTATTAGTTAGTTAAACAAGGTTTAATTTAGTATAATACAAGTTAATTTCTATCGCTTAATTAAAAACTTATGAGTCTCAATATAAAAAATGGTTCAACTCTCCTCGGTCTCCCCTACTCTTTCTTAGGTATCTATATTTGATAAAATTAAACATGGATTGCTGTATATGTAGAGTTTCATTTTCTACGTTTTCAGTTTTACTATTGATGCTAATAACTTCAAGATACGTAGTAATAATAGTCGCTTTGAATTTTAATTACAAATTCATAAAGGAAAGTTCATAATCAAAATTATATTGAAGTAGGCCGAGATATTTTACAAAATGTTGATATAATGGCGAACGTATTACTTGAATTGTCGAATTTCGAAGAGATTATAGAATCCAACGTTTCAAAAAGGGAGCTACTTTTTGTCATTAAAATAATTAGGTTTACTAACTGTTGTTCATTAGAAATAGAGGAGTTTATTGTTGTGAGTGAAGTACGTGATTCATGGAAATCAGATTAGCTTTTACACGCGACTTCACCCGCGTGACCATGATAAATAAAAATAAATAGTAATAAATACCTTTATAAAAATAAACAGTACCTATGTCCTTCTTTATCCCAAATAGTACGTGTGTACTAAATTGCATGACGATTGATAGAGTTAAGACGCCAAGAAGTAACGAACAAATAAATTTCGATTCAAATCTATAATGTTAGTAAAGTAATCCACTTTGGTTACTTATTTACTTAAGAGATTTTTTATAAGAAACGTATATACAATAGAGTTATTAGAAAATATTGCAAAACCTGCAGAACGTATCTTTGTTGTTCATCTATTTTTGGTAACAAAATTTTTATATAAAAAACAATCAACACATTTTGGGCAAGCAAAAGTTTCGTACTGCGTCTGTGCATCCTTTTGCATAGTGCTTGCCGCAGAACATTGACAAAATGCATCTTTAAAATTTTTATTTATAAACATTTGGTACATAACTGACATCCATATTTGTAAATTCAAGTTTGCTGCCTATGTCACTTAATAATTCTGTAATTTTGTTATTTTCTTGTACACTTATAATATTTATAAGTTCATTTTCATTGCCGCAAATACGGATGCTTGTTAAACCTTGAGTTTTGTTACTATTTTCTTTTCAGTTTTAGTATTGGATACGACTGTGGCAATTGACTTGTAATTGAGATTGATTATTTATTTATCTAATTATTATAAGTACTAATATGAGTAAAACAAGAATAGTATTTGGTTTCTGTGATCAAATACATACTGTTGACAGCACGACGTTTGCCGAATGACTTCTCTAGGCGCCATTATGAATTTAAAGCTTTCATGTGACCTTTATAAATAAGAATATATTAAATAATAATTTATATCCTGCTTAGATATATAACGTCGTTGCTTTATTATCTTATAAACTTAAATTATTTGTTCAAGTGTAAAGGAAATTTACTTTTTGTGTATATCACCTTCTTTGTTATTTATAGAACGTCGACGTCTCCCCCAGGGACTTTAATAGAGAAAATATAATAAATGTTAAAATGAATTGGACAAAGGATGTGATTATAATAAAAAAATACCTTTATATATAGATGAAAAAATACCTCTTCACCCGCGCAAATACTTTAGTCTTGCAAGGCTGGCATGCGGAGCTGAAAAATTTTAATAAAAACATTTATGGAAAATCATAATTTATATTATACATTCGAACTCATTTTTGTAATAAAACATGAGTGGTAATAAAGGATACCTACCGACTCCTGGTAGATTATCACAATAATTTATTGGTGCTTTTAAAACTAAAGATAGAAATCGCATATTGACGATTCTTATAATATGAAGATTTTCAGTTACAGTACAGTACTCTCTAATTTCACTGAAATTTTTTTGAAAGCAGAACCCAAGGCACTGGTGAGCAAGAGAGAGAGAGAGAGAGAGAGATATGCAGACGACTACACAAATCTCCCTACAGTAGACATATATTAATTAAATGTATATGCTATTAATATTTATTTATATACATATTTTTGGTGAGTTTTACAGTTTTTACCAATGCACTCAAAATACATACATTAAAAATTAAAATATCAAACAATATAATAATACAATATTGAAATAATAATAATAATAATAAAAATCTATTTATGTTATATAAAGTAAATATTAATAATGCATTTCTGCTTAATTTGTTACCGCTCTGCAAAACTCTGTGGCAGTACAGTGAAATAAGTCCAGATTGGAATTGAATTGAATATTTTGTTGCGCCTCACGAGACGTACGTAATGGAGGAGGAGAAGTATATTCTATAGCACGGGTAGATTATTAGTTTTATGTACTGCTAATGATTTCCATTTCTACTTTTTATATAGACCTGTATATTCGGAATCTAAATAATATCTAATATAATAATTTAATTAATATCCAATTGATATATACGTAAGGTAGAGAAACAAGAATTTTAGGTATAGGCTACGGGAGAGTCTTATCATGTGCGTAGAGTGACGACAAGAATACCTGCTTCTGAATTTTTTTTTTATACAACTTAGAATGACAAACAAACTGACGGCCCACCTGATGGAAAGTGGTAACCGTCGCCTATAGACTCAGGTGTTATTCCTCTGTACCCTGTAAATTCACGCCATATCCCACCCTTCAAATCGAAATACAGCCATGCAAACACAACTGCTTCACGGTAGAAACACGAATGGGACAGAGGTACCCAAGCAATCGACTTTTGTACAAAGTCTCCCTCTGGTGATTCTTGGTAATGAGAAGTTGTATATAGATTTGCGTCTTGTTCATATTTAGAGAGTAGCGATCTTATCATTGATCATAATGTAATTGTCACAGTAACTGGTATAATATACACTTCATATTATATTTTATCCTAATTAAGGAATATTTTACTAAAATGGATTTTTATAATTTCATAGCCAACTTGAGTGAGTAGATATGGATCAGTTGTAAAATATTACAAAGCAAATGGTGTCGTTAGTTATGATTAGTTATCAATTATTCTTGCAATGGTGTATATATTCAAGTGTACTTGGTTATATGAAGAGTATTTATACTATTACAGACATAAATCAAGATGAATTGAAAGGTAAGATTAACTATTATTAATTCAGTGTATAGACTTAAAAGAAGGATGACATATTTGGGATAAAAGAAGTGCAGTTCTTGCAGTACCTGTTCTCTGGTGATTAAAAGTATCTATATGGATTTTAAAGTATGGTGAAAATATAAATAAAATTAAACAATATAAAAAAATCCTTTCTACAAACAACGAATAATAACATAATAATATTCATATAACATTCATAATAAATAAATCAAGTTTATTACATTGAACTAAATACATTATGAAAATAAAAATATATCGAACTTTTGAATGTATGAAATTTGTTAGATAGAAAACCTAAATAGAGAAGAGCGTGAGTATTTACCAGAGAGAGACTTTGTACAAAAGTCGATTGCTTGGGTACCTCTGTCCCATTCGTGTTTCAAACGTTAAGCAGTTGTGTTTGTATGGCTGTGTTTCGGTTTGCATGGCGTGAATTTACTGATTACAGAGGAATAACACTTGAGTCCTCAGAAATGGCAACGGATGGGGGTATCATGGGCGAAACAGTATACTCTGTTATGTCCATGGTACTGCTCATGTCTATAGGCGACGGTTATCACTTTCCATCAGGTGGATCGTCAGCTTGTTTGCCATTCTAAGTTGGATAAATAAAATTAAAATTTAATACCTACGACAGTGATTAAAGTACCGTTAAAGTTGACACCAGAGGACCTACCATAAACTGTTTTTTGAAATTTCGGAACCGAACGAAACAATGTCCAAGAAATTATATTTTAGGATTTTTAATAAAATGTGAAATTACATTATATTAAAAATCCTAAACTATTGTTCTTTGTACTTTTGTGGTAGGATTTATGATGAACGTAATGCCAAGCTTATTTCTTTATAAGCAAAAACACGAAATTGAATTAGAAAATTTGGAATTTCGTATCATGGTAGACTGCCCGTATTAAATCACTGAATGTGAACCTTATACGTATAATATGCAATTGTATGCCTCCTTTTACCTGTGTTTCATTAAAGATTCCCATTGCAAGAGTTACGAAGCACCTTTACAACTTAACTATATAAAGCAAAAGTTAAATATGCCTGAACATCTGCAAGTTACGACGGCCCGATACAACACGAGTGGCATTGCTTTTGGGACAATCCCTACAGCAATTAATATCAAAGAAGGTTACCGTAAACAGTATTTATTTGTTACTTTTCTAAGTATACCATATTTTAGTAGTTTGTTTAGGTACAACATTAATCTTTAATAATTTGTAATAATTTCATGTTAAATTTCAGATCCCATTATAACATTTAACAAACAAATACATAGATTTCTTTTTGGACATAAAACCTACGGTAAGATAAATGTAAACATAATGAACGATTTAATTATTAATTTTATAATATTTTTCTTGTATTTTTCAAAATATATTATTTTATTTTATTTATTTATTTAACACTTTATTGCACCAACAAAACATGATTTGTTAAACAATTTTCAATACGTATAGTGTAGTACAAAAGGCGGTCTTATTGCTAAGCAATCTCTTCCAGACAACCTTTGGGTAGAACGAATTAAAGCATAAATAGGTAGGTGGCGCGTTAAAAAAAATAGATTTGTAAAAAATAATATCTGTGACAGCATAGTCATATACACATACATAAGTAAACACATATACCTATGTTTTTTCTCCTATTGTATTATAGGTGGCTATTATAAATGCTAATTTAATAATTATATTAAGTCATATAAATTTCTTTGGTGCTCAGCTTTATAATACAAATAAATATGTAAACATGAGTAGACTTCAATTTTTCAGATGATATTATAAAAATGTCTAACGTTCAAAAGTTAAAGCTCGATGAATTCGGTACAGATTCTCTGATTCAGTATCCAAGTGGAAACATAATGAGGTAATTCTAGTTATATAATAATATGTAATAAGTCAACTGAAATTTTTGAATATATAGTTCCGTAGTTAACTTCAAAATCCATTTAGCTTTTATTCGTCACTGATTCATGCACTTAAACGTTTTTTAGAGCCGAACTATTTGAGAATAAAAGTAGTGTACATATGCCAATATCTGAGTATATGCATCGAGGATATTGTAATTTAAAAATCACCAAGGATTATATGCAGACGGCTGTAAACGCTTTCTCAATATTTCTGGAAGGAAATTTGGACGATATTTTGCGATTACCACCTATGTATGTATTGCGTTCGGTAAGCAATTTTTAAATTATTCCTATATAATTATGTCCGTTTCACTCTAAAAATTAGAATTACTTTAAAAAGAATAAATTATTCTGTTATTTACATTTATTCTCTGTCCCATTCGTGTTTCAACCGTAAAGCAGTTGTGTTTGCATGGCTGTGTTTCGGTTTGAAGGGTGGGATATAGCATGAATTTACTGGGTACGAAGGAATAACACCTGAGTCCTTAGGAATGGCAACGCATGGGTGGTATCATGGGCGAAACAGTATAATCTGATATGTCCATGGTACTGCTAATATCTATAGGCGACGGTTACCACTTTCTATCAGGTGGGCCGTCAGCTTGTTTGCCATTCTAAGTTGTATAAAAAAATAGTGAGATGAGCGTAGTTAATATTAATTTTGTTAGAATTGAAGCAGTTGTCTATTGTAGACTGCATTCCGAAACATTTATCTATTTTATTTATAATTATTAAAAAAAGTTATTATGAGGATGGCTTATGGGAATATATCAATAAAAGGCATTAACTATATAGATTTTATTATAGTGCGACAATTATTAGGAGATGCCATTAAGACACGATATGGATGCGATAATAGATATTCCAACATGACAGATGACAAATGTCACAGACTATATATAACATACATGTGATGCGTTCCTATCATAACTATGTAATAAAACAAATATTTGTGTATATAACAAGGCATTCTCCTTTACGTTAATAAGTTGGTATGAAAATCTGTGTTTCTAAAAACATCTACTAGAGGCGCAGCTAAGTTTTCAGTAGAGAAAAAAAAAATATTCAAGTTACAGGCGTCCATAGGCCATTCCCGTTTACTATCAGGTGGTTCGTAATGCTTGTTTGCCACTATAGCGGTATAAAAAAAGTAAACTAAATATAAGCATTTTTACACTATATATATAGTCACTATTTTATTATTCCACTGTCCAACTCAACTGTTGCTTTTTTCATACAAAATTGCATTTACAACTTATAAATTTCTATTTGTACGGACTACCAAACAGAACAATATTTATTTATCCAAATTAATAGTTAATATTATTCTAAATATTGCATTAAATTATATGTCAAATATAGTGAAATATAGATATGTCAGACTCAATTCATAATATTGCAAATAAATATCACATGCATGACCATTTCAACAAAATATAATTTGCAATAGGCTTGCTATACTATTCGTAGGCTCGTACCATAGCTATGATGAAGATCGGCCGTGAAAAACTGGCAGCGACGTGGACTGTGGTGAAGGCCGGCAATAAGCCTAGTAGTATTTCTTACCAGACTCTTGAGATGTACCGACCATTATTCAAGTATTTGAATGGAAGGGAAATTGCCCGGCTCAATTTGAGCGATGATAGAATACTTATGTATATTGGTACACACGCTGATCTTAATAGACATCAGGTCACATATATTTTTTATTTTTCATATAGTTACTTTTTTTTTTATTTAGTAATATTATATCTACAAAATTTTTATTAAAAATAGGTAGGCGTGGTAGCCAGCAAATATATACAACTGAATAAGAATTGGATGCAACCGAAATATCTAAATATGATGAACAATTTGCTATGCGGTGTACCTATGACCTTTATGAGAAAAATTCCCGAAAACACTTATTTGCAACTCGCTCATCAGGTAAGTTAAAGAATATTATTAAATTCAAAATAAAGCAAAGACTATTTATAATTTAAATTCTTCAGGTGTTTTATCACATCAGAGCGTGTGATCCGTTGCAACGAAGATTCTATCTAGCGATGATGACAAAAACTCAGGTGAAATTATATTTATAATAAAATGTTGTATAAATTTTCGATTTATAAATACCTACTTCATATTTATATGTACTACATCTTCTTTATAACCGACTCGCTCCGGCTTCGCATAGGTAGATATTTAGATTATCATTTTTAAATAAAATACAGCCTTTGAGATTAGACAATGAAGCTATCTATGGATAAAAGTATTTTTATTCCATTTATTTATTTATATATTAATTATAAACAAAAAATCTAATCTATTCACTTCATTATATTAGTCTAGACACTCCTTTACTTCCCAATAATGAAATTATTTACATTTACAACTTGGCTAATAACATTTGTCCAGGCACTAGGAAAATCGTACAGCTGGAGTGCTCGAGATGTTTCTCGCTTAGGTCTGCTATTAGCCGAAGTAGAAGGACCTGCTTTTAGTGCTATTAACCCTGAAGCTATGTCTGGTATCACAGCACAGGTTAGGAATCATGTATTTTAATCAATTTATGTTTATAAATTTATATGTTTTACAATTGAAATGAAATTTATGGGCTTTGTTATTAGTTACAGTTTAAGTAGTTAGTTATAGATAGGATCATATATATTTACTTTCTTATAATCCATAGCATTTCCTTCATTTGACGTGTGACACTGTTCTATATAATGAATTTATTCGATAATAATATTCAAGTAAGCATTATTCGAATCATAGTCTTACTTGTACGATATTATATGTAATAGTTCTTTAACAGTGGTTTAATATCTTTAACCATAATGTATTCTAAATAATAAGGCATGATATCACTTTCCTATCAGATAATGATGGAAATACCGCCACAAACTTTAAAATACATCACTGAAATGCAGCTGCGTTACATTGGACAGAAACCTCTCAATATACTTGCAAAGAAATTGAAAATGTTTCAAGAAGAACATCATGAAAACTTAGGATATTCTATAGTATATGATCGTCGCATAGCCAAACTCGGTATTGCTATGTACGCTGCTTTCATTAGGTTTAACATTTAGCTATAAAAAGTTATTTTAATAAAACGTCTAAAGGAATATTATCTTTTAATCAATTTAAAAAATTATAACATTTAAGGACACGTAGTGGAGGTAGGTGGAATTTGTAATGGTCATCAGCGTGACATCTTATGTCTAAGTGAAAAATAATAATTTACTTTAACTGAACTCTGTTTAACCTTAAAAAAATATTATCATAGCATAAATAAAATTTTACCATATTGTTACACCATTCTGTTTGAGAATATTTGTTAATTTGATGTTTCATTGGCGTCATTAACCGTTCTGCTGTATGTACTTCATCTGTTGTATGTTCTTTTGTTGTTATAACACATTCGGGTACAGTATTTTCTTCTTCAGATATAACCACTCTTCGTTTTGTCATAGCGCATTCATTTTTATTCTTGTCTTCAGTATAGTTTAAAGTTGGAGTATTAAGAATTTCCGTTACTTCATTATTATTATTTATTTATACCATGAATTTCTTTTCTGTGTTACCTAACTCAGTTGTTGTGTAAGAACCTTTTTTTACACAATTAATAATATTATTTGATTCTATATTTTGCGTAGTTTGAACTTGTTTGTCTGTTTTATGATTTTCTTTTTCACAATTACACCTAATATCTGGCACAAAAAAATATTTAAAAAATAATATGAAAGTTGTTTGAATATAATTACCTTCTAAAATTATCATCACCACTTGTATCATCATTGCTCTTTAATAGTATTACAACATATTTTATGTTGTCACTACAAGTTGATGCAACGTAAATTCTATTGGAGTCATGGAGGTGGTTAAGATCGTTACAAGTAAAAAGGGAATTTTTTGATTAGGTTGACTTTGGTTTAATTCACTAAGAATCATCTGTAATACTTTATTTTGCATAAATATACCTTCACCGATATTCGACTGTGAACTATTTTCTCGTAATTTATTGTTATATAACTGCAAATTTTGTATATTGTTATTCATTTTACCATTTATATATATATTTATACCAGTCGTGCAATTTTTAACTTGTACGTTTAATTTTAAATTAACCATATCTTCTTTTTTCATAAGAAATGTAGTTGGATTTGTAATAGTTTCAGAAGATTTTACGATGTTTGCTAATTCTTGGGCCAGTTTATTAGAGGTCACATTTTTCTGCAGTCGTATTCTGCTGTTCCTTCTAGAAGTAATTTTATTTTGTATCAATGTGTATGTGTTCAGATGTGTATTCTTGGACGTATCAATGTGTATGTGTTCAGATATGTATTCATTTACTTATTCTTAAACGGACAACAATACACCCCGTATTGTTGTCCGTTTAAGAATAAGTAAATGTCGATTGCCTTCCAGTCTATACTACTGTTTGGTGCCTTAGCTTCATCCATTTTTAATCGAATACTCATTAATCATTTTCCATTAAGATAAAACGTTTTATAATTTATTTATGATATAAATGATATGAACAGATTAAGAGAAAAAGTTTTAGCAATCTGATTAGACAAGTTTTCTACTGTATTAAACTAAAATAATATTTTCTAACTGTGAATTATTTTTTACTCTGAAACATTGTCGTCACATTTACAAAAGTTATTATTTCTATTAAATAAATTTTAAATAAAAAAAGTATAAAAATGCTCATATGGTCATTAGTTCTACCTCCTGTGTCAGATGTCAATATCATAAAGTATAGATTTCAAGATTGTCAAACATAGAGTACGCAACTTTCTTTTAGCAAGGAAATAGAACTTTTTTTTTATGTAACTTAGAATGACAAACAAGCTGACGGTCCACCTGATGGAAAGTGGTAACCGTCGTCTATAGACATGAGCAGTACCATGGACATAACAGTGTAAACTGTTGTCTCCCATGATGCCCCATGCGTTGCCATTCCTGAGGATTCAGGTGTTATTTCCCTGTACCCTAAAAAACACTGCCATATCCCACCCTTTAAACCGAAACGCAACCATGCAAATATAACTGCTTCACGGTAAAAACACGAATGGGCCAGAGGTGCCCAAGCAAACGACTTTTGTACAAAGTCTCTCACTAGTTCAAACCAACATTGAAAAATTAAACAAGAAGAGTAACAAAATATTGAAGTATAGATATCTATGATAACATGGCACGCCTCTTAAAAATCCAAAGAATAAAAAATTTGTGAGTAAAATATTTACAAGATTTCGATCAAGTTCAGAAACACAAACAGAACACCACGTCTTTACCATATATGATCATAATTGAAGTAAAATATTACAGAGGCGTGCCGTATTAACGTAAACAGTTTAATGTTTTTTTTTTCTTAATTTGTGTACTCGTACAAAATATTTAGACAAAAATCGTGTTCATTCATTTGAATTGGAAAGAAAATTTGTCCGTACTAATATAGTGTTGTGTAATTATATTAATATTATAAATTATAAATATGACAATTTATGTGTGGCATGTTATTGGCCATCAAATACGCCATTTATATAACTGGCCGTCAAAATCCGTCTTTTATATTTTATACTGATTTTCTATTGTCTTATGGTTTACAATTCTGTCATAGATAGTCTTTATGTTTTCCTACCGATGAAAACGTGATAAAAGAGAACTGCAATATCAAGTATTTTTATTATCAACCTGTTTCTCTTAACATGTTTAGGATATATGAAACTCAATTATAATGAAACAGCTTAACAGATTTGTAATAAACTTGATACTCGGGTGGAATATACTGTAACTTAACACAGTATTCTTTATATATTATTATTAATAATAATTTTTTATTTAAAACAAAAAAAATTGATTACAATATTATTGAAAAATTATGATATCCGTAGAAGTATAAAACTGTGTCGCGAATATTAACGCCCTCCTCATTGCAGGATTCCAAAACAAACCAAGTAAGACGGAAGTATATTGATTCACGCGGATTAAGCCATGGAATATTGCTAGTTTACAATACAGGTTGATTAGTTAGGGCGAAACGGCCAGTACCCTCACAATGTGATTTCATTGCTCTTTCCGTCGAGGTCAACGGTCACCGCGCCCTGTAGGGTGAAGCATATTTGACATTTTAGTTATGCATTATTTCCCGCTTCCTTTGTTTTAAACTACTAGGTATACATATTTTTATATATTTTAAATACACTATCGGGACTTGATACGTAGTACGATGATTGGGGCTTGCCGCGATGAAAAATTTTGCAGGTAAATAGTAGCTACATACCTACTTCTTTATTGTTGACTTTTCGATGTTGTTTACACCACGTCTTGTTCACGACAAGACGCTAAGTCCTGATAGCGTATTTGAATATGTGTAAACAATGCGAAAGTATAAAATTATTTATGATCGGGATTTAATGCAATGAAAAATTAAATTTAAAATTTATATCAACAACGCTAAAATTTAAAATTATTTACTTTCGTACAATTTGTAAAAGAATACAGTTTAGAAACGAGGAGATTCTTAATTCGACTGGGTATATTTTTTTGTATAGCTTAGGTATATTTTGTATGCAATATCTTTGCCAGTTCTAAAATTATTTTTATGCAATTTGAAATGGCATACGAGGTGAGGGCGTCTCTGACAGCTACAGTAAGTGATAATTGTCGCATGCAGACATAAATAGCACCTAATGAATAATACTTCTCAAAATACATTGCTGTGGCCATGATTATGGTAACTCTTTCTGCAATAAATAGCAACTTCCTTGTTAGTCCCATATTAATTTCGTTTCTATTGAATTTACTGATTAATGCGAGTATTTGATGACTATGATGATATAGAGCGCATACTGTCCCTCCTTCAGCTTTCAAGATTCTTGTAAGGAATTGTAATCTCATAAGTATTTGTGAAAGTATAGCATACTATAAAATCTAGAAATTCATTTTTCGAAGTTTCCTTAACTAAAAAAAGTATACAAAGCAGAAATGTAGTTAATAATGTATCTATAATATGCAGTTACATTACGTCATTGAGTTCATCGTATCATTGATATACAAAACAACTTTAGATGCATAAACGGATACTAACAACGATTTTGAAAATAGAATACGTTCAGCCATATTATACACTCATTTATAAACATTCAGTGATGTTGTTGATGATGGTTGTAGGCAAACGCGCCGAAATGTTTTTACTTCGTAAAAATATAACTATACATAGAGTTTTATATTTACAATTTTAGTCTACTCCACTCATGTTCTGTTCCGCGATAATAATTTTTTTTTCACACATTTATATGAGTACATTTTGTATAACAATATATTTTTTTTTGCAACTTAAAATGGCATACAAGCTGACGGCCCATCTAATGGAAAGTGATAACCGTCGCCTATAGACATGGACATAACAGAGTATACTGTTTCGCCCATGATATCCCCCATGCGTTGCCATTCCTGAAGTGTTATTCCTCTCTATCTTGTAAATTCACTACCATATACCCTTCAAACCGAAACAAAACACAACTGTTTCACGGTAGAAACACAAATGGGATAAAGGTGCTCAAGCAAACGATTTTGTACAAAGTCTCCATCTGATATATCTAGGTTCTTATATACGAGTATATCTAGATTTTTATATCTATGTAAACTGTTCCAGAAATGGTATAATCAATATTCACACGACCATACCAATGTTACAGAAGTGAAAGGAAATTAGCATTTTTTTTAAGCACAAAACTTATTTAGACTTCCTGTTTTGCATATACTAATAAACTGCTTAGTTTCATGGGTATGGTTTTCATTGTTTGTTTTGTCTACGTAGGTACACTCAGTTCCGTACAGTCGACGTCAGATTTATAAACACAGTCATTTGATATGTGGCAATGAGTGTTGGTGAAAAAAGTCTAAAAGGTTATTTATTATTCAGGGAAATGTAAAAATTGCTTATGTAAATAGAGACAGCAATATATGCAATTATATAGTCTACATATTAATACAGGACGTAGTCTTTTTCATTTATTTAGTTTAACCGTTTAAGTGAGATTGTGTAAC